TGTTTGTAAGACAGGGCGGACCTTTTCCCGACCGAAAAGTCCAAGTCTGGGATTTTGGTCTTGGCGCGTGAGGGTACCAACAGTTTGGAGAATTGCATAACCATAATATACGACAGGGCTTAATAAGAAAAAACTTGCTTCAACGACCTTTTTTTCAAGTCCACGAAATGTGCTGGTATACGAACTCAATTTGCTTAATGCAATTCTTACATTGAAAAATTGCATGGCGAAACGCTGGATCGTTAACTACCTATTCACGAGTGATCTACGTACGTATGTTCGTATGACTTATCATGAAAGGTACATTCCGGCCATCTTCACATAGCGCTTACTCAGATTATGGTGTTATGTCTGCCTTCCACAATTATTGGACCAACCGACAGTTCTCCCGTGGTACTGAGGCCTTTCTTGGTTTCGAAAGTTTCGTCAGATTCCTCTCTAAATATAGCAAAATGCCTGCGACAAGAATTTCATTATTGTGTAAGAGGTAAATAGGATCATACCACGACGTGGACACCAATAACATCCACACGTCAGCGCGGACTATGACTGCCACAAGTAGCATTTTTTTTATGCATTGTATATCGAGCAGGGTATTGCAATATAATCTGTAGACCTTTCAGGCTTCTGCAGTTTTTCAAGTTGTTCTCACAAGAGTCCTACCGTCTGGTCGGTAATACAGTTGGGCTGCGCATGATACTACATGATCATCTGCACCTTTCGCACCGTGCCATTGGAACGCATGGTCGGGAAAACGTACCGATTCGAGCGAGTTAGACTAGGAGTAAGACAGCGGGAATTCCTCCGGTGCCATGGTTTGGACCTGTCACCTGCACCTGATGATGGTAGGCCAAGATAACAGCAGCCGGGAACTACGGTATAACCTCGGCTTCTTCCGCTTCCACACGCCAATTTGCAATTTAAACGTTCGGAGTGCGGATGCAATACCTGTTACTGTCATGATCGGCATTGTTTAGGACATCAAGTGTCGAATCTAGTCATGACCAAGGCGGAAGGTGCTGCAAGCGGAAGAATTGGGCAATTCATTATTCCGACCTATGGATGTCAATAACCAGGAGGAGAAGAGTTTATTGCGTCACACTACACAGATGCATGGATCTCCAAGACGTATAATGGTAGTGATTCATATACGCTAGCCATTTACGTCGAAAGTTGGCTCCAGAAAGTAACGGAGATGAATTCGGGGCCTTCTCGTATACGACATGATTGGCAGTGCAACACCCCCCCGCTTGTGCTGAGTACTAACTGAACAAATTCACCAGCACAACCCCTCTTTCCTGACACCATCACGCATCAACGGGCTTATGTATATCCTTGGAGCGGATGGAAGTGGGTTTAGACCGGGCCTCTATACTCGAAACAAGATCGTGGCTAGGATTGAGTGCCGCCGTGTATTTCCATAAGAAGTGACCGATGGCGCCACCATGTTCCCGACCTTCAGCTCTAGTACCTTTGGGTTTCCGTCACCATGCGCGCTCCTACTCTTACTGAGATAGCCCTCGTGCTCGCCAGCGGCCTTTGCGTCAACGCCGATCTGACGACTACCATTAACCCCAAGACAAACTGGGGAACCTGGGAAGGATGGGGAACGTCGCTGGCCTGGTGGGCTCAGCAATTCGGCGACCGAGACGATTTGGCAGATATATTCTTCACGCTCAAGGATACCAAATTCGGTAGTGTTACTCTGCCAGGTCTCGGCTTCAATCACGCTCGCTATAACGCTGGCGCATGCAGTTGGAACACCGTCGGCACAGACAAGATGGTCGTGTCACCCAACATCAAGAGATCGAGGCAAATGGAAGGATTCTGGTTGGATTGGACGAGCTCTGACCCAAATTCTGCCAGCTGGAACTGGTGAGACAACACTACATAGTTTTTCCGAAGTGCTTCACTAAGTTTAGTTGCCGGAATATAGGAATGTGGATGTCAATCAGCGAAAGGCTCTGCAAAAGGCTATCGAGAGGGGTGTCGAAAAGACCGAACTCTTCAGCAACAGCCCAATGTGGTGGATGACACGCAACCACAACCCATCCGGAGCCAGCGATGGATCCGAAAACATCCAATCGTGGAACCTGGAGCAGCATGCCGTGTACATGGCAACGGTTGCTCAAGTCTTCAAGTCCAAATGGGGCATTGAGTTCGAAACTGTTGACCCATTTAATGAGCCTACAGCCAACTGGTGGAAGGCCGATGGCACCCAGGAGGGATGCCACATTGACGTAGCCACCCAGGCGACGATTATTGGGTATCTTGACAAGCACCTGAAAAGCCGCTCGCTGGCGACTGTGATTGCAGCATCAGACGAGTCTTACTATGACCAGGCCCGCGATAACCTCAAGAACATAGGAAGCAGCGCGCTTTCCAAAATTGCACGTGTCAACGTACATGGCTACCAGTACGGAAACGGTGACCGTGTAGCCGTCCACGACCTGGCTGCAAAGGCCGGCAAGCCAGTCTACAACAGCGAGTACGGTGACGGTGAAGCAGCCGGTCAGCAAATGGCAAGCAACCTGCTGCTCGATTTCCGATGGCTCAAGCCCGTAGCCTGGGAGTACTGGCAAGTCCTCGACCAAGGCGGCTGGGGCCTGATTGACGCCGACAACGACGCCAAGACGGTGGGTGGTCCAACGCAAAAGTACTTTGTCCTCGCCCAATTTGCCAGGCATATTCGTCCAGGCATGCAGATTCTCGATGGTGGCAGTGACTATACCGTCGCTGCATACGACGCCAGTAAATCCACCCTAGTCATCGTAGCGGTCAACTGGGGCAATGCGCAATACCTCAACTTTGACTTGTCGAGCTTCTCGCAGCGTCCAGCGAACGGCGCAACAGTGACTCGCTGGGCTACCCAGATCGGTACCGGTGAACAGTATGGAAAGCACAGCGACACTGTCATTAACGGAACCAAGTTCTGGTCGTACTTTGGAAAGAATGTCGTTCAGACGTTCGAGATTACGGGCGTCAAGCTGTAAAGTGTAGGGTACTTCATGTGCTATGAAATCAAAGAGACATTTGTCTCAGAACTCGCTATCTTTGATCATCTTGCTTCTTTATGAACATGTATTTGCCGTGATCTTTGAGGGTATCTCATCCAATCCTTTGCTTTCTCCTTACCCATATTTCGTCACCGTCAGCACCAGCTCTTTGTTGGACTTCCCAAACTTGAAGCTTGTAACTGCCACGATCGGATCGTCCCGTATGCAAATCAAAGGACCAGTCATGTTTAGGACATTGAATTCCTGAGCTTAGCACCACTCCAAAGTCCTCTATATCAAAGGGTGCGCCGTTGGAAAGAGGATATGAAGAGTGCGGGCATTCCTGCGGATATCATGGTCAACACATAGGCGAGGTTACAGTTTTTTCTTTGCTTTTGCCACCTACGTGGTTCACGGCAATAAACTTTCCCTTGTACTGGAACACCATGACCTGATCTTTTGCATTGCCACCCAGATCGGGATCCTTCCAATCATCAATGGAGATCTCTGTCGCTTTGGAGCTGTCATCTTGAGGCACGTGAAATACCCGACAGCCAGGTACAAATTTTCCGCCGCACGGCCGTTGCTCGCTGACTCGCATCGAGTCATCGAGATTTGGGTATGATGACGTTGAACCAGCGAGAAACCAGGCATTCTGTGCTCTGGATGGGCGGAGGAACGGGTTGGCGAGGAAGGACATTGCGACTGGTAGCCAGGGTCTGGGACCGAGTGGTGATGGAAGTGGAGGCGCCCTGCAACACGTGGAAGAGTCGAGGGTTGGATGCTCCAATCCCTGTCTAGATTGGATGGCAGCAACGTTCAAAAGGCCATCCACGTCGCGCATCACAATACACCATCTGCAATATGGAGGGGAGATGCGCTTGACATGTGGGACGTGCTGATAGAATGTGAGTAAGTAGATATAGTAGGTAAGGGGGGCTTTGGTACTGGAAGTGCAGAATGAATGCTTCTTGCTGTCATTAATCAGTACGCAAGACGCTCTCCTCTTACTACGTATATCGGGGTCACATCCTTTCTCAGCCTCACCATGATACATTATACTATCATGTAGGCGTACTTACTGTGTAGGCAAAAAAGAACGGCTCCTCAACACAAGACTCAGCCTCGCACTTGTTACCGGGACGTGCAGATGCAGCTAGCCGAAGTCGATCATTCCTCTGCCGGAGCTTCCGCGACCGCATATCTCGGCAGAACATGCTTTCGCACCGCCTCTTTTGCGGGTCACGCAACAGACCAAGATCAACCAGTTTCTGATAACAACTTAACCCCTAACTGACACCATGGCCTGCAGATGCACGATATGGTGGCAGAGTTTCGGGACCGCGCACCAGTGATGATAACACAGAAAGGAGACCTAAATGCGCTAGAGCGATGTGACGACGCGCACTAACTTCATGCTGCTGGAGTCGCCAAAGTGTAAAGGAAAAAACGTGTCAATACATATGTACATACATACACATGTACATATATAAGCTTAAGTCCGAGAATTCAGCGACATGGAATCCATTCGGTCCTGGGTCGAAACAGCATTTGTACAAAAACATCTCTACCAAGTCTGCACCGAGTTCGCATAGCGAATCGGTAGCCAAAGTAATTAGCACTGACTGCCAATTACATGCCCATGTCGCTCTAGGGCAAAGTATACTACGTGGTAGAGTCGCGTCATCGGGGCCCTCGTTACCGCATCGGGCCTCTAGTGCCATCTCCTATCTCGTGTTCAAGTTTTGATTGTGGGGCGTCCTCGCCGATCCCCCATAGTGTTAACAGCTTTTTTGCGGCTTTGGCACTTTTCATTTTTGCTCTATTATCATTCTTGCAAACTTACATTGGCTCAATCCTGCGCCGCCCGCTACGCTATCCTCGTACTCGTACTTTGTGGCTGCAGGCTGTTTCGTCGCCTTACTTCTTTCTATGTTTTTCCATCTTTCTTTGCTACTTGATTTCTTCATTTAACAAGGCCTTTAATCGCGCGATACGAGCATCATGCCGTCGTGGTGGCCTGAAACACGGCTGGAATGGGTCTTTGCCGCAGCTGCAGCGACTCAAGGAGTGGTCAATACTATCATTCAGATGTATGTTTCAACATCTTAGACACGCTTGCTCCACCAAGGTGTTTGATTTTTCTTACTAATGCGCATGTTAGAGTCATTCTGGTCGTCTATCTACAATGGGTCAATAAACCAATATACGAGGTACTACTCCCCAACCGGTCGATCGAGCATTACTGATGGTTTCCCAGGTCCCATTAGCCTACGTTATATCCTTGACTCTCTCCATCAACACCCTTGGCTGTCTCTATCAATTGATCTTAACACTAGACGCATACCGCATTAAAAACCACATTCAGATCTTTATGCTATGTGTCGCTAACGTGTGTCTTTCAATTGCAACCATATTGCAATATGGAGAGGTACACAATGCGTCGGCGAGAGCCGCCGTTGGTGTCAACGGAAAGAACCTTCCTTTTGTGAAAAGAGACTGGGAATTCTGGAGGCGTGTATCGCCCGGTTTGATTGTCTGCGCCGTTATTAGCTCTACCTGCAGCACTGTCATGTGCGCTGTCGCCATGAAACTTTATCGTGAATTTTCGTGGGCTTTGTATCAAGACGTCAGTCCGGACATGGCCATACAGTGGAAGTACATGTGCTATCAAGTTCGTATCCGCATCTACATATCAGCGCAATCGTTCCCTTGCTGACAGTTATACAGATCTATCTAGGTTTCCTCAAGTACACACCCTACTTTGTCTTTGCCTTCATATTGATCTACGGCTTGATAAATGTGCACTATATTGAGCCAGAATTCTCTTTGACCATGGCTATCATCCCTGCCACGCTTTTACACTTGGCTCTGGCCGTGTACTTTGTTCGACATGAAACCCGCATCGGCATGATCATGGTCTTGGTAAGTCTAGTCTCTTTAGTATCAGTATCTGACTAACTCGGCCAAGCTCTTCCATGCTGCTAATATCACCTACGTCATCAGCCGATTGCTGGTCTTGTATGGTCATGGGCCACTATCCAGGACGATGATGAAAGATGAGATGGTTTTCTATATTTGCATAGGTGGCGCACTCTCTTTGTTCTCGTTAGTCGCTGGCAGTGTTTGCATGTTCAACTTCAAGAAAGGGTTGAAGCCTATTTTACTTGGGCAAATAAAACGCCGGCCTCAAGCGCATGAGCTTGAGGATGACTACTACATCCAACGGCTCAACTACAACATTGTGCCGACGCCAGATCGGGATTCACAACGATTCTTGGTAGATTGAGGTGTAGGGGGTTTTCAAAAGAAAAAACATCCGAGCGTCAACAAAAAGTAAACTCAGGTACAATACTGCCACCTGAACCTATCGTGTTGAAGAATCCATAATAATGTATGCATATCAAAAAGCATCTAAAAGCATAGACTGGGACGATATTAATCTTCTGTATAATACTCTCAATTATTGCCATGACTTCTTGTACTCGTATTTAATAGATGAATATTTAACAATGAATATGTCCTACAGGTCCGGCGCTTCGCCGCCTAGTAGGTAGCCCATTTGCTAAACCAATTGAGAATATATGGTGCAGCATCCCACTTGGTTGACCCGCCACTCATTGAATCGAACGGCTCGCCTTGTTCGACCCTGCTGGGCCAGCCATGGCCATAGCCCTTGATCTCCCTGTGCAGCACCAGATCCTTGTGGCCATGGCATTTCCACTTGAGATCTGTCACGGTTCCATTCTCAGCAACTTCGGTCTCGTAGTTGCTTTCGCAGTTGTCACGTGCAACCCATGTGTCGACCCATTCACGGACGGGGATGAAGGGCGGGGTGTTGTTGCCGTTGTACGGAACAATCTTGTCACTGAGACCATGAAGGTTCAAGTAAGGAAGCGCTCGGCCCTGCAGGTCTGGTTTGCATCCTGCTTGGTAGAGCGGCTCCGTCATGACGGCGTCTGGGTAGAAGGCGCCACCAACGGTGGAAACGGCAGCAAAGTGCTTGTTAAGGGTTGCGTCGCACATGAGAAGCGCAACCATGCTTCCTCCGTTGGATACGCCAGTGGCGTAGAGGCGCCTTTCATCCACGCAAAAAGTACCTGTCAGGTTCTTTCGGATCTCATCGACGAAGATGCGGTCGTCAATTACCGAAGAGTTGGGCGCAGCAACGTCGCCTAGCCATTGAACCTGCATCACTTTGTTAGCCAAATCAAAACATAGTACCGAACATGATTAACTTACACCCGGGGCTTGGACGTCCATGCCGGCAGGGTATACGACAATAGAATCCTTGTTGAAGTTCGGGTCTGACAACTGGCTGATCTTCTCCATATTCCGCGCAGGCTGCAACTGGCCGTGGAAAGCAAAGATCAGAGGCGCTGGCTTATTATTGGAGGGATCATAATTGGCAGGTAAATGCAGAATGTATTCCCGTTCCGTTATTTTGCCAATGACTGACTTGGACGAAATAGTCACATTGGTGGTTGAAGTACCAGGCTTAAACTTGACCGGCAACGAACTACCACAGCCGGGGCTTGCGAGGACAAGGGGTGTAAGCCCTGCGAGGACACCTAGGGCGAGGGTAAGAGGAGCCATTATTGCGATCGTGGAGCGTAAGGAGACCGATTGCCGTACGGATCACCTCAAGCCAAGGCACACGCGCCATTTATACCGAATAACAGGAAAAAAACGCAACGGCTGTGGACATCTTCCTTCCGTCGCGCACGATCAGCTCAACGGTCCCGGCTCGGCCCAGTTGTCAGCCGTAGATTGCAACGGTCAAACTTCTTTCGGCCCGTTGCTTAGTGCTGAGATGCGCTTTTACGCTCGAGGTAGTAAACAGTCGGTGAACAACATTTCATTAGGACTATAGATGTCTCGAATCAGCCACATGGTATGACATTTATTGGCAGTCCCCCTTCCTAGTAGACTTGGTTGAATTGCCAAGGTATGTAATAGGCCTCATTCAAGATTGTCATTATCCAATGCAGTTCTGATGTGTTAGGTATGTCAGCGTTATCAAGGGGTAAGTCTAGATCAAATTAGGAGCATCATTACACCCAACCTTGCATACTGGTTATCTCGTTCAGTGATATGCTTGTAGTCTGAAATTACTACTAACTATGGCGAGATATCAAGAATGTAACGTTTATCATTTAGCATTTGACGATTGACAATTAACAGATCACGGTTAACAATTGACGATCGATTGCGCATACACGTCCAGAATACGATTACCAGAGTTTACCTTATCAAGCCGAAATGATCGATGAACACACAATGTCATGACTTCAACTCAAACTATTTGCATTTTGCAACTCTAGCAGGGCAACTGCATAACAACGAATTTCGAACAGTGACATGCTTAGATACTATTTATAGTTGTTGGCGGGAAACTCCTCGCGCATGAAACGATCCGTCTAGAACCATCGGAACCCCGGGTACACGTCCAGCAAACCTTAATAATATTTCCGCGTTACCCTGGACTGTAAATGATGTCTTATTAGCAGAAACCGCGGACGTTTGCAGAGCAAATTATCACGATAAAATTTCAATCAGTATACTGCACAAGGCTTGTTCACAGCATCACTTGGTACAGCATCACAGTCGCATATCCATATACGATGAGACGAACACAGCATATAAAGAAAGAAGATTCAGTAAACTATGAATGAATTATTACCAGGTAACCTGCCATGGTAACGCCAATACCCTGCTACCAAGCGTCCAATCTCATCCATCCATCCTCAAAATACGCCCAATACTCCACCTCTCCCGCCTCTACCTCATTCGCAACCACGGTGGAGTTTCTGAGATGATAAAGCGGTCGCGCTCGTCGCGGCGGCGGCGGTAGTGGTGGTGGTGATGATGATGACGGTGGTGACTGCAGTAGTAGCGGCGGCGACGGTGACGGCGACGGCGATGGCGATGGCGGCGGGCCTGAAATCTCAAAAACCCCATTCCGCATGCTGATCTCCTCACTCGAGCGCTGCCAATGCTTAAAGCTATGAAACCCAAATTCGTCAATGTCAGGATTGACCTCGGTCTTGCTGTTCGTTTCTTTAGGCGAACAGAGAATTCCCTTCTCCGTGCTCGTGGGCGTGGGCGTGGCCGCTACTCGCATCATGATTGTGGATGGTGGTGCCGCCAGAGACAACCCGTGTGTGAGTTGTCGTCTTGCCCATACGGCTACCGTTGGCATTGCTGTGGGCGTGGTACATGCTGCTGGCGTTTTCCTCGAAGCGTTCCATTTCGCGGCACTTTTCCTCGTACTTGGCAATGTACTCGTCGCGCTCGCGGTCGGCGGCGTGGCGGGCCTGGATGGCACGCTCCTTTTGCTCGCGAGCCTCGCTCAACAATGTGCGCAAAGAGGTGATTTCGAACTCAAACTCTGCAGAAGAGTCCTCGTAGGATGTGACTGTCTCGGTAATCTCTTCATACTTGTGCTTCCAGGCATTGAGGTCGGAGTGTGCGCGATCACGATCGTACTTGAGGTTGGTAATCTCGGTTTGGAAGAGGGCCAACTGTTCCTGGAGACTGGCAATCTCAGTCGTAAGATGTCCTTGCTTGATGCGGGAGTCTTCGCCCTCGCGGTATAGGACTCGGTTGCGTTCAGTTAGGGTAAGGATCTCGGACTTGATCTCAGCGGTGGCGAGCTCAGACCGGCGAAGAGACTCTTCGAGGATATTGATACGGCGGCGACCATCTTCGACCTTGCGATGCTCGTCGTGGACATCTTGCTTGAGTTGCTCGCGTTCAATGACGATAAGACGTTGCTCCTCACGGGAACGATCAATAACACTGGAGAGTTCGGTACGCTCCAGCTCGATCTCTCGGAGTTTCTCTTTGACAGAGACAACTTCACGCTTGACGTGTTCGTGCTTGAGCAAGTACTCATTGGCACGAGCATCAGCTTCCTCCCACCCAGCAACCTTGAGCTTGACGTCGCGACGCAAGTTCTCAATAGTGAAGGAAAAGTCGTCACGCTCTGCTTCGACAGACCGAAGGGTTTCCTTGAGCTTATGAAGCTCTCGCTGAACGCGGTCGTGGCTCTCAGTGAGTTCAGTGAATTCGCGAGTTGCCTCCTCGATCCTGAACTTGGCACGCTTCAGTTCCTCATTCAAGCGGTCTTTGTCATGAAGGTGTTCGTCCCGCTCAAGTTCGAACAACTTGATACGCTCATTGATAGTGATGAGTTCCTTGCGGGTCAGGTCGAACTTGGAGATGGTTTCTGAGTGCTTGCTTTTAAGCTCGGTGTGCTCACGAACAAGTGCGCGAATTTCATTGTGATGCTTTTCCGAGTCGTGGCGGGCAACGTCGCGCTCACTCTCGCAGATCTTGAGTCTTGCATATGTGGCTTCCAGCTCGGAACGAGTCCTCTCGTGTTCGCCGACCGTGAGTGCGACAGAGGCTTGGAGCTCGTGAAGCTCATGGCGGGTCAGCTCCAGTGCACGGTCGCGATCCGCAAGTTTCTTTTTATGTTCCGAAACTTGTGCGACAACAGCTGTGAGCTCAAGAATAAGCTTCTCGACCTGCCTCTTCCTCTCTCCATGCTCGTGGCCGTGTTGTGAGTGCTCGGCTTCCTTGCGCTGAATCTCCTCGGTCACCTCCTCAACCGTGACCATAAGCTCGTCTCGCTCGCGTAATAGAGTGTCACGCTCTGAGAGGATGCGTGCCCATGACTCTTTGAGCGAGGCAGCTTCGCGAGAAGCATTTGAAATGAGATCCATCAGAGCGAAGACCTTCCCATCCGCCTGAGTAGTAAGCTCGCTAGACATCTTGCTACGATGTGACTGGAGAAAGCTACTGGTACGACGAGAGGAGCTATTGAGCTGGCGATTTGATCGACGGGTGGTTAGCGTTCCCATATGGCCATTGGCCTGGGATGCAAAAGAGAAGGATCGGTTGCCGGTAGGGGATGAGGGCTCCGACATGATATCTCGGCCAAGCCCGCTGGCCTTGAGCTTCATGACAGTGAGCTTCTCAGGCGTCATGTCGTTTTCGACTGGGAACATGTCGGTCATGGTGGCTATGAAATGCAAGAAAAGATGAAATGGAAAAAAAGTGGTTGAAGTTTAGGAAGTGGAAAATACGAGCGGCTGGCGATACTTATGCTGTCTGTGGCGGAAGTGAAGGGGCAATGAATTAGCTGATTCGATAGCTTTCAAATGGCACATTGACACTTTCTACGAGAATAGCAAGCCTATCATCTGACACATGGACTGCTCGAGGTTGACTGCAAGCAAAGAGCAACACGCATAGGTGACGCAATAAGCCCAGTGCATTTGGCGAAATAGAGCAACCATCCCAGCTGGAGTTCGACTGGCCTTTCTTTTTCGAGGAAAGCACATGCAGCAGCTCGCGATGGCGCATCTAATGGAGGACTTGTTCAGCAGGATTGTCGGCGACTTGAGAAGTGGGGTAAGCCACGACGGTGATTTCAGCTCGTCATAAACAGCCAAAGACGACACCATGTCGGTGTTTCGAGGAGCGCGAGCGATCGCATGCAGAGTAAGCGGGTCGACGTGACGCTTAGTAGGTCGGGCTGTTGAGATAGTGATGCCAAGTGCGGGTAGATCAATGGGGAGTGGCCACGGCGATGCTGCACCCCGCTGATCAAATGCGGGCGAACCGGAAGAAGCCTACCACTGACCGAGCACCGCCAAGTGGTGGCTTGCTTTTTCTGGTTTCAATTGGCTTCTTGTGCTTTTCGTGAAGCCTAAACGGGAACGAGCAGATGCAAGCGGATATGCCGCCAGCCCAGTTTGAGCAGACCGGGATCGACCCGCACCACTTCGGTGGAGCAATGCCAGAGCGACCAGTCAAAGACACGACGTCAGCTTGTAAAGTTACGCCCAAGATCGCTCATATTACCCGGCAAATCCGCGTGCTTGTGAAAGTACTCTAAGTAGAGTGGGAGGCGTTTGTGTTGCGGGAGACACCGCTTCGGGCCATGGGAGCCGATGTCACTTCCAGACGACGCCAGTGTGCAACCGCCTTGGCAGGTGTGGGAGCGATAAAAGTGATGCGACGGAGGGGAGACGGTGGTATTTTGCGCTGACAGCCAACTCATCTCCAAGGCAGAAGCAAAGGACGGAGTGAAACTGTAATTTGCCTATTTCCCGCCCCTCTCATGCTCCAAGTGAGACAAGGGTTTGGACAAAAGAAAGCATTCGGGTGCTTTTTCGCTGCAATTGGCGTCAGGAACAGGGCGCCGTTTTTGGGTGTTCTATTGGCCGCAGTAGGGTGCGTCGTCTCAACGTGGTGCACGTGTTGAGCTTTGCAACAACTCATGGTACGTACAAAGAAAACCTGAGCATGTGGTTTGAGGCATGCTTGCCACGCGCATGTACTAGAAAGAAATTAAGAGAACCGGTCGCAGGCTTAGTGCCCGACCGCAAGGCTGCCTCCTTACACCTACGGAACGAGGCTCGATGTAAATGTATGTATGTAGATCAAGTGTTAAATGGCAAGAGGCTAAATCCACTATCCCGCCAAGACGGTGGAAACACAGCACTGGGCTTTCATGGGCTAATTTTGTTGACCCTTTGTGGATCATGGTAATTGTCCGTCTTCGACACCATTTGCATACCCCTCATCTTGCATATCAAGTTCCTGTTGGGGAACAAGGATGCCATCTTCGTCCTCGTGGCTGGGAGGATCATCAAAGTCGCCATTCAACTCGGACTGCAATTCTGGCTCCTGTTCCCTGTTTTGGTCCGAGGCAGGTTCACTTTGCCCCAAGTCATCCATCACGCCATCCGAGTACTGGTCGCCTAGACTATCTTGCTGATGACCTGACTCGGATCCAGCACCGGCGTCTAGTGCAGCCTCTTCTGAGCCAACGGTGGCGCTAGTTGGCTCCACGTTCTCTTCATCGATGTTGTCCTCCACGTCAGCCTCAACCTCCACGTCATGTGCCTGGTTTGCCTCCTCTTCCTGTACCTGCTTCTCAGTCGCGGCATCTGCGTCGGCCTGCATCAGGTCATGCAAGAGCTGGTCGACTTGGACAATGTATCTGTCGGGGATCTGGCGTACAGTGTGACCACGCATCTTGCGGGGCGCCAAAGGCTTGGTAGATTTTGTAGGCTTTGCGATTGGCACCTCAGCAGGCTTGCGACCTCTGGGTGTCTTCTTCTTCTTCGCAAGAGCAGCACCAGCAGGGGCCTGTGCTGCATTCTTGGGTGGTCGCCCTCGCCTTGCTGGTTGTGGGGCAGGCTCTCCTTTGGATACCTTGCTAGCTGGTGGAAGACGGGTACGCAATTTGGTGGCGGTGGTGGTTGTTGTCTTGGTCATCTTGGACTGAGCGGCCTGGCGCTTGCTCACACGAGCAGTGCCCGCAACACGCTTCAGGTCTAGGCCGTCTGCTTTGGGAGGACGGCCACGCCTTCGTGGAGTCGGTGCTGCCAAATCGGCGACGGCTTCTACATTGTCCTTAGTACCTTTTCCTTTGGCCTTATTGGGCGTTGCGGCTAGAGCAACCGACTTGGGCGTGTCTGGCTTGCGACCCCGACCGCGTTTTGTGGGCTCGGACGCGTCTGGGAGCACGGCGACATCTTCAGCCGTCACTTTGGAGGGTCTACCGCGTTTCTTTGGAGGCCCGGCTGCAATTGGGGTTGATTGACTAGCAATTGTCTGGGATTTGGCTGGGCGGCCTCTCTTCTTTCCAGGCGTCGCGATGAGAGTTTCCACCGCTTCTACCGCGCCCTTGAGACTCGTGTCACGCGTCTTCTTACTCTTGGGCGGCATCTTGGACGGTTTCTGTAGCGCTGATGATGCACGTAGAGCAATCGAGATCGGTAAAATGTAAATATAACTCTCACAACTCAATCGCGCAACAATTGTGGTATTGATGGAAGGGGTTGGTTGTAGTAGGACAAAGGTGAAGTGGAGCACTCACCCATATCTACTAGCGTGTCTATTTGAGGACGCGCGCTAGTACAACTCTATTCGCAACGCGACTCTGGCTTTGCTCTCTTACCTTGACAGTTCACAATTCCTCCTTTGCTTGCTTTAGTCAATCTGATCCAATGTATTCCTACTACTAAGACGATCTTGCATTTTTTTGTCTTGCTCAATCGACGACCAAAATGAAAAGGAAAGTATCTACCATACGTCGTATCACCTCAAGTCTTCATGAATGTATACGTGCATGGGCAGTACGGCGTAGTTGATACGGTGGGCAATCTCTGGCATTACCTCTGAAAAGCAGGCAATCCAATGGGACTGCAAACGTGAATCCGCGCAATAAGTCTCTCGAAGCATGTGATCACTGTTAGTCCCTAGACTCCAATGTTGAGTAGCAACCTCACCCCATCTGACGTCTAATCCCCATCAATAATACTCCATGACTTGGATACTGACCGCACCCATGTAACTATGGCAGGCATCGAGTCAGATGGACCTGCAAGAGCATACGACCATTTGTTGCACTTCAAGCATCATGGTCTTGAAGCTCCGCTCAGCTAGCCCCATTCCGTGTATTAGAAACCCACGTATTCGACCGCTCAGTGGCTCTCAGCGGGAACTACTCTACCCTGGCACCCAGAAATACTTTTCGCTAACCTCACAACAGTCAAGCTACTTGATGTGCGTCTAAGCGAGCAAATTTGCAACACATCCCCGCTCTGCAATCCCAATTGCGAACATAACAAACATGCCTATGCCGCCCACTCGGTGTTTTTCGACTGCATCATAAAGGCTCATGTTGAAAATACCGTCATCAAATCACAACACTAGCATCGGTGGTTTAGTGGTAAAATTAGCCGTTGCCATCTCTCCCAGAGAACAGTTTCGGCTAGCCCCGGGTTCGGTAAGTCTCATATTCATTCCAGCATTCGAAGCTTGTGCCTAACATTCAATTAGATTCCCGGCCGATGCAATCATCAATCCCTTCTTTTTGATCTTTTTTGTTAATCCAGATCTCGCTACTTCACACAACGGCGTGGTTTTCAATGTAGATGTTTTATTGATTTCTTTTTATATGGGCAGCTTTCTAACCTCACCACCTAGAGAACTGAGCGACCCGGACTCTAGCGAACCTCTTATTAAATCACTTGAACAAATGCCATGTCAAGGCTAGATTAATCAAGGATCTGAAATTGATGCGCACCGTACAAAACAGCGAAGGAGGAAAAGGCCAACCCTTAAATGAAGCCCTTCCCCATCCCAGCTTCTCCATATCTCACATCAAATCCGCTTCAATAACACTCTCCACAGCCCGAGGATGCCGACTAATTCCCACAATCCTAAACCCAGCCTCGCCCAGCAACCGCTCCCAGTGCTCCTCCGTCCTCTCCATTCCACTTGTACAATTCATCAACTGCAAATCCAACGTCGTCATCAGACTCGTCGCCCCCTTCTTCGGCAACACAACCTCATAGATTAGAAGCTTCGAGTACCCCGGTTTAAACGCGGTCTTGACCTGCGAAAACATGCGCACGCAGTCGGCGTCGGGCCAGTCATGCGGAACTGCGTGAAAAAAGTATGCGCGGGCGTGAAGTTGGGGCTGTGGGGTGAAGAAGTCGTAGGCTTGTTTTACGATACGCGGGTCGAGATGCTCGATTGGCATGGCGACGACTTCGGGCGTATCTTGCACGATGAGCACGTTGGCGGGGAGATCGCCATGTCGTTCCAGAAGGCGTGATGTGTCGAGGCCGTGGGCACCCCCAATGTCAACGAATAAAGGCTTGCCTGGCGAGATGTCGGCTCCGCAGATGATTTTGCGCGTGTCGTATACGCCGGTCCACGCCATCTTGTGGTTTCGCAGTGCTGTCATGAGACCCATGAAACTGCTTCCTTTGCCCTCTGGATCTGCTGCGCACAGAGCGAAGAAATCGGTACCGTTGGTCATGTCGCGGTAGTTGTCGAGAGCCTGCAAGTCTATGGGTTCACGGTAGTTGTATTTTTGGAGGAATCGGGGAAGATTGATCCCGGTGGGAATCGTATGGTCGGTGCTGAACGCGTCAGTTGGGAGGCTATCAATCGATCAAACATGACTGTTGAGGTTTGGACATACCCGCATTGAGTAATTTGATCAGTATGCGATTCCGTATCTCCAAGGGACAGTGAGTAAGGCGTTGGTTTCCAGGTATCAACACCCGTTTCTTCGAGCACATAGAGTGCAGCAAGGTGTCTGAAAAATCTCCCTTCGTGGTTCCATGTCAGTATTTTGTACAGTCTTATTGATCGCCTACTCAGGCTTGAAAATGTAGACCTACGCAACAAGTTCGGCTCAACCTGCTTGTTGGCCCACTTCAACAATTGCTCCAAATCAACAGCCGCACCTGGCTTCTTTTTATCCGCCTCGGTCCATTTCTTCCAAATGCCCAGATCAAGAGCAACCTGAATACCAGCGATAAGCACAGGTGTCTCTAGTGAAAGCCTCCAACCTTGCTCGAATGGAGTCTCGAGACGATTGAGTAAGCGTCTTGCGGCTTCTTTGGCTTCATACCGCTCTGCATCGTCTGCAAACTGTGTGGGTCGGATGGAGTCCAAAGACTGTATCACGTTCTTGGAATAGTCTGGCACTCGCATGGTAGTTGGTATCAGTTGTATGAGTTCGCTCAAAAAATACATATATGTGGTACAAACAGGCAGGCAAGGCGGGTTGCTTGGGAATACTTATGGTTCACTTCCGCGGCTGTAACGGGCCAGAGCTATTGAAGGCACTACTACCCTCCTCGAATGCAGTCGCATGTGGCGTGCAAGACTATAGCCTTGGCAATTGTGGAGCAGACACAAGGGAGTATTCCTTCGCGTATGTTGTATTTGATGGTGGTTGATGACTCGTGCAGAAAGGTTACCCCCTGCTGGTGATTTATCCTATCTTGCAGGCTCTGACATTCTGGACCGTTTCACGCAGCGTTTGGGTGCTTTAGGAGCGAACCCATAGCTGTGCATTCTGCTACCAGACTTTCCATATCTATCCATTGTCTTTTTGCTACAATCATGTCAAACTGAATTATTGGAGATGAGTCCGGAGGGCTGACTTTAGTTTTCAGCGTTCAGCGGACAGCTCGAATATGAACTCTAGTAGTAGCTCTAGCGATTCAGTCTTGAAAAAATTGAAACCACTGATTGCATGTTAGAGATTCGGAGGCATTCATGTTATTTCAATCCCTTCATTTACTCAAATCGCGCGTCTCGGATGTCCTTTTTGACTTGCCGCTTCGACAGAGCAGCGCCACTGCGACGCAGATGAAGCAACTGACGGGTCTGTAACCAACTCGACAATGCTCTCTGCCCTGGTAGCCTCCATGTCACTCATCTTAGTCTCAAAATCCGTCATCCTGTAAATCTCGAAGCCGCTTTTCTTCTTCTTGTGTAATGGATTTGAATAGGTGCGAGAGTTCTTCGACGAGTAATCGCTTGTGCATTTTCTCGTTACCCAGGTCTCTGCTCTAAACAGACCATTTATGACTGGTGCGTTGACAGCGAAAATTGATACAATCTTTGGTGAGACGTCAGAATAGCTCGATATCAGCGGTAGGAAGCTGTTTGAACTTACAGCCTCACGCTGCGCCCATACTGAGGCGAGAGCTACTTGAACAGAAGTTCCAATTGACAAGATGCAACGGGCTGTAGCCATTCCCACGACAAACAGTCCAAGGGAGAGTAGGAAAACGATTCGTATTTTTCTATCAGTAAAAGTCAGCTAGGGAAAATTTACTTCTGATGCGAACCCGCAATAACTCACCGCCAAAGTCTGATGTGTGAGTCTTTGAGCATCCAAAGAGGTACTACGAGCAAAAATGCATCAACTCTACCCTTGTGTTAGTTATTTCTTATACGATTTGAAGAAGTCACCTACAAGACATTGCCTACTGCAATGACGATGTTGATGACAACACCAGCCGAGCATTCCTTGCCAGGGTCAGGAAGTATTTGCCAGTTCCTTTTCAACGGCAAACAATGCGTAGTCTGCGTGGTAATTGCAGCGATGAATGCTGCAATTGATATACCTCCAACGGCCTGTACATATCGATAAAGAGGAGTGTTCCTACTGCATATTGTTGTAAGCATGGGTTGCTTCTTCTAGACCTTGGAACTTACGTGAAACGGAGGAATAGAATTATGATGCAGCCCTTGAGACTCCATACGAGGAAGATCAGGAAGTAAAAAGACGCAAACATCGCCTTTGCACCTTCTCGCATGGACTTGCGCGTTGCAGGCGGGAGTGCTTCGCGCTGCTCCTGTGTCATTGCTATCGGAGCTCCAGTTACATCTGGGAGGTTCAGTTCGATATCTCTATGTAAAGACATTTGTCATTATCGCAAACTTACTGAGAAACTCTACCATTGCATAAATCATGGTAAAGAACACCCAAGATGAGAATGCAAAGAAATCATCCGAGTGAAAACCTCGCCGTCCTGCAATTTTCCATCTTGCAAAGAACCGCAACAGAATAATGGCACTCCCAATGGCATACTCGACCCGACATTCGATGAGTATCGCATTGGGATCAGGCATGTTTCTGAAGCTCTGGTAAGGCGTGTGAGTAGTATATTGATAGAATCAGGGCTGGCTGGCTCGCACTGCGATCCTATATGAGGCTCCATTTCCGGGGATGCACATATGACTTCAGAGGTCCGACGTTCAATGCTCCAAGCCCTCAATGGGGATGGATGCAGTAGATAGTAACTTGGCAAAGGATTCTATATCAGGGGTCGGATGCGCCGCTGGATGGTGTGTGAAAATCAGTCGGGTTACCCATTCACAGCTTTCTCTGGACTGCATACAAAAGCTCCTCTCCCAACACAAAGGGCGGCCAAAAGAAGGGGAGCTTGTACTACGTGAGCTGCCCCTCCAATTACTGCTCAGCGTCCGCGGAACATGATAAACGGGCGGAAACTTGGAAGCAGTCCACGCGACCCTCGCTTAGCAATGGAATGACTCGCGATGGTGTGAGTAGGAAGAAAGAATTGTGGAGCAGGAACTATGGTGGAAGGGAAAAAAGAGCCGTGGTGGATGCGGCGTTGCGGCGTTGCGGCGTGGATGCGGCTGACCAGTTACACTGGCCCTCGCCTACAAGTTCGCAACGCCTATCGTGTACACATAGGGACTAGTAATGTTTTGATAGAGTCGCTCATGGTATGCAGTGTTTTCAGTGGCTCATCCCTTGCCCTCAGTTGCAAATCCTCTGGGAGGTAGCCATACATGCATCGACGATGCCCTCCGCGGAGGCGGCTAGAGCAAAGAACAAAGACTCGAAAATTGCCGCGATCCCTGCACATCAAGGTATACTTTAGGTACACATATATTATGAAGCTAGGAAGTTCCAATTCAGGGTAAAACTCCTCCAGTCGGTTGTTCCAATAGTTTGGAGGACGGAAAGCCTGTACCTACTGTCGACTTTTTAAGCAAATGATCGCTGTGAAGGATTTGATGTGTGTTTCGAGACTGCACTCTAGCTCTTGCAGCGGAAATTAATCCAAGCAAGCAGAGTGTCGGGAATTATCATACCCTATTGTTGGGAGCAGGAGCTTGGCGGAAGTCCAAGCTTGTTACATGACCTCAGATGCATACTGATTCGTCTTATTTGATATCACCTATGGAATAACACGAACATACTCCTGTAAATCCACGCTAGATGATCTAACTCGCAAAATTATGCTTGCATCTGAGAATCTGAACTCCACGTGTATCGCCCAACCCTTTGCATCAGCTAGCCGGCCCAGGTTCTTCATGACAGTAATATAGTCCCAAATATTCCCAATAGTGCCTTGGTTGACTACGAAAACCAATCTATTCAGCTTAAAATGCTGATACTGTGTCTCAAGCGCCAACGCATGGCACGATGACATGAGACCGAATCCGATGTCATGAAGTGGGAAACGCATTTCCGATGCGTTGTAGATGAGTGACGAGGTAGGCGAAGTTAGAGCGTAAGAGTAGATGAGATTGCGAATTTCTCCCGGAAGACGAAGGAGGAATGGGATTTCCGTGGATGATGTAGTAGATGGTGTAGTAGTGGGGCTGACTTTGACTGGACCAAGGAGCTTGAGATGATGCTTTTTGGCTTTTGATCGGAATTTGCCTATCTTCGTGGGGTTCTGGAAAGAGGGCCCGTGTGGGTGAGAGGGGTCACAAGCGTCTTGAGGGCGTGTCGCTTCATCGGAATGAGATCGCTGTTCTGATGGAGGAGATTGGATGGGCATCTTTGCTATCACTGTTGTATTGCTGGTGTTACTAGATATTGCTGGTGCGCTGGGATGCTTGATGGTGGTGGTGGGGTGGGGAGTGAAAGGACTCAATAAGTATTCACTGGTGTTGAGGGAGACCAAGTTCACTTTAGATAGAAGTTTATCATTGTCTCAGAAATAGGGAAACATGTATTATGTTCAGCATTGTGAGCATTGGCCGGTGAATGGTGAGGGTATCTCGCTACCAAGTACCTAGTATTGGGCCACATTCACAGTTGCTATTGTCACACCTGCAAACCAAAGGTCAGCAAAACCAGAGTGTGCCACTCAGAGCGATACTTACTAATATATGGAATGCCCTGCTCCTGTGATGCGCGCTATATATACTGTTCGTGCACGCGGAGAGGTAAAGGTCCAATCCAAATCGCAAGAAAGAAGATGCGTATCATAAAACCACCGTACTCTTCTGTCCCGGCAGCATATTCTCCTCGAATTCAATTTTCTTGATATGCTGCCCCGGCACAACAATTAGTCCAACAAAGCGGCTGTTCCAGGCCACAGACGCAGATTGGTTACCCGACTCTTCAACAGCCTTGCGAATGGCCTCTGCCGAAGGAGCCCGGTACTCATGTGCCAGCGCGAGAATAATGTTGCGGTCCTGATGGATGTTAAAAGCCGCTGTGATACACAGTCACAGCCAATGTGAGCTGCCCACCTTGTCCGTGCATTTCATTTGACCCCCGAAGACGCGGCCATCGCTCGCGTGTATGCGCAGGTTCTTTCCAATGAACTGGCTCAGCCAAAAGGTGGCTTGCTCGTTGTCCATTTCGGGCGTCTTTTTAGCTCGTAAGGAGAACCAGCTGTGGCGGTTTCTCCTCTTTGCCGCCAACATGGTCGCTCTCTGGAAAAAGAGGGGACTCCGATGTGGCTGTGTAGATCGCCTGAGGCTGGAGGGAGTGGCTTGAGCCGGGTGGAGGTGGGAACAGTTCGCCGAAAAGTCTTGGCATGTTTGACGCGTTTGCCGATGATTTTTGGAACTGTGATGAGCGCATGCGACGGCCGCAGTTCTCGCCCACGACAAGATGCAGTCAATACGGCGGAGCTGCCAATTGGCACTCCAGAATCCGCGATATGCCTGTATATATGCCAATGGCTCGAGACGGGCCTTCTCACAGAGTCTCACCCACTCAAGAGGTCCGCATCCTCTTCCAACCCAACAAGCACTATTCGCCCAGACATTGACTCGATACAGGCGCCCTCCCAAACTTTCTCCCGCCCTCTTCTCCTGAGCTCTCTACCCTCCTCTCGACCTTCAATTCAAAGGTTCTGCTCCCATATCATCTGACAAAAGAGCAACAAAAACTCGTCTACTCTCAAGAGTCCCGCCCCAAACTCGAAGCCGAGCCTGTGGAGATAACCCTGGGAGATGTCACTCTTCCCCTCGAGCACCTGGACCGTAACAAGCTACCCGATCGCTGGCAGACACTCCGTGGTGTAGTGGAGAAGAGCGAAACGCAGGAAGACTGGGAAAATGTACTTCGATGTCTCGAGGGATTCGTGGAAGCGGGAATCAGGACCAGGCCCCGATGGCAGGAAATGATTATCAGGAAACTGGCTCTGGCCGATATGCACCATCTGATCTTGAAGGCGCTGCAGAGACCAAAGGCAACAGGGATCCGTCTGAGCAACCGGGGTGTGCTGACCCAAGTCTTGAGAAGTGTGCACAGCAGGGCTGCAATAGTCGACTGGGACCAGGAAGAGACGACAAAGGCGCTCAAGATGGCGAAGCAGGTTGTGGAGCTCATGGAGCATAAGGATCATTGCGGCAATAAACCCGTGGCTATGACGGAGCAGGATGGCGACTGGAGGGGGCACCCTGTCGTTATTGCGCTACCCACTGAACTGGCTGCTATTGTTGCTGAGAAGTACGGCGGGGACAAAGAGGAGGTTAAGAAGATGGCAACCCGCTTGGTCGCTGCAATCAAGCAGACTGATTTCGTTGTAAGTCTTCCTCTTCACCCACCAACGACCTGAATATCTTCTAATCACCATTTTTTCCAGACATCACTCAATGGCCTCTTGGAAAGCTCAGCAAAAACCTCTGCCGACTTCCCGGATGTTAAATCGCACCTCGACTTCGTCACTAAACATTGCCATGATTTGTTCGAACTTGTCATTGTTTGGAACGCGCTCAAGACCTCTCGTAAGGTACTTGGAAGTGACATGCCCATGGCGAACGAGGCGCAGCAATTCGAGGCAAAGGTTGAGCAAGTCCTGAAGCAATCAGTAGATAAACGTGATGCTCTTGCATCGCGCAATGGAACGGTGCTAAAGACACAGTACCTAGACATGGTAAAGGAGGCGGTTGAGGAGTGCAGTTAGGGCGAGAGATTATAAGATGTAGGATCATATTGTAAAAAAAATATCGAGGCTACCATGTGAATATTCAAAGATGATATATTTCCACGAAATGCAAAGAGAGCTGGCGTCAACCTGTCATTGACTGGAGAAAAACTCTAAAACTGATTTTTTTTTTTCCTTAAAAAATGAAGCTTTCATCCGCGTCTAATCGATCACACTCCTGATGTTCATCCAGTAAAAAAGACTAAATCAATAATTATTCATTTTTTTCAGTAATCACGCCGTGACCAATTCTACCACAACACCACAAACCCCAATCTAGGATGTAAAATCCCACCTCCTCTTAGACCTAACCACCCTCTTATCCCCCTTATACTTGAACACCCTAATCTTGCGCCTCCCCTTCTCCATACTTTTCCTTAACCCAGCCCTGACGCCAGTCCTATCCACAAAATACTCGTCGTCAGGCCCAACCTCCACCGCGCGCTCCAGGCGCTCCAACTCGTCAATCTGATCAAAGATTGGGTGCCGGGGCAGCATGAAGACATCTTCTATTAGCAGTCCGACGAATTCATTCCAGGTGTCCAGCACCATGGGTCGCGAGTTCATGCGCGCGTGGGCATGTAGTCGCAACGCGTCGCCGTAGAGACGGAGGAGCTTGTCGAGCACAATGGTGTTTTGAGACAGTATGCAGCGTAGCTGTGTTTGGAGGTGGCGATGGTTTCGGGGTCCGTGGAGGTCGAGGCGCATGGTGGGTAGGTTGCACTGAATTTCGTGTAGGACGAGCGAGCAGAAGCAGCGGTTTGGGAAGGCGTCGGCGTAGTCGGACAGGAGGATGGCGTCGACGAGCGTGGGATGTAGAATCTTTTCCAGGTCCGTAAGAGACGGCATGATGTACGGAGCGGGATGTTTGCCGACATGTTTGGGAGAAAGATCAGGGGGTCTCGTGGCATGCGCGGATTTATCCTCAGTCGCACTTTTCAGCTTGATTGTGGTGGCTATAGGAATTATATGGTGGGTGAGTTCGAGCGGTTGGCTTCTGCGCCTTCTTATAGCCAGTTGAAACGGAGTTGGTAAAGAAGATTTGGAGTCCGGGGATGAAACCAATTGTATACGAGCAAAATCCCGTACAATGATGTCAGTGGGAAGCCATGTTGACTGAGAAGGGGAATCTTCCTCAGCTCCTTTTACATTGGATTCAGAAAAAGCTCGTGGCCTTTTGGGTAGCGCTTGAAATAGATCAATTCCAGAACGATCGGCAAGTGGTTGCGGAGATGGGGGCCCCGGAGTAACTTTGGTGACAGGCGATGCCAGCTGAGTATCAGAAACAGTACGCACTGTATCAATAGCACATAAATCATCCAGCGTCTCTAGCGAATGGTGCATTGGGGTATCCGCTTTGGCGTCAATAGCGTCAGGCTCGTGTATATCTTTCTCATCCCATAACATCTCCAACGATTGCAGTAGCCCAAGCTGCGCTTCTGTATCCATATCTATAACGAAAGATGATGGCAGTGAAACAACGGAGTTTTATGCCAGGATGGCAGTAGCGAATTGGCAGTAGACGTAAGTTTTCGGCTTGGCAGACATCCAGCAACAGACGAGTGACTGACTTGCGATAGAAATGAGATAGGAGATAGGCATGGGGCGAGAAATAGCGAGCTTGGAGGTGTTGGGGTGTTGCCCTGTGTGTCCACATTCGATCTATTGATTTGTTGCTGCCCTATCTGCATCCATGGTTCTCTAAGTCGCTGCCTTTGTTGCGACCCTTGTAGAAACAGCTACCCTAAACAAAAATTCTTTCCCCAAACCCTATCCTGAAAGGCTACGGCGAAGCCTTCGTTTCTTTTCCTAAGAAGCCATTAATTGATACGCCAAACGCGAGCCAAGTGGCATCCTATCAAAGTACCAGTGATCGTGGTGAATAGTAATTAGTCGTAACTGTCATCCGTTCTCCTGCTGGAGGATTCGTTTAACAAAGTAGTAGGTAAACATCGTTGCGCATGGTCGCAAGGGCAAGCGATCCCGGCTATTCGAGAAAGGTAACCGCGGCTGAAGGCCGAGGAAAGGACACAGAGCCTTGAACATCTGGCACTGCTCGTAAAATAGTCGTATTCGTACAATGGTATCATTCTTCAAATCCCAACCACTCGCCAGCGTCGCTGTCTCCATCCTCCATTTCTTCATCCTCAATGCCATTTTCTATTTCCTTGACGCCAAAGTCGATAGCAAGTGGTGTGCCATCCTTCTTACCCACGGGTTGAGAAAGCAGATATTCGATGCGATAGATGTTGTCATCTGCTAACCTGGCAAGTTCGGCTTGAATCCTTCTCACGGCCTTCTCTACGCTTCGCAGCTCTGCTTCTAGACCGCCCTTGTGCTCTTTCATCCATCGGCCGTGCTTGCTGAGAAGTGATTCTATCCATACCAAGTTGAATTCCAGATGTGGAGACTCGTCGGCCTGGTGTGCGACGAACCGCAGTAGTCGACCAAGGTAGACAGAAGGTAGTTCTTTGACTACAAGCGGAATGTTAGTGACAGGTATGGCTTCATAGACGCGTCGGATGAGGTTGCGCTCATTCAATCGGAACGCCATTACTAGGGCCTTGAGGTAATCCTTTTGTGCCAAAGTGTCGAGAGTGGTTGCTGGTGTGACGTCAATGTCGAGGTCGAAGGGATCAAACTGGAACGTATTGTCCAGCGAGTAGATGAGCAAGCCCTCGGTGGAAGCAGCACAGAAAGCGCGGCCAGTGGGTGAAAAAGCAACATCTGGGACCCGCACTTCAGGCCGTGTTCGCCTTGCGCCAATGCCCTTTTGAGCACCGGGAAGGGTGGTGTCTCGGCGGGTTTCAAGATCCGACGCTTCGCCCTGATCATCAATGAGTCCCTCTGGACCTGCTTCAGTGAGGAGTTTGCTATTCAAGAACTCTTGTGTACCATCCAAAGATAAATTGACGGATACAGTAAACTTCTTGAGCAAAGCACCTGACTGGACATCATATAAGCAGATGTACTTGCTGTTTCCGCCAGCCAAGACGCAAGTGCCGTCTGCACTGTACTTGACGGATGAAAAGGCCTTTGTGCCAGCGACGTTGGCTGCCGTTCGTCGGTCTGACATTTTACGGCCACCAGACACATCCCGTCGCGCATCGACGCCACTCTCCTGTGCAGCGTCGGAGACATTCCAAAAGGTCAGCTGGCCATCGAGCGTTGTGACGGCAATCTGCTTCGAGTCTGGACGGAAAGCCACACAGAGGATATCAGCCATGAGCTGTAGCGGCTCGCTGGTCTGGGTGCGGGCAAAGATGTTCCAAACGCGCACGGTCCTATCCCAGCTTCCGCTCACTAGTGTACCTGCATCTGGAGAGAAGGATAAAGAGGATACAGGGCCTTCGTGTCCTGATAGGCGATCGAGCAGCTGGCCAGTCTGAACCGACCAGATGTGGATGTCGAAGGAATCGATGGAGCCTGCGCAAACAACCTCTCCACTAGGGTCGACAGCCAGCGAGGAAAAGGAAAGTCTGGAGGGGGCGGTGAATGTACGGAAATTTCTGTAGCGATGCAAATCCCATGCGCGGACGGAACCGTCAAGACTGGCTGTAAACAGGACATTGCCTTTTTTGGCAAACTCGCAGGCTGTTACGCCACCCATATGCTCTGTAAAGGTGACGACGCAGAAACCTGAGTTCACATCCCACACCTTGATCTTGCCGTCATCTGCGGCTGTGATGATTCTTTGACCGTCTGGCGAATAAGCAATGGTATTCATCGAGTCAAAATGCCCCTGCTGCTTCAAGATGTATGATTCCGACTGCCATTCCCAGACGAGCAGCTGACCCAGCTTTGATGCGCCAAAGGCGAGCCACTCTCCCGTCTTGTTGATAGCGACATAGTCGATGTCGTTTTGCGATATGCTCAGGCTAGAGATTTGAGCGAAGTCGGGCAGTTCGTGGATGAAGAAAATGCCGTGAGAAAAGCCGGTGACCAGCAGCTTGGACTCTGGGTGGAAGCTGGCGCATGTGACGTGGGCGTTGTTCTGGTGGAAAAAGTGGCGCTCTGCGATGCCCCACTGGAGGTTATCGTCGTCGTCTTCATCGGCGTCTGCTGGCGCATCGTAGCGTAGCATGTACTTCCATGTGAAGAGGGCGCCGTCCTTGCTGACGGTGTAGATTGTTTCCTGGTCCTTTGAGAACCATGCGCCGGTGACCTCTTGGCGGTGACCGCTCAGTGTGGTTTGCGCATGTCCCTCCTCCTGGTCAAGGCTCCATATGCGGGCCGTCATGTCCTTGGATGCGGAGAGGAAGAAACGCGAGTCGCTCGACCATTCTATGCTCTGGACGGCGTTATAGTGTCCGGTGTAGACGCGGTGGCGCACAAAAGGCGCAAACTCGAGGTCGCCTTCCGCAACATCTGGTGTTGAAGGCGTGTGCCATACTTGGATTTGGCGTCCAATGCCCACTGCGAAATGGCGACCCGAGGGCGAAAAGGCGAGGGCAGTCACTTCGCCGCCGAGGGAGAAGTGGTAGAGGACGATGCGTCGGGGGACATTGGTGAGGACTGCGCGGCCGTCCTGGTCGACGGAGAGAAGAAGATTTCCGCGGGGGTTGAGTGCGAGGCGAACAATGTTCTTGCGATGGGCAAAGGGAAGCGTGTACGACTTGGAGCTGGGATGCGTGAGCGGGCTGGATGCATGCGCCGATATATTTGTGCGTCTACATACCTTACGAGGTCGAAGACAGTCACGCGATTGCCTACAGGCGACAGCAGACAGGTACCATCTGGGGTGAAGAGAAGGTTGCCTCTGCTGTAGACAGTACCTAGCAAGTTGGAGAACTGGGATTATGTCAGCCAGGTGAATGTGTAGAGTAATTTGCACATGTATACTGAACGTACCTGGAAGTCAGTCTTCATGATCGCTATGGGCTGCTGGGCTGCGCGACCATGGCGTTGTTCAAGATGGTCTGGAGTGTAGTGTACAGCAATGTGCTTGTTGTAATGGTCGTCAGTAGTAACAATTCCAAGTCCACAACTTTTTTCCAGCGCTCGGATCTCCATGCAGACACGCTAGTCAGGCGGATTCCCCGTCGTGGGCCCGTGCGCGCGTGCCTGCCGCCGACTGACCGACCGCCCGACTCTCGCAGAAAGGGGAGTCGGCCCAAATTGTCCACCACCACAAACAACGATCTCTCTCTTCTACACATAGCCCACACGCTTGCTCGTTGCTGGATCACGTTTGTGTATGTAAGCAACCCACCCATCCACTCCTTCTCCTCGCTATCATCGTGATCCTGCTTGCACGCAGCCGTGTTGGATTCGCGCCAAAGCCTCGACTCGACTACTAACACGTCCCTGTAGACCCTTTCCCCGTACCCATCCCGCATCTTTCTCAGCAGCTCTCGACACCACCACACCATGGCCGAGTCCGCGTCCCCAATTGGCATTGCCAATGTACGTATCTCCATTGTCCAGCTATACATGCTACATACTAACCTTCTTGCCAGCTCCCCAACCAGAGGTACCGTCTACTGTCTCGAATGGACACGGAGCCCCCAGTCTAACGTAGCACAGGCACAAGATTGTTGCCAAGCGTGGTGCTGCTTTCACCATCATGGTAAGTCACCAACCCCCTATACACGCCTCGTAGATCCCCGTCTCACACTTCTAGGTTGCTGGAGAGTCTGGCCTCGGAAAGACGACCTTCATCAACACCCTCTTCTCCACCACCATCAAGAACTATGCCGACCACAAGCGACGACACCACAAGCAGATGGACAAGACGGTCGAGATTGAAATTACAAAGGCAGAGCTTGAGGAGAAGTTCTTCAAGGGTAGGCTTCTCCTTCTGAATGCTTGTTTACACCCCTATGTACAGTAGCTGACCCTTTGCAGTCCGACTCACCGTCATCGACACGCCCGGATTCGGCGACTACGTGAACAACCGCGACTCGTGGCAGCCCATCATCGAATTCCTCGACGACCAGCACGAGTCGTACATGCTCCAGGAGCAACAACCACGCCGTACCGACAAGATCGACCTCCGTGTCCACGCCTGTCTCTACTTCATCCGCCCCACGGGCCATACGCTTAAGCCCCTCGACATTGAGGTCATGAAGAAGCTGTGCACACGCGTTAACCTGATCCCCGTTGTCGCAAAGGCCGACACACTGAGCCCCACTGATCTGGCCAGGTTCAAGATGAGGGTACGTGTTTCTTTTTTTTTCTTGTGCACCCCCTGCAATGCATGCTGACCGCTTCTAGGTACGCCAGGTGATTGATGCTCAGGGCATCAAGATCTACACTCCTCCGCTAGAGGACGACGATGCTGCCGCCATGCAGCACGCCCGCAGCCTCATCGATGCTATGCCCTTCTCCGTCATTGGCTCTGAGAAGGACGTGCAGACCAACGATGGCCGCACAGTCAAGGGCCGACAATACGCTTGGGGTGTTGCCGAAGTCGAGAACGAGGAGCACTGCGACTTCAAGAAGCTGCGCGCCATCCTCATCCGAACCCACATGCTCGACCTGATCCACACGACCGAGGAGAACCACTACGAGGCCTACCGCGCCGGCCAGATGGAGACGAGGAAGTTTGGCGAGGCACGCCCAAGGAAGCTGGACAACCCCAAGTTCAAGGAAGAGGAGGAGGCGTTGCGCAAGCGCTTTACCGAGCAGGTCAAGGTGGAGGAGCAGCGCTTCAGGCAATGGGAACAGAAGCTTATTGCCGAGCGCGACCGCCTCAACAAGGACCTCGAGGCCAGCCACGCGGAGATCAAGCGTCTGGAAGGCGAGGTGGATGCTCTGCAAGGCAGCATCAACCGCTCTCACGGCCGCCGCTAAGCCGCTCAGGCTGTAGCCTGTGCTGTAGTGCCACGGGCTGGTGCATATGTGGTGTGTGGCGGTTTGGCAATGATTGTCGAGATTCTTCCTCCTTGCAAGATTCCCCTTCTGTTTCGAATTGTTTGGTTGTCATATGTGTGTAATGTCGCTCTGCGATGGGGGGAGGGTTTTCGGCTATGGGCAAATGTGGCACTGGACCTGGGCTAAAACAGCATGTCATAGCTTCTACTTTGTTCTTTTTTTTCTCTGATACAATGTGGTATTAATTTTAGCCCCACTGTTTTTTTGTTTGTCTGTCTGGCCCTGGAATGATGTTATTGGTGATGTATGGCTAGACCTTTAGTCCGCCAAAAACTCTGTCCAGCTCTTCGCCTTGCTTTGCTTTTTGCTCGGCCTGGGGATCCAAGTCCATGAGGTTTTGTTGTTGGTGCTCTTTTCCCTTGTCCTCGTCTACACCTTCTGGTTTGAGGATATGGACTCCGCTGTCCAGCCAGCCCGGCGCTACTCTTCTTTTCTCGGCCAAATCCTCTGCTCGTCGCCTCTCCTCCCACTGTGCCAGTGTCCTCCGCGCATCATCTTCAAGTTGCTTCAAATGCGCCTGTAGCGCTGTGCATGACGAGAGAATCTGGTCTGGAGATGCAGACGTGCCGGACGCAGACACGACGTATGCGCCTGAGGATTCTTGTTGTTGTTGTTGGTGAGGATGATGTGAAGGCGTCGACTCGTTTTGTTGCTGTTGTTGTTGTTGTTGCTGCTGCTGCTGCGAGAGGATACTTGGCGGCAGAGTCGAGGGAAGTGACTTGTATGAGTAAGGGAGGGGTGTGGCTGTGGGCAGCGAGATGAATGGCGAGACGGTGAGGGGGACTTGGGCGAGGAGGGGGTGGGGGTCTGTGTCGGTTGGATACGTCAGCTTCTTTCACGCCATGGTGGCGGGAATCGAGAAAACTTGCGTTCGTCATGCATCTTTGTCGTCTTGTTTTGTTAGCGGGTGTACGTGTGTGTGTGTGTGTGTGTGTGTGTGTGTGTGTGTGTGTGTGTGTGTGCGACTGAGGGAAACGTCAAGGCGTCAATAGCAGCGGGAGCGGAGAAGATCGGGGATCATGGGGCGGTTTGAGATGTGGGGAATAGTAAGACCCAACCAAACCCGAGGATGCAAGGTACCATCAGTGAGCCTAGACCCCAAGGCCAACTACCGCACCTGAGGTTTTTGCGGGGTGCATACAACATATGCACCACCGTTGGAATCTCTGATCGTCCAACCGTTGCAATAGGAAGAGATGTATGTCTTCATCTTGTTGGAGTGTAACACAAGGTTGATTACCGGCAAAATGTCCAAAGTGGCGAACTTGCATCGCTATTCGAGACACTCGACCATGTGCTTCTCCGCTTTCCGACTCGCATTGCAGAGAGACCCAGCACGCAATGTCGCTTATGCCATTCTCATACCACCGCCACTATGCTTCATATCCCTCATCCTGATAATGTAGAATGACGCTGACATTCTCGCAAGGTTTCGCCAAACATGCCAAAGTGACACCACGCAGGTTTGCCGATCGAGACCAAAAGGCTAGATCGCTGAGTTGTACTCACGTGCACCTTGATGTATGCCAGCCAGCCAGTACATGTACGTTCCAGATGTATAACTACATGTGTAGTACAAACCTGCAGCAATAAACCTATCCCTCCCGCAACCACTCTTGACACCCCCAATGGCTTGCTGCCCCGCCACTCTGGCAGACGGGGAATCCGCTGCCTCCCGAGATAAGAATGACGCGGTCAGGAATAGACAGCGGTCTTGTGTGTCTCAGCGTACCGTGCCGAGCGGATGCCGTCACTCAGCACTCAGTCAGACTGTCCCAGGCGTAAGATTAGGTTACGGAGACGCGTAGCGAAGCCGGGTGGCGGGGTGCGGCTGAGACAAGACGTGCCCATAGCATCTGTGGAAGAGGGCATCTAAATTTCTACATATTTATACTCTACCTATGTAACGTAGCTAACTATATACTAAACCGCCACACGCTAGTTAAAGTGGATAGTCTCCAGCGCGCTTACGTAGGTGTAAGTACTTGCACGAACTCCCAAGCATTTCTAGACGACGGTGTGAAACATGATAGTCGCCCCATCCTACCCGCTGCTGGTCCTGAAACATGAAACTTGTTTACATGGCAGGACCCAGCAGTACCCCCCGCGCCCAAGGAGCTGTCGTCGTCGATTGTGTGACAAGCGTGCGGTGATTAGCTGTCTTGGATCAGCAGCCCTTTTGAGCAGCACAAGAGTCCTTGGCCTTTCTACGCCGCTGCCATGCATTCTAGCGAAGACTTATACCAAGTATGCACGTTGCTTGGCCCAATTATGTACAGCATGCATAGAAGAAATGGCGAATTCGGCAAATTAGACTGTAGTTCCTCCGTGTCCGGTGCAGACATGCACCAAAGGCTGCTCCATATGTACTCAAGTACTATATGTCTCTATACATGCAATGATGCTAGGCCGCTCACTAAACGGAACACGGCACCGTTGCGCAAGAGGAAGGATGGATACCGAAACTCGGCATTATTTCTCATCATGACAAAGCCACAAAGACAATAGGTACATGCTCCGGTCTGTCAATATATCCGCCCTGCGCAACATACATACTGTCGGGCGTTGCTGCACGTGTCCCTGTATCTGTAGCACGTGCATGGCCAGATAAGTACATGCAGGCGCGAGGAGCCGACAATTAGATGAATAAACGGCCGTCTTAATTGCAGGGCAATGGAAGGCCCGAGGCGGCGTGGTGGGCGATGCCAGGCGAGGCGACAGCAGACACAATATATTAGATTGGTAGTGGGAAGTAGTGTGGAGAGACCGAGTCGCACATGCAAGCGCCGCAAAGTTGACGACACTGACACTGGGCTTGAGGCGAGTCGCCGGAACGGGCGTCACGGAGCCGTTGGCGAAAAGGACGTGCGAATGCGGTCAAAAAGAGGGCTTGGGCGCATGGCTGGGGGTGCGAGTGTGTGATGAAAGGATGAGTCCCAAGAGTTGTTTCCAGCCGCTTAAACGGCGCTAGGCCGGTTGGGGCAAGCCTCGAGCGTCCCAAACGGGCTATAGCAGCGTCGCCAACGGCAAATGAGCTGGATTCCCGGCTTTAAGGCAATCTACATCAATCAACTCCCCCATGTCGCCCTTATTGCTACATATTAACCACCTGCCCTGGCCCTTGGCGAGGTCACGTTGACCACCCCCCGCGCCCAATAGCACCGCGTCTCATGCTAATCCAACCTGCTTGCGAGACCCACCGTTCTCGATTCCCATCTTCTGTGCCTGGCTCAAGGGGCCTGTTCTGCCGCCTCCAGATGCAACTCCCCCAGGTAGTGGCTTGGCCCTATTGGCGTCCATCCTACCTTCTATGCACTCGATAGAAGCGTCTAGGGGGGAGGGGTGTATGATGGCGGGCACCTTCAAAATGTATATAACCACCATGGCACCCTGGCATGGTCCTCCAGCCCGCCAGCTTTCACCTTCGCTCATTTTTACTAACCCCTCAACATGAAGGGCTCTTCTTTCGCAAAGGCAGCTGCGCTGCTCTCTTCTTCTTTCGCCTCTCTAGCATACGCTCAGGAAACTTTTACCCATGCTGCCACCGGCATCACCTTTTGGCGCCAAGTGGTCAGTAGCGCTGAGACTGCTGGTGGCCTCGAATGGGGAATGGCCCTCCCCGAAGCCTCGACTGGCAACAACTTGGACTACATTGGTTACATTGTGAGTCCTCCAAAACATATATACCGTATTATCTGCCTAGTCTTGCCCTTACTAACACACCACTCCAGAAAGGTTCCCTCACCTCCGGCCAGGGTTGGTCTGGTTTGAGTCACCGTGGTGGCATGCCCGATGCCCTTCTTCTCGTGGCCTGGCCCGATAAAGATGCTGTCAAGGCTGGCTTCTACCATGCAGCGTCAGTTTAGTTCCGACATGGTTGTCAAATCCCCCCACTAACCAAGTACAGTGGCTACACAGCCCCCGTCGACTACACTGGCAATGCCACTCTAAGCACAATCTACCAGAAGGTTTCTGACACCAACTTTGAGTACGTTTACCTGTGCAAGAGCTGTTGGGCTTGGAACCAAGGAGGTGCCGAAGGCTCTCAACTGCCAACTGGCGAGGTGCAAGTCATTGGATGGGCTCAGCACGATAAGGTTTACTCCGGTACTTGGGTCCAGCACAACAAGGGCCAGGGTCTCTTCGGTGCTCAAGTTGCCCCGGCCAGGAGCGCAAAATACCCTGACTGGGAAAAACTGGCCCAGCCCCCCACAGGCTCACCTACACCCTCACAGCCTGGTACCTCCCCCACACCAACTGCAGCATGCCAGGGTTCTCCGGCTCCCACCGGTTCCTACGACTACATTGTCATCGGTGGTGGTGCTGGAGGTATCCCCATGGCTGACAAGCTTTCCGAGTCCGGCAAGAGTGTTCTTCTGCTCGAGAAAGGCCCGCCATCTCTTGCTCGCTTTGGTGGAAACATGGGCCCTGCCTGGGCTCTCAGTAATAACCTCACCCGCTTCGACATCCCCGGTCTCTGCAACCAGATCTGGGTTGACTCTGCTGGTGTCGCCTGTACCGACATTGACCAGATGGCCGGCTGCGTGCTTGGTGGCGGTGCTGCCGTCAACGCTGCGCTTTGGTGGAAGCCAGTCGATATCGACTTCGACTACCAATTCCCTGCTGGCTGGAAATCATCCGATGTCAAGCCTGCCATCGACCGCGTCTTCTCGCGCATCCCTGGAACTGACACTCCTTCCGTCGATGGCAAGCGTTACAAGCAAGAAGGCTTCAACCTTCTCTCCAGTGCCCTTGGTGCTGATGGCTGGAAGAGCGTCACTGCGAACAGCCAGCAGAACCAGAAGAACAGGACTTACTCCCACGCTCCCTTCATGTACGAGAACGGGCAGCGTCAGGGTCCTCTTGGCACTTACATGGTGTCTGCGCTTAAGAGGTCAAACTTCAAGCTCTGGACAAACACCATGGCTCGCCGTGTTATCCGCAACGGCGGAGTCGCTACTGGTGTTGAACTCGAGAGCGGCGTTGGTGGCACCGGCTACTGCGGTACTGTCAACCTGAACCCGGGTGGCCGTGTCGTCCTTTCCGCTGGTTCTTTCGGAAGTACCAAGCTTCTCTTCCGCAGTGGTATTGGACCAAAGGACCAACTCAGTGTTGTCAAGGCCAGCGCTCGCGACGGTGCTACTATGATCAAGGAGTCTGACTGGATTAACCTTCCTGTCGGACAGAACTTGAACGACCACGTCAACACCGATCTCGTCATTAAGCACCCCAACATTTCCAACTACAACTTCTACGAGGCATGGGACACCCCTATCGAGGCTGACAAGAACCTGTACTTGAGCAAGCGCTCAGGTATCCTCGCTACCTCCGCCCCCAACATTGGCCCTGTTGCTTGGGAAATGATCAAGGGATCTGACGGAATTGACCGATCCATCCAGTGGACTGCTCGTGTTGAAGGCCCAGGACCCAATGACACCAACCACCTCACCATCTCTCAGTACCTCGGCCACGGCTCTACCTCGCGAGGTGCCCTCTCCATCAACGGTGCTCTCAACATGGTTGTCAGCAAGTCACCATACTTGAACAACCAGGCCGATACCGATGTCGTCATTGCTGGAATCAAGAGCATGATCAAGGCCATCAAGAAGAACCCCCAGATTGAGTTCCAGGTCCCCAATGTCAACCAGACTGTCGAGGAATACGTCGCCAGTCTGCCAAAGACCCCATCTGCGCGCCGCGCCAACCACTGGATCGGTACCGCTAAGCTTGGAACTGACAGTGGACTTACTGGCGGAACCTCTGTTGTTGATTTGAACGCTCAGGTCTACGGAACAAAGAACATTCACGTCGTCGATGCTTCCATCTTCCCTGGGTGAGTCCCCATACACTACACTTTTCTTGATCTACAAACTGACCTGATGCAGTCAAATCTTCACCAACCCTACTTCTTACATCATCACCGCCGCAGAGCACGCAGCTGCCAAGATCATTGCTCTTGGTCCTAGCACTGGAGGTGGATCGTCTGTCTCGTCCAAGCCAGTCAGCTCAGCTCCTCCTGCTTCTTCAGCCAAGCCAACCAGCGCTACTCCCACCAAGTCATCGGCCAAGCCTACCCCAACCGCCGTATCTGGTGCCTGGCAACAGTAAGTGACTCAAGTGTCTTTGAGTATCAAACATAAACTTACACGGCAACAGATGCGGTGGCCAAGGTTGGACCGGCCCTACAGCTTGTGTCAGCGGATACAAGTGCACCTTCAACAACACCTTCTACTCTCAATGCACCCCAGCATAAGAGATCTTTAGCCATTCCCTAGCATGAGAATTGCAGGGAAACCGTATATATGGGCTTCATCTTTTTGTATATATCTTCATTTCTCTGTAATTGAATCATTTCAGACCGTTGCCATTCATGAGTATGCCTCATTCTTGTTCTCAAGTGATGTTCCAGACTTGGCAATGCTTCCAAGAATGGAACAAAGTGCTCACGTGACTAGTGCACCTTAGCGTTTCTATGACACAAAACATTTTTGTCCTATACCGCACCACCTTTCCTTTCATCGTCATCACCCGTATCGCCCCACTTTATGTCACCCCATTCCCATATCGGTCCTCCTCAGGCCGACAAATCAATCAGAGTTTTGTCCTTTCTCTGCAGCCTGTATTCCTCCCTCCTGCAAAAGAATTTGTTCCTTTCGTGACGGATATGACTAACGTGCATCTATCTGTCGCGAGGGGGATGCACGTTACCCTAGCAATAGCTCTGTAAAGGAAGCCCCCCCCCCCCCCCCTTTGCTACTCACTGGTAACCTTTCTAAGAAAGAAAATATTACTCTCTTTGCACCAGTGCTTACTCCTCATAGGGGGGTCAGGAGATGTTAATTGCTAGAGCTAAGCACTTAAATCATGTAATCACGCACAGAGAATCCTATCGAGAAGCTCTACCGAAGGGACGTTCAGCCACATTACAAGCTAGTTTAGTTGGCTGTGGGATAAATACTTATGATATATCTTCCCCATATGAGAGGGCTATGAATCATTTTGACCTTTCATTTCGCTATGATTTTTTTTCTGCTATAAGCTGCGCAACTGTGAAAAGCATTCGTATCGATGGTGATTTCACAGACCTTTTGACTGCATATTCTCCGTGGATTTTTGCCGAAGGAGCAGCTATATAAGGAGATGAAGACGAACTCAGGCTATAGTCGATCAATCTTCCTAAGTGCTTTTCTTACGAACTAAAGCGTTACGACAATCTTTTGTTAACTCAAGCGGTCTATAGCTATACAGATTGCACTACGTTAGGCACAATACGCTTTTTAAGCTTGCTTATCATGCCTGTTTTTACAGGCATAGTAGCTGGGCGGATAGACACTCAGTATTGCCATTCTGCTGATCCGAACTGGGGGGTAGGTCATCTCGGACAGTTTATAGTATTAAGGGGTTGTTTGTTGTAAAAAAGGAAGTTCACTAACACAAGCTTTACAGACTGCGGGAAATTGCAACGAACAAGATACTTATTGGTGTCGGCACTACGCTGTATGTGAAAATGTAAGTTATAATGCGAGTTGGATATAAAAGTTTTACAATATGGGTGGCTGATATTTGAAAAGTGCAAAGGGGGTACATTTCAGTCAGCATGGGCGAATCCTAATGGCGGATGTGACTGCTACTGTGCTTGATCTACGATCAGCAACTGTCATGGTACTACGATACTGGACATAAAGGAAGGATAACTCTCGGCGATTCAATAGGCGCCTATCAGGCCAGGGAAGGACGAGCCGTAGGAACGTGTATGGATTGTTTATCAGAAGGTAATTCTATAAGAATTAAGTTGTCTTCAAAGACCCAGTTACATCTATATCTCTTTTCCAATACGAATCGCCACAAAATATCACGGTATACTATCCTAAAGCTTACCGGCCTTCGTGCGGACCCGGCTAAAGAAGTATAGTCCAAACTCTGTGTAACAATTCTATGCACGGAATAATCACTTTAGCTCTTGCCTTTACCTCGCAATTCTTTCGTAATATAGCAACGGTATTGGCATCTTTGAGTAGCGCAAACGGCGATACCAGCTAAGGTCACGCTGTAATATTGTAATAGCATCTGCTGTATGTATGCGCCATAGCAATTCTTCGGCACTAACAGCTCAGTGTACAGTTTTGAATTCATTTCAATAGTAAACAGCGATATTTGATCACGCTCCTATACACAGCCTACACGTGACGGAGCATTATTAATAGTACACACTCTCTTTAGCGTCTTGGCGCGTAGGGATGGACATCAGCCTTAAACCATCTCAAGTCCCTCACTACACCAAACAAACACAATGCCATCAAACTGCCCCGCAACCTCTGTCACGCGCGACAACGGCGCATTCATCAATACAACAGAGCTCTTCCACCAACGCCTACAGAAGAGCCCCAAGGAAGATTGGGACCGCCTAAAGCGATGCTGGGGCTACATGGACTGCGGCGATTGCCATCGAAGTACAGGTCATTGCGGATGGTGCGCGATTGTACGTTTTTCTTTCTTCCATGTCATCTTATTGTGTGTTTCATCAAAAAAATTAGAAATAAAAAACAATGGAACTTTTTCACAGGGTTTTGATTGAATAACTGATGCGGTAATAAAGTCTTCAACTTGTCTTCCTCTCCCGCTAGACGATGCTTTTTCCAGGACTTTCCCGCTGCTGTCGCCTATTCGCCACCATGACATCTGCGCATTGGGATCTGAGCGGTTTGAACTGCGGACTGGCGGGCTGGGATGCCAGGTTTCTACTATCACTTTTTTGACGTCCCTTGTTACGATTTTTTGTACGTTGTTTGGGGTGCTGGTGCTTTATGGAGTGTTCAAGTGTGTTGGTTGGGTGGTTTGGGGGACTAGGGCGAGAAGCGGGGGGTATGTTGTCTATGAGGATGGGAGGGGCGGGGTGTGGGTGAGGGAGGGTTGGGGGAGGTGGTGGAGGAGGGTTAGTGGGATGCAGAGGGAGGAAGAGGTGGAGGTTGTGGATGAGGGGACGGGGCGGAGGGGATTCATTTGGTGGAATGAGAGAGGTGGGGAGAGGAGGCCGTTGCTTCGATGAAGGTATATGCGATATTGTATGCTCATAGGGACTTTTGGTACGTATCGTAGCGTGATTCAAGATGTATATCGGAAGATTAAGGGACGACCCCCAATGAAGGTGGTAGAGCAAAGCTGAACCCTAATTACTGCTAAGAAATTGATTGAAGAAGGTGTCTATCTACGTCGAGCAGCGATAACACGCCGGGGGTATCCGCGAAGGTACCGACTGTGTCTTACTTTCACTCCAACTCGAATTCACCTTCGATATTTACGTCACCAGATGCTCATATGGCTGCCCCGTGCACTGTTTTTCTCTCTCACTATGAACTGGTCTGCAAACGCTCTCACCTCATCCAGCGTCCAAGCTTCTCCTAGCAAGATATAATCCTGCTACCGGTAGCGAGTATATCTCCACCATACTTTCTTCCAAATTTTCTGACAACCCATCATACACTGCTCATTACACACTGCTAAACATGGCCAAGAAAATCCGACCCAACCGCCCCACTACACCCCGGCGCGTCAACAAGACTACTCCCGGTGACACGAGTGTCACTGTCGACATAGTATCTGCTTCGGAATCTGAGTCTTCGTGCGAGGAGATGAGCTACTCAGACAACATGTCTCCACTCCACTCTCGTGAGCGTCTGACGCCAACGTCACCATCAGTCATCGTCGATATCGAGAGCGACATTGAGGAATACAAGAAGCGTGATGGCTTCAGGTCTGCCATGCACAGCTTCGTGCGACTCGCCAAGGCTTTTGCATCCCCCTCATCCGGCGTATGGTCAACTGATATGACTGCTATGGTCAAACAGATGGAAGAGCGTCTGTCTGAGATGAAGGAGCAGTATGCTGTGGCTTTCGATGTGTCTCCGTCTGAGATGGAGAAGCGGTTTGCTAAGGATCCTGATCAGTTTGAAGATTCTGACGAAGAAGATTATGATCTGGACGACGGAGAGTTCGAGGGCGAGGAGCTGGGTACCTTGCCGGCGACTCACTTCATTCAGAAGATGGAAGCCGCATCTGCTACCGAGAAATCACCGGCAAGGCGCGAGCAAGTTGTTGTCCCACCTTATATGGCTTATGTAGTTGCCCGCATTCAGGAGCTGTCCGACATTCGGGCCGCCGAAGTAGCTCGGCGTCAGTCCCAAGGGTATCATGAAGCCGTGTCGACTGGAGATGATATCAAGGACTCGCTTATCTCCCGTCTCAAGCAGCTCGAGGGCACTTCAAAGCCTGTCCAGAAATCCCCATCCGCTACTGCAAAGTCTTCGAACGCCACGGACGCTCTCGTTGCGGATTCTGTAACCTCGCACGCCCAATCACTCTTGGCCAAACGCAAGGTGCCCTTGGCCAAACGCAAGGTGCCCTTGGCCACCATATTGGCCACTGCATTGTTCCGGTTTTGCATGGACCATCCAAAGGATTTCACCGCAAAGGATGCATACAACGTTACGCGCATGTGTAGTGGCGATGGAGAAGTTGCGCTCCGTCTATACCAGCAGGCCGCTGATGATCCGCCTTCACTCAAGCAGGCGTTGAAGGAGTGGATGTCTTCACACCAGGACAACGATGACAACACAGCATCCATGCTTCGCGATGAAGCCAACGAGACTGGTGTAAAGCAAGCGTATTGTGAGAGTGAGGCGTCTGACGACACTGCTTACTCTGCACCTGCTCAGTTGGAGAAGGGTCACCAAGGAGCCGCAGATGGCACATGTGCGGACGCTGTGTGGGGTACCAAGACTATGGTTCAGCATGTTGATGATTGCTTGAATACATGGTGCAACGGTCGCTGCGTTGAGGAACTTACTCATGAAGCCGATTCGGCCACTGTTCACCACGACTCTGCTCAGTTGGAGAAGGATCGCCGTGCTGCGGCTGCTGCCATATGGGCTAGCACATTTGAGGATATCGCTTCCATTCAGCATTCCGATACTTGCTGGATTCCATCTTGTAATGGCGAATGCGTTAAGCGCCTTGCTCACAAAGCCGATTCAACTGCACCTGATGACGGCTTCTGGGGCTCGATCGATGGCGAAGCCATTCCTACTTGCGCATCTGGGTGGGAAGATCTCAAAACCGCCTCCGATATCGATGAACATGACATTCCTGACGACACCGCCGATGACTCCGCAGCCAAGCTTCCAGAGCCTACCGATTACATCGTCACCTACTGGGCCACCATCGAGCACGAAGGCCAGGCCGTCCACATCCCCATCGACAGCAGCAACGTTTCCGGCCCCGAAAAATCCATCATCGAAGGCAGCGTAGGCATGAACAAGGTATGGAAGTGGGTCCAGGAAAAGGGTCTCACGGATAAGATCAGCCTCCAGGATGCGTTTGACTTGGCCAAGGATATGCAAGTTGAAGCACCGACTGCCGAAGAGTCTCGTAAGGAGGAGAGCGATGGAGGTGATGACTCAGAGTATGTTCCTTCGTCTTCTTCTGGTTCTTCTTCTTGTGCTGCCCCTTCTTCTAAGCATCCTTCGAACAAGGCGCCCTCTCCTCCTGGGGATCTTTGGGGCAGGACGCCCTCGCCTCATGTCTCTGTTTTTGAGAGTCTTTGGGGTGAGGTACCCGCGCCTCATGACTGGGCGACTTCGAAGACTATCCTTGGCTATGCTAGATAGGTGATTTCTCACCATCTGCTCATTCAGGCTAACTTGCAGCCGGCGTGCGGTCCATCCATGTACGGGCGAGGCACGGTTTTCTTATGTAGGCTGCCCTTCTTTCCTTCGGCTCCAAGGGGCGGCTTGTAGATATCAGGCCCATCGATATCTACGATTGATTTTCTTGTTTTCGCATTCTCGGGTACTGCTGAGATGCATGCATTGGTGATATACCTGGGCACGGGATTTTGCAGCACGAGACAAGGGACTTTGATCTCAATGCGGGACATGTAGCTAGATATTCCAGATAGTGGAATACATATATGAAACTTCAAACTGGTGTTGCTTACTGTGAGGTGGTGTTGATGATGATGATGATGATGATGATGATGATGAAATTGAACTTCTACTTTGACGCAAATATATAAACCTGCCATGCTTACACTGCAGCGCCCGCTACCTTTGTATAACGCAGAGCCGCTGTCCTCGCTCCAAACTTCTTGAAACCATGTCTTACGCTACGCTGTACGCGTTTGATTGATCCAAAGCCACAGTCATGGCATTCAATGAACATTGCAAGGATGGTCCAAAATAAATAAATCCAAATCAAGTTTTGGTTATCTAAATGCTTACAGCTCCAAGTCAATTACTCCATCCTCAAACTTTCACCTTGAAATTCAACCCCGTAATGCTCAATCTACCCAAAACTAAAATAGAGCTGCCCAGCAACACGGCAATAGCCGCAAACAACTGTGCACTCAGGTAACCTCCACCATAGTTCTGTATCAAAGCCCCTGCAATGGGAGGCCCGATGAAAGTACCCAATCCCACAATAGCAAAGCCCTGGCCGTTCCTTGTCCCTACTTTACTCATATCTTTTGTCAGAGTGGTCATGACTGCTGGGAAGATACCCTGAAAGCCGGCGACGAAGAAGCCGTAGCACACAGCCCAGGCATACAATCCTTGCTCGCTCTTGACCAGCGGCCAGAAGAACAAAACGAGCGTTGAAACGAAGCAAAACGGAATGAGGATATTGTACGGCCCCGTATACTTATCCGCAAACCAAGACGGAACCAGACGACCGAGCACGCCAATGCCGTTGAGAACCAGTAAGACATTGATCGAAGTCTCGTACGGCAAACCCAGGATATCAACCGCAAAAGAGGAAATGTAATAAAACGCAAAGTACTGGCCCAGGGCAATGAGAAAGACACCCAGCAAAAACACACTATACGGCAACTCTGCAAAAGCACTAAGCTCTAGCACCGGCCCCGACTTGCGCGGCGGCAGCCTGGGCTTCAAAAGACAACTGTAGCCCGTCCCCACCGCCAGCATCATAAACCCCATGACCCTAACCGTCCACGGAAACCCAATGCGAGGCAGCAACTGCCTAGCGACAGTCGGATAAACCAGGCCGCCCGTGGCGCTCCCCGACGCCATAATCGCCAGCGCCACACTCCTATTCCTCGCAAAATACGTGCTCACAAGACTCAGGACGGGTGCAAATTGCATCCCATTGCCCACGCCCGTCATGAGGCCCTGCGCGAGAAAGAAGTGCCAGTACCGTGTACACAAACTCGTCATGAACATGCCGAGCGCAGAAACCAGCATGCCAGGGACTGCGGACCAGTAAAAGAAGCCCGCGTCGAACAAGCGGCCCGTTAGCATTCCCAGTGCAAAGTGGCCTAGCATTTGGAAACTGCCGATCCAGGAGACGGCAGAGGGCTCCAGGCCCAGGTGCAGCGTGTAGTACTGTTGGAAGACGCCAAAGGTGGCGATCATGCCCCAGGTGTTGAAGACGACCAAGTGGCCGCAGAGGGCTTGGGTCCAGGCTTTTGTGCCGCCGTCTGGGGGTGGGCCGGGGTCGAGTATGTCGGCGTTGGAGCGGGCGGTGATGGTTTTGGCGAGGTCGAGGATGGTCTGTTTTGTGCGGGAGGCGTGGGAGGTGTGGGTTGGTACTCTGATCATGTCGGGCTCGGATTGGGATTGGGGGTACGAGGGAGCTTTGATGGAAGTGTAGGCTGGGGCATGGTCGTGCTGTGTAATAGTAGTAGGAGTAGTCAATTGCTCGTGGGCTGGAGCCAGGGCTTTTTCGATATCATGATTTGATGGCATTGTGAAGGCACAGTGGGCTTGTCATTAAGTCTACGGGAAGGGAGGGAGTGAAGGAGAGAGAAGTGCCCATACGGAGCACGACTAGTTATGTAGCATTGAGACGGTAAAGAAGAACCTCAGTCACTCGGCGATTTATCCGACGGTGAGCCAAGTGGGTAGTCATTTAGTGGACCCTCCCCGCCCATCGGCCGCGGAAACTAGTCGAAATCCGATTGTGGGTGAGGTCTCGACGTTGGTGCTAATGGCATTGGTGGGGATAAAAAAAAGGCGTTGGCCGTGGGTTGTGCTAAAACCCGGTTATACCACTGCATCCCTAATACATACCTACTAACCTCTACTATAGATGCAGTTTGGGCCTGGGAAAGTCCAGTTATCCTTGGATCTACACATAATGGAGCCCTAATACTTCTCTTGGTTACTTGACCTGATAATTACTGGAGTCATAGCGCAATACAGAGAACTTACAAAGTTGCATTCGTGATGCGCGAGTCGTGCATTACGGGCCTTGGCACGCCCTACATGTTGGGACGACGCGCTTAATGGACTCTGTACTTTGGAAACATGACGCCTGAACATTGCCACTATGCAGGGCTCAACGATCGGTATGGCACCACTCGCATTCATCTCGATTGGTCACCTACAACACTGCTTTGAATATGTATTTTAAATTGGCATTTTTCTTTTTCGCTTGAGTATTCACTCGTCATGTTCGGCATCATGCTGCATTAGTCATGTACCCAGTATATTTCACTGGATAAATATGAACACCACATGCCAACTGCCTCGCAGCCCTTTTGCAGTACGCCTACTCTAACATTGACTCGCCACATGGATGCTATTGACATGCCGTCTATGCTCTCTACAAACAAACCAATCAAGCCTTGGTGGCGTGCTCTTCAAACAGTTTTTTCTGCTTTTCCCATTCCTTCTTCATCTTCTTCAAGCGCGCCTTGGGTACATCAGCGCCATCCTTGTCCTTTGTCGGCAACCCCTCATCATCCCACGCACTGTATTCCTCAGTTCTGAACATATCCTTGGGGTTGATCTTGGCTTGTTCGGCAAGCTTGGCCTTCTTCTCGGCCTCTTCGCGCTCGCGCTTCAGCTTCGCTTCCGCTTTCTGCCGGGCGATTTCCTCTTTTTGAGAGCGCGCGGCTTGCAGTTCGGCATCAACAGGACGCACCATTGCAGGCGCGTTCTCGCGATCTTCCAGGTAAATGCCGAGATCCCAGAGATGAGTGTCGCGCAACTGGTCGCAAAGGTCTAGGTAATCTTTTGCCGGAGCCTTCTTCTTGGCTAGGTTTTGCAGATTCTCTTGGAAAGTGGATAGGACCTCTGCATACGGAAGTGCTTCGATATCCTGCTTCTGCGTGGGGTTATGTTGCGCAATGATGGATTGCAAGACCTCATCCGAGAGGTCGCCAGCGATGGCATGTTGGCGTACTTCGTCGCGTTCCCGTGACACGGCGTACACGTGCTCTTTGGCCGCCGAGGGAATGTCGATACCTGCCCAGCCGATGCCGCCGTCGTATGGGTCTGCTGAACCGTCCAGTCCAAATATGCGGACAATGCGAGTGATGTAGCGGGCGACATCAAACGATACAGAGTCGCTGAGGCCAGCCTTGTCTGCAGAGTTGTATTCTGTAATGAGACCCGAAATTGCGCGCATGGCCGTAGGGGTATCGAAGGAGTCGGCCAGCGCGCTGTGAACCTTTTGTTTGGCAGATTCGAACGACTTGAGAATCTTGTCATCTTCTGCGCCTGTCGAACCGATGTTGGGATTCACTTCCAAATCACGGACTTTGTAGAAAAAGTTGGTGACGTAACTCTCCCATGACGAACCAGACTTGCGCATGTCCGGAGTGATTTCGACACCATCATGCCAGCCTCCAAGCAAGAAGATGATGCGCAGACTGCGCGCATTCCAGTCGCCACGACTCAAAGCTTCGCGAATTGTGGTAAAGTTCTTAAGGGATTTTGACATTTTAGAGCCGGATATTGACAAGTGACCCATGTGAAGGAAATAGTTCACCCATTGGGTTGGGCGCCCATCCTGTGACCAGTACGCTTCCGATTGGGCCAGCTCGTTGTCGTGATGTGGGAAGCAAAGGTCAATACCGCCACTATGAATGTCCATCTGTTCGCCTAGGACTGCTGAGGCCATGACTGAGCACTCGATGTGCCATCCTGGTCGACCGGGCCCCCAGGGGCTTGGCCACGCCGGCTCACCAGGTTTACTTGACTTCCAGAGAGCAAAATCTGATTCATTTCGCTTTTCCGACGTCTTGACTGATGATAGGGCGCCTTCGCCATCAGCTTGTAGATTGGTGTCACCCCTGTTCCATGGCTCCAGACGTGCGTAGTGGTTGCCCTCTCTCTTCTCAAAAGCCTCGATATCAAAGTAGACGGATCCATCAGAAGTGCTGTAAGCCATACCGTTCTTGATGATCTTGTCTACAAAAGAAACAATCTGGTCTCCGTACTCGGTTACTCGCGTGACTACATCTGGGTCTAGCACATTGAGAGCTTTCATATCCTCGTTGAACCGAGCCTCGTACTTTTTGGTGAGTGTTGTGAAAACAGTGTGGTCACTGGCATCAATGGAAGAGCCGTATAGGGAGTCCAAATAGGGTAGCAAGACATCTTCAGCGCCAGCATAGAACAGTTCGATGTCTTCAGGTGTCGACTTTGACGGGGCTAGCAATGAAGTAACTGCAGTGCCAGCTGTTCGAAGGTGCATCTTGATCTTGGCTTCCTTGTCGCCAGCAGGACCAACGCCATCGACCGACTTGCCTTGGATGACATTGGCGTACTTTTGAGCGGACTCCTCGTTGAAGTTGCCAATGGTCACGTCTTCGCTGAGAAGGGGGAGATTCTTCTTGACGTATGCATCAAAGGCCTTTATGGTGGTGTTGATGACCTCTTCTGTGACGGTTGGGTTGTCTGCTTTGAACTTGGCGAGAAGGTGCTGTTGACGGCCACGCAGAATGATCTTGTCATCGACATCTGTAATATTCTGAACAAACTTGACACTGTATCCGTAGTAATGGGCCAATATTCTGCGGAGAATGTCGTTTGTGACATAGTTGCGAGCATGGCCCAGATGAGCATCATCGTAGACTGTCGGCCCGCAGCTATACCACTTGACCTCTTTGCCTTCCGGGTCAATAGGAACAAAGTCGTTCTTTGATCTGGTCAACGAGTTCCACACTTTGAGTTTGGCAGGGCTGGAGCCCTGTGGCTGTTTCCATGGTGGCTGGGTGCGGGCTGGAGTCGCCATGGCGGCGAGACACCTGGGAATGCGCTGACTTTGATTTACTACCCGACTAGTTTTGGAGAGCAGAAGTGGGGAAGACGACTTGACGGTGCGGGACAAAGACCGGAACGCCAGTACCATCAATGTGACGAGACACTGTGGTGACCACGAGCGACAGTGCAACAATCCGAGTAGATAAATAAAGAATAACAATCAGGCCAGGTGTAAGTAGATTGGGTTGCTGCTTACCGGGTGAGTCAGTCCGTCAGTCCGTCAGTAGGGGAGTGTCACGTTGTGTGGGTGGTCTCTGGCCGAACCCTCCATAATCCCTGTCAGCAAAATCTTGGCGCTCTCGGCCAATCACCGTGCCCAAAGCTCCCCGCCGAATATCTCTGTGCATATGCGACGCTTCCATTGCGGGTTTTGCAACTTCTTGTACATTCACCTCGCCGTCTCTACTGCTTGCTCCCCGAGTCGTGGCTGTCTGTATCGTCTGAAAAAGATACAATGGCGCCTGTTCCCTCCCCCTTCCTCGACCCTGGAGCGTATGCGACAGCGGACAATCTGGGTATCCTGCAATTGCGCCGTGATCACCTCATCCCAGCCCTCCTCAAGCCCAACGCCGACTCTGACTACGCCGAGGGAAAAGTAGAGAACACGCGCTTTGGTTCTTTCCCCCACAGCACGCTTGTCGGCCAACCCTGGGGCACCCAGATTCTCGCATCCGTCGTCGACACTGGATCGCGTGGCAAGTCCAAGAAGAGGAAGAGGGACGGCAAAGATGAGAGCGAGGGCACACTGTCTGCCGAGCCAGAAGTGGCCAAGAAGGATATTGTTAAGGCGGCAACGGCGAGCAGTGGGTTTGCGCATCTGATACCGCCTACGCCAGAGATGTGGACTTTGTCTCTTCCACATCGTACCCAGGTTGTATACACGCCCGACTACAGCTACATTTTGCAGAGGTTGCGCGCAAGGCCAGGCGACCACATTATCGAAGCGGGCGCAGGAAGTGGAAGCTTTACACACGCTGCCATACGCGCAGTCTACAATGGCTACCCGGGCACCCGCGACGCCCTCGACGAGCCCAACGGCGAGGAAGAAAACGCAGTAGGCATGTCCAAGAAGCGAAAGCGCAAGACACGAACCGGCGGCGTCTACAGTTTCGAGTATCACGAACCACGCGCAAACCAACTTCGAGCCGAAATCAAAGATCACGGCCTCGAACCCCTCGTCACAGTAACCCACCGTGATGTCTACAACGACGGCTTCGGTCTGGAGAACTCGCCAGGTCCAGATGCCGACTGCATCTTCCTCGATCTCCCTGCTCCGTGGCACGCACTCAAACACCTCACGCGCTCCCCTCCCTCCACCGCCGCCCTGAACTCGGTAGCAACCGACATATCCACATCCACCTCCGGAGACAACGATCCTACCACACCTACGGCGCAACCCGCAGAAACAAATCGCAAACCCTTCGCCACCCCACTCAATCCCCGCAATGCAGTCCGCATCTGCACCTTCAGCCCCTGCATCGAGCAAGTCACCAAGACCGTCTCGGCCCTGCGCACCCTCGGCTGGCAGGAAATCGATATGGTGGAGATCAACGCAAAGCGCCTCGACGTGCGTCGCGAGCGTGTGGGACTGCAGGAAGAAGGCGTGAGAGGTGGAAACGCGCATCCCGCAAACGTACAAGAAGCGGTGCAGCGCCTCCGCGACGTAGAAGGCCGCGCCGCCGTCTTCCACAGCATGCAGCGCGAGAAGCAGGAGGAGGTGATGCGCAAGGCTGAGGCGAGGAAGAGGGGCGAAAACGTCAACTGTGATGTGGACGGCGGTGCTCGCAAGGGTAAGAAGAAGTTGGAGGGCGTGCCGCCGAGCAAACACGACCGGCTGGCACAGACCAAGAAGGACTTCGAGACGAGACCTTTGTACAAGGAGGGCAGGCTGGTTCATCGAACAGAGCCAGAGCTCAAGACGCACACTTCCTATCTGGTCTTTGCTATCTTGCCCAGAGAGTGGTCCAAGGCAGATGAAGAAAAAGCTAGAAGGAAGTGGGGATGATGTTGAACAGTGTTACGCATTATGGAGATATCGTCAGTAATCCAAAAGATACCCATTGTTGTTCTAAAGTGATGAATATATATACAGACTTCCCTGACCTTTGAACCATGAGCGTTTGATTATCAAACACAAATGTATTCTGAAAAAAATAACTATGAACCAGATGTGATCAAAAGAGAAGAGAAAACGCCTAGCAATAGCTGCCCTTCATCCCCAGACCGCATCCTTCGCCCTATGACTACCCGCTCTTCCTGGAGGCGTACTGATGACATGTGTCCAGGCTTCATCGCCATCAATGAACAACCGATACGTGACAAAGCTCTGTTCCCCATGCTCAGGTGTCGTGATTTCAACGGCACCAAACTTGCTGTTGCCATCGGGAAGATACTTCAAGCATACATCCTCGTCATCAATTTCCTTGTACGTACGGAAGGGGAGGTAGAACATGCTCAGTGGGCTAGTGCTGAACTCGTGTACCGTGGCGCTGATGGGCCATTTGCCGTCCTTGGGCGGTGGAAACGATGTGGCAGCAAACTCATGGCGATCACCGCTTAGTACTACCACACCAATATCATGTGTAGATGACATATCCCATGCTGCTTCCAGAATCATCCTGCGTTCAGACAAATGCCCACCCCACGTGTCTTCGGACCCAAACTGCCAATTCTTAGTAAAGGGTGTGCCAGTAACAATGAATTTCCAGTGCACGCCGGCTGGCGGCTCCTTCTTGATCCACGAAAGAAGATCAGATAGCTGTTGGGCGCCCAACATAGTCTTGGAAGCGTCCCAGGGGTCTTTATTAGCAGGACTACGGTATCGGCGAGTGTCAAGGAGGAAGAACTCGGCAGGGCCTTGAGTAAAGGAAAAGTAAGTGACGCCCGGGCGATGAGGAGGTGGGTTGGGGGCAGCGTTGTAGTGTGTAAAGGCATCGTACGCTGGAACCGCTACACCCGTCATGTTGCTATTCCACTAGATATCTGGTCAGCAAGGTAAATACGAGAGGAATGGATGGCGTGGCTACTGACATCATTCTGAATCTCATGGTCATCAATGACATGGATCCAGGGGAGATTCCGACTGACTGCTGGCCAGGACGGTGAGGAGTATACTTGGCGGTACTCGCGTCTGTAAGTCTCGACGTCGCTGCCAGTACGATGTGGGACATCAACGTAGATGAAGTCGCCGAGGAAAAGCATAAAATAAGGTTTGAGTTCGGGAAGCCAGCGTGCAAGGTGCTTCATGCCCGGGAACTCGAGGGGGTGCTGAAGCGGTGTGTATGGAACGCGGGGTTTGATGCAGCTCGAATGGACGAAAGTGTACTTGTTGTCTTTGAGCAGTGAAATATGGCCCGGCCGTGGTGCGGTTGTGAAGGTACCAGTAATGTTCCCACGCGACGTCTCGACAATGTACTCGTACGCCAGGTCGGGGCGTAGATGCTCGAGGCTGAGGACAGTGGTAAAATCAGTCTCGTTGGTGAGCCAGTAGTCTGGCTGGCTCGCGCGGTGTGTTTTGTGCATCCAAGAGCGTTTAGTTTCGTCGATGGAGCGGTAGAGAACCCTCACATCAAAGGCAAAAGGCTCTCTGACCAGAATCTTCGCACTGTTCTCCGACACGTATCCGACACGGGCAAAGCTCGCGTCGTGGCACTGGTGGAGCAACGGCGCGCGATAAACGACGTCCAAGGCCATAGCAATCAGGGCCATGTTGATGCCAAAGGTGACCCAGCTCCATAGCGCCGACGAAGGACTCGGGAGCCCAGTGAGAAGAGTGCGCAGTACCTTGGGCTCCCTCTCTTCATACTGGACGGTTTCCTGGACGTCGAGCTCCTGCAACGGACCCTCGTCTGCGCCATCGATGAGCTTGATGTCGTCACTCGAGTCATCGCTCTTGCCGCCCACGGTTTCCTTGACGATAATGTCGAGCTCATCGGATATAATCTTGTACTGGGCTGTGTCCTGGAAACTCGTGAAGAAGGACGGGATGTAGACAAGCGTGAGTGCGGTTGCGAGTGCAGGAACGATCTACATGGTATAACCTGTCGCGTTAACATGACCCTGATAAGATGGATTTATGTACCAGTCATCTGGCGTAGTGCTATACTGACAGTTGTGGGTATCTGCGGCCAAGTCAGTCGTTTTGCTCGAGTTGCAGTATCTGCAGGTTATGCTCACCCATCGCAAGAAGATCCATATGCTCAGGCGGAGAGCCAGAGAGCTGACAAGGGTGAGGATATCACTTGCCGAAGCCATAGTGCTATGCGATAAGCATCACTTGGCAGTGTCCAAATGAGGAGAGCGATGGGAAGAGTGGGCGCGTCTTAAGCTTTGTTCAAGTACATCAATCGCGTCCGAAGCAAAAGCACCGCGCAATCACCATGACGTCGTTTGGCGCTAACACTCTTTTTAGCGCGACGACCAGGGGGTGAGGGTGGGAGAGCTCCCACATCATGCAGTCATCTACACATGCATACACAACAACAGCGAGAAATCACCCTTTCCGTTACCATCGTTCCCCCAAGAATGGAACGATTACGACGTACGATTATCCGACTGCTCGGTCAGCAATGGCCCTGTTCACTAAACTTCAGATGACAGTCCATTGCGGTGCTGCTCTTACCTATATCTCAGCCTCGTGGAATAAGAAAAAAGAGAGCGAGGGCCAGTGTGCATATACGGTGCATACACTCTCCAAGCTTGATGAGAAGCCTTGAAACCTCAGCTGCAATTGAGGCAGTGCAAGAGCAATGCTATCATCGGTTCGGTTAATAGCACCCCACTATCATACATAAGCGACCAGCATCTGCTAGGCTGTACTGGTACTTCTCAGCTCACCATCCTCAGCCTTGTCCTCTAATCTCTCTCTTTCTCTCTCTCTCATACCAACACTCCTGTACCTTCAACATGCGACTAATCAACACGAGTACCCACAACTTTGAGGAATTTATCGGTCGTGATATCCCTCCGTATGCCATACTGTCTCACACATGGGAGACCGAAGAAATCACTTACCAAGACTACGCCAATGATGCCTGCCGACACTTCAAAGGCTTTGCAAAGGTTATGAAGACACTCGAGATAGCTGAAGCGAGTGGCATCAGATATGCGTGGGTAGATACGTGCTGCATAGACAAGAGAAGTAGCGCGGAGCTCACTGAAGCCATCAACTCGATGTACTCCTGGTACCAACGTAGCGAAGTCTGCTACGCCTTTTTATCCGATCTCGAGGCTGATGCGGATCTCCAGGCAGACATGCCACATTGCCGTTGGTAAGTCAACCTCGCGTGACTTGGCATATACAACTGCTTAATGCAAATGCCCTCATACATAGGTTTACTCGTGGCTGGACACTACAGGAGTTTATTGCCCCTCACACTGTATACTTTTATGATTGCGATTGGCAATATAGGGGATCGAAGGAAAGTCTGTGCACCATGCTATGCCGGATCTCGGGCATAGATCGGAATATTCTCTTGCATCGACGCCCACTCCATTCAATATGCGTGGCCCAAAAAATGTCATGGGCTTCTTCACGATATACAACGCGAATCGAAGATGCGGCCTATTCATTACTCGGCTTGTTTGGCGTCAACATGCCATTGCTCTACGGTGAAGAAGATCGGGCTTTCCTCAGGTTGCAAGAGGAGATCATCAAGTCATCTCCTGATCTCAGTATACTCGCATGGACGGATTCTACAAACCAAGGCATCAGAGAACATAGCTCAGAACTACATTGTGGCGTCCTGGCAAAAAGCCCAGCTCAATTCTCCACTGCTGGGTCGATATCTGGATCAATGGGCATCGATTCCGTGTCAGAGTCTTCAGTCACCAACCGGGGTATACGATTGTTTAATGCGCTTTGCATAGTCAAGGACTCGATCATCATGAGGAGTTCGTACATCATGCCTTTGTACTGCAAGTCTGCCTCCGGTGCCGAGCTTGGTATACGCCTTGAAAAGATCGGAGATGAGATGTTCCTCCGCAACGACCCGTGTAATATTGTCGAATATCAGATTTCCAGATATATAGTCGGTCCTCGATACATTCATCTTGCAACCACAATCCCGTATGCTCTCAGGATAAATGACGGACCTGATCAGTATGTCGCTAGCCAATACCTGGCCAGTCTTCGCACTCAGGTTCTCGCATTGGAGTTCCCAGAATTCGTTAGCGTCTTTGACTATTGGGGCGTATTCAACCATTGCAATGGGACTTTTTTTGAGACTTCGGGGCGGCCAAGGGCGTGGGTTGCTTTACGCTTTTCGGTCTACTTCGATCCCAGTATTGTGGGGACTCATGGAATTGGAGCACAAATGACGGGGACCACCACCATCAATTGCATGCTTTACATCATAGGTTGGACGTCCGTTGCGGAAAATTCCATGCGTCACTTCCTCGTAAACGTTACAGAATGCGCCGACGCCGTAGCAGAGGTGCAAAATATTCTCACATTGCGGGAATATGACGTTTCCCAGGCCCAAGATGTCTTAGACCATTACCTTCCCGACTCTTCTTCTTTAACCCTGAATATTCCCGGCTCAGATCTAAAATTTCATATCTATATCAAATATACGAGGATGGCGGACACTAGAATATACAGACAACCATTCTGGAAGCTTAAGATTCAGTTCCTTTAAACAATGCCTACTATGCATATCTAAGGCATTACTCTTAGAAATATAGTTTTCTTATCTTACTTTCTGCAGGCTAAATATTGATATATACATATACTTATAAGTAGCTAAGAAAGTAGTAACCTAGATAATAGAGTACTGGTCATGTTTTTGAGCTAAAGAGTCACTATAGGTATTGCATCTAGTATATTCTAGGTTGCTAGAGATAATCAAATGGTATTCCATCTAATAGCATGAAACACAAAATCATTCCCTGCATTTTCTTTGGCTCTGCTTATTTCAATTGCACATGTTCTGCACTCGGCTTGCACATGGCGTTCATATTCCGGTGTTCCCACTGAACCTAGTACACGAATATCATTTCTAACTACTAGATTATAATCTCTAAGCCACTCCTACCTCAATTTCGCGTTGCCGTACCGGCAGATACTTCCCTCCCGTAGTCGATTCTACAGGATGCGCTACTTGAGACTCTACTGGACTACTCAAGCACCCATGGCACGAATTCGCATCCGGATAGCGGCGAGAAAGGAGATGTTCGCAGATCAGCTTATACAGCTGCCAGGCCGTCTGGAGAAAGATTAAATCTGCCACTAAGACAGCTAGTAGTAAGCTGCCTGGTGAACGCATGTGGGGAACTTGGCAAAGGTATTGAGCGGAGATAACTGAGGGCGTCACAGATAAGGTACCAGTATCTGTATCATCGTAGCTCTGAGTCGCTGGCCCAGGTTTTGCATTGACGGATTTCTTCTGCGCAGATACAAGATTCGAAGTGAATGACCGCAATAGCTCCACGTCCGTCAACATTGTTGGCTCTTTCGTATTCTGACCCAGATCAGCCAAGACCATGGCGTATGCCGCTTTGGCCAGATTGCTCGCTGGAGTCCAGATGTTAGGATACACGCGCAAGCTGTCGAGCTCTGCTATGGTTGGATGGCTGTTCGGTTTCGGGTATTCGTATTTACCTGGCTGTGTAGCCACGATGAACTGCGCGTGGAAGTAACTAAAAAACCCATCGTCGTCGATTCTGGCATCAGACTGAGGAACAAAGTAGAGAGAGCCTTTGCGAGTTGGCCAATAATCTTTGCTTCTTTCGCGCGTCTCATTCTGCATGCCAGCGGTGACCTCGGTCCAGTATGTAGACATGAGCGACTCGCCCCACCACAGACTTGCTCGTGCCATCGGATCACGACTCAATATTCCTGAACCTAGAAACATTTCTATTTGGGAAAAGGAGACGGTGTCGGGTACGTAGTCGTAAGACTGGGTGACGTTGAGGAAGACTGGCCCGGTGGCTGTGGATATCTGGCATGTTACATATGTGCGCACACTCGCGCCCCATTCCGTGAATGCCAGTTGGTTAGCCGCGCGGTCCTGGCTATCAAGATCAATCTGGATCGAATTTACAACGCAGTTCTCGAGCACATTGCCAAGATACGTTAGCGAAGGCGAGATCATTCGTTGTGGCTCCTCTTGCCATACACTCGTGAGCGTATACATCAGTGCTGTCTGGTTGGTGAAGAATCGCGTGTTTACAGGTAGTGAGCTCGGTTGGCATATTGGTCTCACTTTTGACGTAAGGTAGGATGGCAAAAGCTCTATCGGACCCATTGATTGCGCGAGGGTGACGTTGGGGTTGGTAGACATCTCGATGGCCAAAACATATCCGCTTGAGGCAAAATTCACAAAAGTGAATACCCCCGTTAGTACAAGGCCTCCAATCACTGCCCCTGGCGTGAACCACCGGAAAGGGAAAGGGCGAGTTAAATTGTAGCTGAAAAGGGACTTATGTCGTGCACCCATTCTGTATGTGTGAACAGATGTTCAGAAAATAAATATATAATGTGGAATCTTTTGACCGTAAAGGTATGCTATGACGATCATGGATAGCGGAAAAGTACTACCTACTTATCTAAAGATCCTCTCGCTCAATCAATGTAGCAATCCGTCGTCAATCACAGTCCCTCGCTTCTGCACAATCGAGGGCGAGGAATGGGGGCGAGAATCTCTATTCTTTTGCAAAATAAGAGACAGCTGAGGAGATGCGTTACACAATGCATAAGGACAACGGACTTGAATTACTCAAAGTAGCTTAGGTATTGTCTGTTCTGGCGACAGCGACAGCGGCCCGCATGGTGGCGCAAGGCTGAGGCGAGAAACTGAACGTGGGCTGAGCCGCACCGTCAATCGAGACTCACGTGGACTCTCTGTCTGTATGTCGTACGATGTGGCTAACTCGGTGGCTAAACCAAACAAGGTTAACAGATGATAGGAAAAACGCCTCTACGACAATTGATGTGGTGGCTGAAGCAATCAATTGATGGCAATGGATGATAATGGGATAGATAAGCGAGGGAGCTCGTATCACGCCAACTTTCCACATCCTACAACCTTGGATCAAATATGGCTCCACCAACTCCGGACCAATACTACTCTTGTGAGGCTGATTTGTATCTCACATTATCACCTCTTGATCCATATCAAACTAAGACTTGAAGATGTGTTGCAGTCACGTTTGATGTTTCTCCCGTTACCCTCCACCACCGACATATTGGCAGACCTGCTAGACGCGATTGCCAGCCAAAATAAAAGAACTACTCATACCACGAGTCGTTTTAAGCTTGTGATTCAAAAGACTACGTTGAAGGAACTAATTTGTATAAGAGAAGCGTGACTAAATGGGAGAGGAGTAGCTAAACAAACGAACTCCGCATGTTCGATATGACGCGAGAGGACTATCATTAAGTAAAAAGAATTAATAATACATAAATAATCTTGCTTCAGAATCGCTATGTCGCTCCTACAACTCCCTACTTCGGTAGATAGGACGAATGCAAACTCATTAGTTCTCCTTGATCCGGTGCACGGGCCACAGCTTACTCGACTCCCACTAGCAGCCGTGTATTCTGAAGGAGAAGTCCAGAAGTTAGGGTTGTAAACTTAGCCGCTCGCTCCATCACCTTATAATTAGCTAGCTTTTGATTACTTAGCATGAAATACTCTACATTTTGTCGGTGCTAAGCACACGGTTTGCACTCAGAATGACTCATCCCCGCCCCCTTACATATACTCATTTAGGAAGGTGATCCTGCCACGAACGACAGTCTTATAAAGACACATCTTTGGTGGAATTTCGTGATACCTAGCCGCGCAACTATTACTACTAATATGGCGGCTCCTACATCATCTGAATCACTCCAAATCGTTCGTATCGACCGGATATTGCCTGATCAACCTGCAACCCGCGAATTTACCACGCCACTGTCACTGCTAGATGCAACAACCGCCAAATTTAGCCTTACTAATGCTATATGGCTCCTGGAATGTCCAAATGATCGACTTGCTCCAAAAGATGTTATCGGCCACCTACGCGCAGCATTTGGCGCGACCTTGAACACATACCCGCAATGGTGTGGATTTCTCAAAAGCATCGGTACCGTTGACAGCAATGAATCTACCCCAGAAACAGCGCGGTTTCCCACCCATGCCAGACGCTACGGTCGGGTATACGTATACTATGGGACAAGTGCAGACCCGGGAATCGAATTCGTGGAGGCGACAAGCCTGGCAACTGTAGACAGCCTTTACAATGTTCAGTCTGCGAAGAGGCGACCTATCTGGAACCGACTGGAGGATGAGGTCACGCTTGCTCGATTTGTACCGCAGACAGATTTGGTTAATGCGCTTCAATCGAACGAGAAAGATGCGAATGGCTTGTACAAGCCGTGCATGGCTGTGCAACTTACTCAGCTTGCTTGTGGTGGTTTCGTGATAGCTGCGAAGATCGCCCACCCGCTTGCAGATATCACGGCCCTTGCTCGTTTTGCACAGGATTGGGCGAGTAATTCACGTGCCATGATATCGAAAGCACCCTTTCCAGCCCCAAGCTCAGTCTTCCAGCCTGATCTTCTGGATGTTTGTGCCGCGGGTGACATCAATGCCAGCGAGGCCAATCCTACCATTATAGAAGATGCACTTGCCCTTCCGCTGCATAGATACGACTGGTGGGCGCCGCCTATGAAGCCTCCAGCACCCTTTTCCGCGGATCTGCCTTCAGCGGGGAAGTCGCTCCCGTGGGCCGAATGGAATACGCAAGCGAAGGTAGAGCAGTACACGATACATTTGAACCAGAAGCAGATCGATTTTCTATGGCGATCTGCAACGCAAGACAGTTCCAACACATCTTCAGGTTCGAAAATCAGCAAGCACGACGCCGTGTTGGCCCATATCTGGTCGTGCGTGGTGCGCGCTCGTGGTCTTCAGGCGGACCAAGAACCCGTCCATTGCGACCTCGTGCTTGGTACCCGACCAGCACTCAAGCTTGGTGCTAACTTCATCGGATCGCCAACCATGATGCTGAACATTGAGTTGGCTGCTTCGCAAGTCGCTACGGCCTCGCTTGGGCAAATCACACGGCGTATACGCGAGACCCTGACGACAGTCAATGATGCGCAACGACTAGCGGCGCACCTCCACAGTATTGCATACGAAAAGTCGCCCCAGCGGATCTGGCAGGGTTTTCTGGGCCAGCGGCACATAATGGTGACGACCTGGGCGCGAGCGGGCATGTACGAAGTCGACTTTGGGTTTGGGTCACGCGTTCGCTACGCTGATGGTGTTGTACCATGCTTGGATGGGTGCATTCTCATTAACGACGGGCCACCAATGGATTTCACATCGTCTTCAAATACGTCTCCAAGAACCTGGACAGATAATGGAGTTGATGTGACGGTGCCGTTACTTCCTGAAGATATGCAACGCTTATTAAAAGACCCGCTGCTTTTGCCGCAAGTATAGGTTCTGAGCTAAATGTATAAAATTATTTTTGTAACGTTGTGTCTCATTACGCTGTAGGTGACTTTAGATGTTCTAGCGGTTGGGGAGGCATGTTATTGCTGCAGTATATCCATCACGGATTGCCAGTGTGGGACATAAATCGTTGGAAGGTCAATTCTGTAGTGGTATTACAACGCAACTCTCTAATTCTATAATCTCAAAATTACTTTACAACAGTATAGAAGAATTTTCGAAAAGCAAACCACCTATAGAGATACAATGGCAGTCTGTGAAAAAAAAAAGAACCCATCCATCTGTATCACTCTGCCTGCTTCGAGGTCTTTGTTCTCAATTTCATAAGACCATAAACCAAACCGTACGAGCTCAGAGCAAACAGAGCGCATATTCCGATATTCCTCCATCCATAGTAATGCTCGTTGATATTGAGGGTGGCCAGATAATCACTTCCCTTCCGGTACTGGCACACTCTGCAAGCTTCCGTCGCATCTGGATTCACCAAGTTTGCTGCTCTTCCCAGGCCTTGGAGATATGGTTCCAAGTAAGTGCTGCAAGACTGGCCACTTGGCGGGTCAAACACTGCAAATTCAGACGTCTTGCAGATAACCTCCTTGTCCCACATAGTAAACGTGAGTAGGCCTCCCATGAGATATGTAAATGGATTGAGGTAGTACATCCAGTAACGCCAAAACGACGTGATCTGGCTATACGGGAGGAGGACACCGCAGAAACACGTCAAGGCGGAGATGACGACTGGATTGACAAGACTTGCAGCGATAGCGTTGGGAGCGTATGCAGCGACGAATTGCCCTATGCCCGTGTAAATGAACTCATAAATAAGCATGATGAGAAACACGGCGCCAGCATCCTTGCTTGCAGACGGGAAGCCCACGGTGTAGTAGAAGCAGACGAAGTAGAGAACTGCGCAGAGGACGAGATAAGCGAATTCACTGACGATCACGCCCGTGACGAAGGCTACCCAAGCTGTGGAATATAAAGTTAGAGTCATGCTTGTGATGTGTGAACGCGGAAAACTCACAGTAAATCCTGCTCTTCTTTTCACGAGCGTCGTAGATGTCGCGACGTTCGATGAACAATGGCTGCAGTTGCGCAAATACACCAGGGGCAACGAAGATGAAATTGAAATTGGCGAACAGAGCCAGTTGCAAGTCTGCCACGCTGTTTCCAATCATCCAGAAGGTAAATCCGTTAAAAAGAGCAGAGCCAATGTGCAGGACTATCTTGTTGTTGACATAGTCAATGTTCCTGTAAAGGGCGATGTTCATGCGGTGTGTGACAACTTTGATCTGGGTCCACATATCCGCGGCGAAAGGCTTTCCATCGTCAACACTCTTAGCCGGCTGTGCAGCAGTCTCAGTGATGATATGATCAAGTTCCTCGACGACTTCAGCGTGCTCTGGAGACTCCAACCACACCTTGTTCCAGTCTTTGCCTTGCGAGAGAGTGCCTGAAACGACGTCGATCATGTGTTCTGCTGGGTTCGCTTCTGGGGGACATGGGGCTCCGTTGCGTCCAAAGTAGTCTTTTATCGTGGCTGCGTTAGTACCGATGTCTCCAAAATACACTGTCTTGCCACCTTTAGTAAGCAGGAGAAGAGTGTCGAACTCGGCGAACAGTTGCGCGCTGGGCTGATGAATCGTGCAGAGAATGGCTTGTCCAGCCCCAGCAAGCTTGCGAAGGAACCGCAATGTATTGAACGCAGACTGGCCATCCAAACCACTCGTTGGCTCATCCAGGAAAATGAGGATGCTGGGTTTCGCTACCAGTTCAACACCGATAGTGACTCGTTTGGTTTGCTCAATTGAGAGGCCTGCTCCAGCTCGACCAATCAGTGTGTGCTCCAAGTCGCGGAGCTCGAGAAGATCAATGACTGTATCGACATAGCGAAGTTTCTCTGCCCTTGGCGTGTCTGCTGGCTGACGCAGAAGAGCAGAGAACTCTAGAGCTTCCCTTACAGTCGTGTACGGTTCGTGAACGTCTAGTTGCTCACAATAGCCGGCACTACGCTGAAATGATACCGGTAGAGGTCTTCCATCGACAAGGATAGAACCATGGATCGTCCCCTCGGTTTTACGTTGAGCAAGAACATCCATTAGCGTCGTCTTGCCAGCTGTATACTATATTAACAAAACCCAAATGTGAACCAAGGGTATACAGCAGGTAACTTACCACCACTAGATCCCATAAGAGCGCCCAAGGTTCCCGGTTTTATCCATCCTTGGACGTTATCTAGTAAAACGCGGGGACCACTTGGGGTCTTGACAGTATACGTGAGGTTTTTCCAGGTGAAAACAGACTCATTACGGATCAGCCCATCGGATGGGTCCTTCGCGGACGAAGCGACTACACCGCTCGAATCTGAGGAGGTAGGGGCCTTTTCGTCCACTTGAGATTCTTCATCAGCGGTTAAGACAGTCTTCGCTTTCTTTACATTCTCGCGCGGAACTAGAAGCGAGTCACCTCCGGTGAACGTATTCTTCCAATGATTCGTGAAGAATATAGTCAGAGCAGTGAACAAGACCCACCACGCCCAAAGAATTCCAAAATTTCTCCAGAGATGACTGGTCGCATATGAGAGAGAGGCCAGATATTCTTCGCCACTGAGGGAGTTTGCTCCAACTGCTGCTCCCGCAATGCCAGCGCAAGCATTATTGCTGGTCATATTGTAGCCAGGTCCGGCAGGTATGAGGTTGGGAATGACACAACGCATGATTTGCCCTTTGAACTCTAAGGTAAATTGTCAACACTGAAACCTGCATATCAACATGAACAAAAGAAAGGTTATCCATAACATACCACTAGCCATGAGGGCTTCAAAGCCATAAGCCAAAGGGTTGATCCAGTATATCCAGACAAACCACGGATGCATGGCTGTTTTTGGGATCATGTAGCCCGAATACATGATCAAAGCCGATATCATAAACCCTGAGATTTTCGAAGCATCGTCGAACTTGTCGAAAGCAGCCCCAATTAGTCGAAACAATGACGTCATGCAGATGGAAACTGAGAACAGGAGTACCCAATACGTGAAGAACGCACCGGCATTCTGCTTCAGTCCCACCATGAAATACACGATCAGCGAAAAAGTGGTGACCTGGGAGGCTATGATTGGAATGTCTGCGGTGATCTGTGCGAGGCAAAATGCAGCAGGATGGTAGAAAGCAAACTCCTTGTGCTTGGCGAGAACGGGTCTTCCAGAAAAACTATCAGTCACTTCCGAGAGGGCCATTAGACCAAAAGTCAGCACACTGATGAACAGTGTACCACCTTTACCAAAAATACCACTGCTTGTATCGGGAGTATTGTAGAACAAGCTACCAGTCATCAACGCGAGGACAATGGTAAATGCCTGTTTGATGATGAAGGTCGCTCTGTCACCCCAGAGAATTTGATATTGGCGCATGACAGCAGTGGAGATTTGCTTGCCTAGAGGGACGGTGAATTCCGAGTTCTTTGGTAGATGTCTGGATTTCTCCGTTGCAACAGATTGCTTGAAGTCCTCTGTGCTTGACTTTGCGTATTCGGATTCCGGAAACGTGTATTCCAGTTGCATTCGCTGGTGGATATTGGACTGCTCGTAGCGTTCACGAACCGCATCGGCCGATCGGGGAAATGAAGCCTCGAAGCCGGGATGGATGGCCCTTTCGGAAGGGACAGTTACGCCAGTCAGGAAATCTGCCACGTTGGCTGAAGAATTACATAGAAACCCAAGCTGCTCCATGAAAGGACGTGCCTCCTTTCTTGGGCCATAGAAAATTTGCTTGCCCTCATCGAGAACTAGGACTTTGTCAAATTGTTCGAAGATGCCGTTTCCAGCTTGGTACAGTGTTGCGATCGTTGTGACACCTAATATCGTCGTCATGGCTCGAATTGCCTTGGCCCACTCGAGAGCAGTGCTTGCGTCAAGACCGCGAGTGCTGTTATCCCAACAGAAGACGCTTCCTCGAGTTGCTAAGCATTCGATGATAGACACTCGCTTTCTCTCACCACCTGAGACACCACGAACATACTCGTTCCCGACTTTGGTATCATGCGTACTGAAAGTTGCGGTAGGATGTCAGCAAAATTCCTTGAGCTAAGAATAATTCACCTCGAATCTAACGAAAAGCTAGACTGAACCCGATGATGATCATGCATTTTTGACTGGATGTGACTTACTGTTGAATGCCCATAGAACGTAGCAAAAAGTCCTTCATCTGCTGTTGATATTCCTTTTCGGTCTGCGTTTCGCGAATGCCTTTGTCAGGAATTTTCATCATTGTAGCAAAATCCATGGTTTGCCCGACTGTCAGACTTGGGAAGAAGATTTCTTGCTCGGTGTTGATAACAATCTGTCCACGGTACTTGGAGGCTTCCTCCGAGGACAGGTTGCCAAAGCGGACTTCGCCTTGGATCTCAGCATAGGCAGAGCGTTTGTTGGCGAGTACATTGAGCAGAGTAGTACAACCAGCTCCAGGTCGGCCGAGCACCAGCAACATCTCACCAGGCTTGACACAGCCATGTGAATGTTCCAAAATCGTTTTCATGCTGCTGGGCTGCCTCGATTCGATAATCCTCTGCCATATATTGAACTGTGAGAGGAAGTTTTCCTGTATCATGGCGCTTTTGCCAATCCCTTTCACGGTAAGGTTCTGCCAAGTCACCCCCAAATGCTTTGGCTTTTGTCCACGGTTGTTTGCATTCATCTCTTTGACCTCATGAGCCATGTTCCAGTCACTAATCCTTGCTTCATCTTCGTCCGCTTCCTCGGTATCACGAATATCCCTTTCTCGAATTCTCTCCGAGTATGTGGACTGGCGGGTCAAGGTTCGCAGGATCTCTCCAGCAATAGTTTCAGATTCGCGACGATGGTGACTATGGTGGCTTTGTTGAGAGGCCATGGAGAGGCGGTGACCAGGAGACTGGGGATTGCTTGTCTCTGAGCGCTGGCGGTCTAACATGACGATCGTTTTTTAAAGATACAAATGTTTGAACCTAAGCAGTTGAAATGGTGATAGGGAAGAAGAACATATCAGAATCGCAGTCAAATGTGTGTTACAAAACGGAAAGAGCTGAAGAGTTTCTCACAAAAGCGAAGGGATATGGGAAGTAAACTAATATTAGAGAAATTTGATAAGACATTCATGATATCGGAGGTCGGACGAAGGCGATGACGACTTTGGTGTAAAGCTGGCATCTTTCGCTGTCTCGGAAGTAAAAAACGGCCATGGTCGGGGAAATGATATTACAACGGAGGATTCCGTTGTCCGTTGTTGAGCTGAACTGATAGAGCATTGGTAATTCTCAAACTGAGAGTCATAGAAAGTCAGTAACAGGAAAGGGCTCATTAGTCAGATACGTTTAGGTTTCCGACACGGTCCGGATTTGGCTAGCTTCGCGAGCCCTTTATTATGTAAGCGGAACTTTCGGAACCTCTTCGGAACCTCACTAGGCCTGCTGCTAAGTCACGTGCAAATGTCATCTTGGTGTGGTCGAGCTTCTAATTTCTCTAACTTCGGTCTTCGGAGGTGCGACTCTCTCCGTTCTTCTTCCGTCTCGACCCGGACGTGTGAGTTGCTTCCCTAACTAGGACCACCTGCTCGGTACTTGAGGAACCATATTCACTTCCGTGTGCATAGTTGCATGTTCCATAATTCCTGTTGGGCGAACCAAGGGAATCAGTCTAACCGAATGGAGCCTGAAACAATGGATACAAGTGAGGACCAGTCAATCGAATCACAGAAGCGGAAGCGTATAACCAAGGCATGTGATGTCTGTTACAACAAGAAGGTCAGCAGCTTTCGCTCATAGCCGGCAACGTTGTGGCTGTTCCAGTCCACTGGCTAATGGGCTCTGCAGATTAAATGCGATGGAGCTACCCCACAGTGCGAATGGTGTGCTCATCGTGGCTTGCAGTGTTCGTACGAAAGGAAGATCGTGAGGAAAAGGCGCTCCAAGTATGCAAAACAGCTATCCGCCTTTTTTTGTGCTGGTTCACTTACCTTCATCAGTAAACAGCATCGCAGCCAGCTACTAGATCGCGTCGATCGATTGGAACGACTTCTGGCCAAAACACTACAAGAAAAGACAGGTGCATCTCTACCCCGTGAACCCTCATCAGGTCCTTCAGAGTCAGCAACAGATACTTCACTCACCAGAGAGAATGACTTCAATAATGAAGCACGCGATATTTCAACGCCGTCATCCATTGAGCAGCCAGCCCTGGGCTCTCTCCACTTTGCAGGCTGGCGACTAGGATCTTTCAATTCGAGCAGCGGCATTCCCGTGTTTTCGGAACTGGGTGAACAATGGATCCGGTCCCGTACGGGCCAAGATGCGTCACTTGAGCGAATTACAGCACTTCGCCAGTCCTGGCACAATATCGCACATTCAGACTGGGGTTCATCGGTTGATGTAGCAAACGTGCATTTGCCGATTGACATGCCAGATCGGCAAGTAGTTGAGAAGTGTTTAACCCTATTCCGCGAGTCATTCCTCTGCCGCGTCTTCCCCGTTGTTGACCCTGTTCGACTTCAGACTGCAATTTCTGCGGTATACTCATCAACATCAAGCGACCCAGTCGGCGACATTTCTAATGCACAGGCTTGTATATTTGGTTTTCTTGCATTCGTGTCTTTCTTTAACGTCTGCAAATCGGTAAAGATAGCATCCAATGCGGAGAAATATTCGTGGACGGCGCATCGGATACTGACGACGTACATGCGACCTGTGACAGTGGAAACATTGCAAACGTCGTGTATGCTGGTATGTCTTAGTGTCCTTTTGAGTCCGTCGCGTCGTACATTGGCTGATAAGTAGTTAAGATGATGTACCATCTCTTTTCTGGCGACCTTGCCAATGCTCTTATTCAAGATTCGGTCGCTACTCGAATCATATACATGCTTGGTGCACATACCACGACCTATCCTTCGTGTGAAGATGTGAACATCGTATCTGCGAATTCTTCATATCGCTATCGATATCTATTGCGGAACATTTTCTGGTTGGTTTACATTATGGACAAAGAATTATCACTCCGAACTGGACAGCCGCCGTGTTTGCAAGACGAGCATTGTGATACCACCCCTCCACCACCCTACACTCGGCGGATCTTTTCGCAAATGATGGACTTTGGGGCCGAAACGGACTTGGATACCGTACACCCCTTCCCAGGTTCCCCATGGTTGAGCATCATCAAGTCAAAGGCCTACAGCGCTCTGTACTCAGCTCGCGCGTTGAGGAAAACGGATGCGGAGATTTTGAGAGACATTCGTGAGTTAGACGATGATCTCGAATGCTGGAGGCTATCTGTTCCCCTTCCATATAGGCCCACTGTTGCATTTACGCGTGCGACGTTACCAGAGGACGTGTTAGCTATGCCTTCGACGATGCTGCATCTAGACTATAATCATTGCGTTGCTGCAATTCATCAGGCAACAAGTAGATGCCAGGCTTGGACTTCTGGAAACCAGGATGAGATGGAGGGCGTAGGGAGCAGTCTAGAGTTGAGCATCGAGGCTAGTCGGTCTTCGTTGGTCTATCTCCAAATGGCAAGCCATCTCCTCGATGAGAACAGCTTCTGGTACGTACACTTATCAATGCCCTCCCCATTTAGTCCGTTTTTCGACCTCTCTTAGTAGATCGTAACATTTTGAAATGAAACACCCACTGATACAGTGCGTCTTCTAGGATGATCCTCTACTACCCGATGTCGGCCCTGCTCACTCTCTTCTACGGCATTCTCCACCGACCTCTCGCGCCGCAATCGCACAAAGATCTTGAGCTGTTAAAGAACGTTCCACTCATGATTCGAAGAATTCCAAGAAGTCGCTGGATGGAAAAGGCAGCTCGCCAGATCCAAGCTGTAGATGAGCTAGTCGAAGAACTAACTACCCTCGGACAGTGCGCAATTGACAAGGCAACACGGGAAAAGGGAAGTGAGACAACAGAAGGTATCTTGCTCAGGGATTAACGTCATAAACAAGGGTGTAGATTGTATCACAAGAGTACCAGGTGCTCTGCGCACATGTTGAAATTTGTATTCGAAGCCATCTTTCCTTTAGCTGTCCGGACTTGTGAGGAAATCCAGCGTTATCAGGATCTAGAAGCATTTGCAAGTGTATAGAATTTACTATTAAAGAATCAAGTTTAACGGACCAACAATACACTGCACGTCCGTCTGGAAGCAAGTTGTACATTATGTGGACTACTACTACTACTAGGAGCTGTTACCTACAACAAGAGGATATGGGGAGATCGGCATCAGGCTGAGCTACTGGGCCGGATATCCTGTTGTTTACATGGAACATTTTATGGTTTTTCATACTAGGTATGCAAAGACTTGACATGTTGCTGTGGTAGCCAGTCAGTGTCCTATCTATAATCTGCGCTATGCTCAGCGGTGTTATGCCATCGCGGTATACTCACGAGCTTTGCACAACCCCATGCACCAACCACAACGCTTTAATCGCCATAATGCTGCAGATCAATGTGCCATAGGTAACAAAAGTGCGGTGTGCATAGTGTTGGGCGGCTACCCGAGGAATTATCCGCTGTTTGGTGCCATTGATTAGGCCTAACAGGCACTGAATACTATCTCGTGATATGGCATTCATATACGTATATTTGAGCTGTGCGACCCGCTACTGGACGTGAAGACTTAGGGGAAGCTTAACCAGTTGCTGTATTCAGTAGAATGTTACTTATATGTACTTCTGCCTGTTACATATGTGCAACGCGTTGAATGTACATGTATCGGTGACACATCGCAGATTAATGTTTCACGATCCAACCAGCCAAGGAGGTCATATCATATTAAGATAATGCTAGGCGCTAGAAATGATTTAAGCAAGTTTGGCTGAACAATCTTTTCCCTGTAGTAAAATATGAACCTGGATGGTGGCATGTTGCACTCAGACAGATGCAACATTGGCGTCCTTTCTGGCACGAACCTTGAGATTAAAGGAAAATGTAGATTATCAGTTGGACATCCTACATTCGTGCTGCGGTCGTGCACTTTACTACTGATCTCTAGTCTATTGCGACATCACCGTATGCTCGTATTGTTTTTCACTCCGGGAATCTGCATATGTGATTTTCCATCTGCCCACTTGTGTCGCCACAGGTACTGTGCTACCAGCCCACAGGACCACAGTAAGCGTGTGTGAGCAAGCACCCCGCATGATACAGCAGGGGTTTGGGCAGAGATGCTGCAACTTCCCGCGCTGTTTACGACATACATTCTACAGGTAGAATTCGAGGGTTTTGAAGAAAGGGTATGCCAATGTTTGGGTGCAAATGTTTCGCCACTTCGTGCAAGCGCTGAGTATGTAATTGGTAGGACGGTGATAAGGAAGCACAGCGGGCTTATATTCAGTCGACAGCAACACCGGTCGCCTTATTGAGGTTATGTAAGCTTACCGTAGCTACGCAAAGGATACTGATAGCTGATCGATCGCAGCGGCCACTGCTTCCAATAAATGTGGTTGCGCGACCCGAGTGGCCTTTTCACTCCCTGTAATTCTCATATCCACACATCGATCGTATCAAGACTCAATCCGGAGCATTATCCAATTCTATCAACGGTTGATTTCTCCCACCTCCCACGAAATATCATCAACATATGTGCGTAGTCGCTGCCGTGAAATAAATCTCACTCTTTTCACGCAGATATGATCTCAACGCTGTTTGTATCTCTCTCGCATGGACTAAGTAATTGGCATAACGCATCTGGGACATAACACAATGTTCGATAGGTTTTTGATTCTCTTTCCATGCTACAAATTCGGAGAAATCCCCTTTCTCCGACATTTCGCGAGATTTCCACCCCTAAAGGCCACGCAAACCCACAGCTCCTATGATTATGGCTGCACTAGCGCCGAATACCAAGAACGCAGCAGAAGCGCTACTCGACGTACCGGTCGCCAATCCAATGAGGCCACTGCTCATATCGACTACGTCCGCTGCTATACCAGCCCATAAGGCCCTTTTGATCTCGTGTCTGCCACCATCTGGCAGATGATTGTCTCCAGCAGTCAAGAGCAATACTCCTAGCACGAGATCCCTACCACCGAACATTCGGGGCAACGCATCATAAGCTGCGGGCACATCCATCTCGACTGATCGCAGCACAGATCAGTTTTCAACTCAAAAGGTCATCATGGAAGGCATGATTAACGTACATAGTGAACAGCCGAAGTGTGGCGAAACTAAGCAAGTGATTCCAAGCCCAACGCGCAGGGCTGCAATAGCTTTGATGGCTATATTGGATATTGAGTTTATGGGTTTAGGCTCGTTTGCGAGTTTCGCAGGAAGGAGTGGCTCATTTTGATTATGGATAGATGAAGGCATGATTCAGTTTCTCGCTTTAAATCAAGAATCAGCTAGTCATGTATTAAATCCCTTACCAAAATTCAGGTTGATGACTGAATGTTGAAAAGGTAGATGAGATATTGTGGTTCGGCAACAGTGCAGAGGCAGCTGCGCTTTAATAAACTTGGGGTGCTTTACGTTATTCAAGATGATGAGGTTATGTGATTCCGAAACTAGCACCGAGCTGTCCTAGTAGGGGTGCCGTACGCTAGAACCCCGCGGACAGCAGAACGCCGGACTTGCCCTCACAATACTAACACAAATCGAGTGCTGTACAGCTCTGAAGGAAAGCCATTATTATCAGTTTTTTTATCGTAATAGTCTATCAATATCTAGTATTGTTACAAGATGAGTGGAATACATCAAAGTCACAAATTCTATCTAAGAAAATTTATCTTATATTATCAAGGTACTATTAGAAATGATTGTGGAACTAGATGGGGGGAGTATGTAAAAGGAAATAAGAGTAGAAATGATATATAGATCGTAGGATATGTTTGTGGCCTTTGGATCACCTTCAATATCTTTATGGCTACTTTAGCGTTGTTAGGTCCTGCATAAAACATCGTGGCTGGCTAGCTTCCCGGGCGATAGAGCTTCTCTGTACAAGGAATAGCAATTGGATTGTTAAAACGAACTAAGTTTTGGAATCAATTCTTTATCCTACCGTTTGCTGGTTTCTGCCTTGATGTGGAAGTAGATCAGGACAAAAAAGCATTTTTCTCGCTTGAAAGGATGGTTAACTTGCATTCAAGGGAGTCGGAACGCCGGAATATCGGCGGAACGACTAAATCGCCAGCTATCAAGATCGTAAATCCAAATGTCACAGCATTCGACCTGACATAAAGTTAGTGCGTTCCATCGACTTGAAATGTCCTAAAATAATCATCTATTGTGAATACAGAGTGGGGCATCGAAGGCAAAAAGGTGCACCAGTCATCCAGTCCCGTGAGTGCATCGATGGAGGGCATCTGAGGACAACAATCAGCTGGAACAATCATCTATTAGGTATCGACAGCATACATCTAAATCTCGATTTCCTTGATCTTGATCGCTTGGCAAGTCGATCTGGGTTGCTGCTGAATGGTTTTCTGTCTTACCATGTTTGGCCTTACTGACTAGGTCCCGAGCGTACGATGCAATCTCTCTTGCGAAAGAGAGGTTCAGTGCTGATGATGATATCCATTCAACATAGCCGAAGTAGCCAACTATGAGGTCCAGTAAGGACAGGCCAGAGGTAGAAGTAGCGGAGAATGGGTCTTTGATGATGCAAACAAATAGTTTAACTAAGCCAACTAGAGGGAAATAGAACGATAGCCTAAAACAACCATATCGTCAGTACCATGACACAGTGAACTGATGAGTCCGTGAGAATAGTCTTTCCTTACCAAACGGGCAAATATGATGCAACCTCCAGTCCCTGAATTGCCAAGATTATCTGCCTTGACAACTCAGCAACAGCGCTTGTGCTTTTTTTGCATCTGCTCAAGTATCGAAGGGATCTTGTTGAAATGTAATTGGGGTCTGATCCATGGATAGCAAAGGACTCCGTTGGTCGCTATCACCAAGACATGATAGCTAAAGTGAATAAAAAGAAGATGGTACATCTGCATGCCCTGTGGTAGTCTTGAGGATTTAAACGGTGTCCTATTCTGATACACTGGACTTAGAGACGCCCTCCATTCCGTCAATCATTGATTGAGTTTCTGGATATTGGATAGAAAGGTCTCCGTCGGTTCAGACTGGCCTTTTGTGTTGTTAAGCAGTTTCGATACAGAGGACGAGAATTGTGCCATTGCAACCGTCATCGTGAGGAATTAACCTGTATTGGATGACCCATGCGACACCCACGAGGGCACTGGGAAGCTTATATAGTCGTCATCGATAGCCTGAGATCGTCAGAAGTATAGAAAGGGGTGATGTAAAGAACAGTAGAGCTTACTGATGGAGTGCCTGAGCGATAGGTGATATGTTTTTCGTAAGAGTACAAACTCCACAAAAGGGATTGCTTGGTCGCATTATCATCTGAGAGCGTATGTCTGCCATTTGGTGTTCTCATATGTAGTCCCTTCGACTGAGCTAGTCGACTAGCATTTGCAATTAGATTATACTCAAGCACAGGAGTGCCCAGACATTCAGCGTAAAAAGCCTACACTTGGTGAGTACCTTTCAAAACAATTTTATATCAGATTGGCTTACCATCAAAAGCAGCGCTTGAATGCAGTCGAGACTAATCGGCCCATACAATGGCTCCGTGTGTACGGACAGAGCATTCTCAAAATATTTCCACGACTGCGCTCTTGAATGGCTGAAGGCCTCGGGACTTCCAGCTTCAGATAGAATATAACAACACCTTCGTGCATAGGCAGTGTTTCTCATGGCATGCCAACCCTTGTTCATAGTTGGATCCTGGCCACTTTCGAAATGATGGCGCAACTGTGTCTCAAAGTCAGATCGATCTACAAACCTAAAGATAGAATCTAGGCAATAGTCGAAGTAAGCTACACGTTTCAAAGCAGTACATAAATCTTGAAGTGAGTGGCAGTTTTGAATCAATAAACCATTTGTCCACAGCAATGCTGTTTCTATATCTGGCTCCGGTGCTCTTCTAGGGTCAATGACCTTATCAAGCCACTCTTCGTAATTAACGTTTTTAGTAAGACGCCTCGCACTCGTCAAGAATTCAGACATGCCTAATTGCCACGAAACCCATTCAACCGCAGGAAATGTACAGATGGATAAGTACAAAGTCCCTCTGTTCTCAAGATCATCAAGAGTCCGTATTTCATTCTTCCTATCGATTGCTCGAAGGTTGCTAGGATGGCTTGTTCCTGGTCGTAGGTTATACTGCAAATATCAGTGAGTCGTGCCCTACCATGCAAAGGCCAACTAGATATATCTCTGATACATCCTTTCTGGCACAGTTCTCGATGGTTGCGGCTGATATTGATGGTGGTAAAGGCATTTGAATTGAGCTGACTTCTATCACGTTTGAATCTGACGCCCTTATGTGCCGTTCTTATATTATATCCAATGGAGGCGCACCGGAGAATCGCCGTCCGCCTTGGCTACTAACCATTCCTTTTCCACTATGTCGGCATGTTTCTGGTTTCGTGGCTCCAGCACTGCTTGAAACCTTGTAGAAACGTTCAAAAACCCGGGATCTGACACTATTTTCGGCTCTATCTCTCGGCCTGTCTCATTCCTTGGGCACTTAATGTTGAAAGCCCATAGGGTACGTGCCATGCTGATGTATAGCGAATTCTGGGCCAGATGCATCCCGCTACAGATCCTGCGCCTAGCACTATATCCTGAATGGTCTCGAAGATTTCCATCAGACAGATTCATGGACTCGGCACTGATGTAAGAATCGGAGAGAAAGCGAGTAGGATCGTAGGTGTATGGGTTCTCCCATCTGTTCTCGTCGTAATGGATCGCCCTAGATATGTGTAAGTTTAGGATGATTGCTGGCTAACCACCACTTTATAGTCTTATCACCAATTCAGCATAACAACACTGCCTTTCGGGATAAAGTAGCCGTCATACCAGTCATCCTCTGTTGAAGCGTGACTCATACCAGGCTTAGTAATTGGCCAGAAGCGCAGAGTCTCTTTGATCATAACTCGGATATACGGCAAACTATCCTCATCATCGTACGTCGGCAATCTGTCGGATTCAACAACACGGTCGAGTTCCTGCTGCGCCGCAGCCACCACATGTGGATAGGCCTGGAAGACTAAGATCCAAGCATTGATGACGGTTGATGTAGATTCGCTGCCAGCCTCAATCAATCCCCCTGCTGCATAGGCAGCCTGCTCTTCGCTGATGCCACTCTTCTCCAGACCTCCCTTGTAGAAGTCTTGAATGAAGCGTTCTGGGGCACTCCCTTCCAGGATCTGTTTTACAAGGTCACGGTAAAGCTTAAGGTATACCTCGCGATCGTACTCGAACCATTCACCACCAATCTTCCACCAGTTCTGAACAAGCACTAATAGAAGGATTGTAAGTGAGGGAAATGCATTAACTAGCCATTTCCCGGGCTCAGACATTAGGGTAAACTGATGAAGAACCTCATAGATCTTCTTGACAAAAGGATCGTCCTGGTCTGGAACGCGATGTCCATAGACGACCTTTATTACAATGCTAGCTGAGTATCGGTGATTAATGTCGTAGAATGACTAACCTTCCTTTGCATGTAAAAGTTCGTAAAGGACCTGCTTTGACTCGACGTCCTGGACGGGTTTGTAAGACGTAGAAGGGTTGAAATTGAGTGCAGTATGGCTTATTTTTGCAGTGTTCTACGATGGTCGCTATAAGGCATGAATATTTCTTAGTCCTGGTTGGATGTCGCTTCGAATGCCATAGGCATCCTTGATCGAGATGAGTACTTTGAGCCTCTCTTATCCATAAGCTCTTTAGCAGCGCTGGCAGTATTGACCCATATCCAGTCTGCGCCGCCCATTTTAGTATAAACGACTGGGCTATATTTCTTGGCCTATTCTTGCGTTATGCGGGGAATATCGTCCGGCTCGGCAAGGGAGGGTAGATTCCCGATAACGGGATAACCTTTTGATCCTGGCGGCAGCAACCTACGTCGCTTGTCACAGGTGAGAACAAAGTATCCGACAATCAAGCTCTTGAATCTTTGGGCTTGTTATAATTGCCTGTCAATAATGATCACTTACAATGATAAGCATGGACAGTGAATAGGTCCTAGAGGCGACTTCAAGAGCCACCTCGTGGATCAACGTTGCCAACTTAGCCATTAGTGCGCAAAGGAACGGTTGGAGAGAGGATTGAAAAGTAGATCGCTGGAATCTCGTTTGTCAACAGTCTAAGAGTTCCGTCTCAGATAATTGTATTTAATTAAGAAAATAGGACTCGCACAAATTTGCTATGAATGTATTGATCTGGAAATAGGGAGTATTCAAGAGGACCAGGATGACTACTCCCGAGAATCATCAGTTGATGAGCACAGGAGTAATCCACTTTGAATGTCGAATCCTTGTGTGTTCACGGGATCTTGTGAACAGTGTGCCGCGAGAAGATGTCCGGAAGGCGAAGGAGACAAGCTCCGAAAGGCGAAAGAGACCCGAGGTCCGGGACTATTATATGGCATGATGACGGTGCTTGGCTTGATGTTCGCATTCGCTATTCCGGGTATTCCGGCAATGCGATGAAAGTTGGTTTTACTTTTCCTTCGCTTAGTATTGCAAATGCGGGTTTGAGCTAGAGCTCATGAAATCCTAATAAGCTCCTCCAAACCTCACTGCGATCATTCATACACACAGTTTACACTCATGTTCGCATGAAATTTAATTCCTTTACATCAATGACATGGTGCTCGGTTGCTAAGCTAATGAATAATCTCTACTATCTCTGCTCAACTTGTATTTTCCTTTTTTCCTTTTTTTCCGGTTCTAAAATTCTGCTATACGATGCGATCCAAGATTGATATATCCAGAGCTCGGAACGTATTCTCTACCACTTTCGTTGTGAAGAAACTGGGTTGCCAATGAAGCGTTTCGCTAGTGTATCTATGCGTTGGCTGGGCATCTTGTGGTCGTGAGTGTAAAGAGAAAAGTCAACCCACGAAGAATTAGATTGAACATCATTACTCGAAAAGAACCACTATTGATCGCACACATTCTTCGTATTTTATAGCGTGTACCTCCAAGTCGCATCATCGTGACTCAACTGCCAATGCAAGCTCGAGGTCCACTGGATCACTGCCCCTTCCTCTTGAACTCCACTGACTGATTTGCACCTTGGCTTTCCGTAAGATCCATAACCTTGGTCGCCATATCCACCGGAAATGAATAATGACCATGGATAAAGTTCTAAGAGCCGTTTACCTTTCGAACCAAAGATGTCAACCTGTATGACATGTCATATAGCGAGCCGTCAGCAGCAGTGCCATCAACTCTTTGCACGGCGGTGATATAGGCGAAAGTTTCAGTCACTGCCACGATCTCTACCTCCCTGAACTGCTGGTTAATTTTTCCCAGGTATGGCGTGATATGGTCATAATGTGGCTCCAGGTTCGGCTGCAACACTGTTCCCATAAGATCGAATATGGAGTAATCCTTTAGTTCGAAGAAGTCCTTTCCAGCCTCGGTGTCTGTATGGCTAACATGGTTTTAGAAGTGTCCGAAGCATTTGAAGAAGTCTAAGACCACTTCTTCCGTGGACCTGAGTGACTGATCATGAAACGAACGAACGATCTACAGTAGATAAAGACCCTCTAGTCGATCGAGGATCAATACGCACCCTGGAAGGCAGATTGCTCAGGTCATTATGAAGAGCATTAATGGTCGTGAAATCGGTCTATTGGGCTTAGTTTGGCCACCAGCTTTATGCATATATTGAACTCACTTCCTTGTTCCACTGAAACATGATGAATGATCTGGCGAAGATGATGAAAAGCTATTCGAAGCAAGAGAATTTAGCTGAGAGTGCGATGAGAAATCTGGCTTCAGCATGCCAAGTGATGGGGTATTAAATAACTAATTCACGCGGTTCCGTACTCCGGATAATGGCTCCACAGTTAGAAGGGACTGCTTGCACCCGGATGCAGAAATAATAAGCCTACGATCGTGATTATGTCCTTCACCAATGATCCTGGCCACTTCTTGGACTAAGTCAACATAAGGTTCTCACTCAGTCCATCTGTACATAATACCTATCCGTTCAAATATTACATTACTATATGTAAAAGATAAAGCTTCTTTCACATAATTCAGCTTTCATCGTTTAATTATAGAGGTAAGATATTCTCAACATATACAGTACAAAAGCTACTAATTTGAGTTACTTATACTATTAGTATGTATCGCTTTATAGAAGAGAGTACTCATTTACTGGCGTAGACGTAGTCCGGCGTTCTACGGTCCACGGCGTTTCGGCATCCGGCACCTCAAGCGCCGAGAAGTCTATTACGTACGAGATGATCGCAATCTAGGGTGCACCCACAGGTCGGCTCAACTCGCATTCCTCGCAAATGACACCCAATTTTCTTCCAAATATCACACAGTATAGCGTAAACTCAGCGCCTTACTGTTATCTTCTTAGGCTCACTATCTGTCCAACCTTACTGGCTGCAGCCTCATATTCCGGGCGGCAGGCGAGATGGTTGACCCAAAACCGGCTTAGTGCCTTTGCAGCATAACGTTATGCTCGCAACCCCGCCAACGAGATAACCTCTCACGTGTCCAACCCAGACATCCCGTTATTCAAAAGTTTTCAGCGACTTGCCTGGTATTAGTAGTACTGAGAGATAACGTCAGCCGTCATGCCTGCAGAGAAGAGGAGGAAGACTGAGGCCCTAGCGATAGTGCCGGAGCGTGGTGACCCGGGTAGGTAGCTGAGCTTATACATCCAATTTATGGGCTCTCAATGAGTGGACAAAGAAAATGGGTAGATACTGATGTGCTAACGTGGGTCTGAAATGATCGTATTCGTCGGCCTGCAATAGACTGCGAACATGTGCTAACACTAGTGGGAGGAAAGACCGGAAACGAGCCCTTAATGTACTTGCGCAACGAAGATATCGTAAGATCCCCTAATTTCATGCTGGCCATCCGAATACATGCTGACTTTTAGTTGTAGGCCAAAGGCGCCGGGATAAGATTGCTTCCTTGGAGGCCCGAGTAAACGAGCAGAATGGCAGCCAGTCTCACATTGAGCTGGATGTCGCACCGTCTCTGGAGACTGCAGCTAACTCTGGACTCTCGACTGTCAGCCCTAAGGATATTTTAAATGTCGAAGAGCACAATGTTTCCTCTTTTGATGGTGCTGTTTCAGCGTTCGATGCCGTTGATGTTGACTTTTCCCTATCTGGCGACTTTGGTAGGCTCGTATACCTAACTTCGATCACATCAATATCATTCACTACTGAATACCTTCAAGATATCCAAAACCAACAAACGTCCCTCTCTGTATCCATAATTCCAGACAACCTGACTACAAGTCCATTACCGATTACCAATACTCCTGCGTCCTCCAACACCTTCGCAGGCCCCGATTCCCAACCCTCACCCTTCACCTTCCCACTAACCCCAGACGTAAACATCGACGTACCCATAATGGCTACCATTCGAGCCTTTATGTCAATTGCTTCCCTCCTCGACATCGTTCCAGATATCTTCAATCCATTGGCACTGCACACATCACCGCCTACCCCGCATCCGTCCCTCCCGCTCAATCTCCACCCCGTCCCCGCGCAGATTCTGATCCCGCACCACCCAGCCCTGGACATTCTTCCCTGGCCCTCTATACGTGAGAAGCTGATTTGCATGCGTGAGTGCCATTTCCCCTTCCTGCTCTTCCATCCTCTCCCCCTTTCTCTCCGCTTAACGCCTGATGCATGAAACCTGACGCCTAATACCCCCAGTCCACCTCCCCTCCTCCCAACGCCCTCCAATCGCCCGCGGCACCCGCGGCGAACCCATCCAACGCATTATCCACGACATTGATGACTATACTTCCGGGTTTCGCGTCCACGGTAACACTGCAGGCTGGTCCGCGCACCATGAGATGGCCGAGGAAAGCTGGGAAATAGGTGACACGTTCTATCGCAACTGGTGGTTTTGCGTGGATAGTAAGATAATTTTGATGACGAATGCGCGAAGGAGAGATAGGGGAGAGGCACCGCTAAGGTTGGACGACGTAGGAAGTCAATGTAATTAATCTATCTAGTATTATTCGCGAGCAATGTAGAAAGATCACACACTCAGATGCAGCACTAGTCAATCTAACTTAGAGAAACAGGAGGGGAGAAGGGCAATCTACCTCCCCCCTCGTGACCGATGACCAGACTACCAATTTAGTAAAGCATCAGGCCCACCCAACTATATGTCGGCAACAGTAGCTCCTTCAGCATCATGAGCGTGAACGCGCCGCACGAGATGGCTTGATCCAATGTTGGAGCAAAGTTATGAAGAGTTTCGTAAAGGTAGAGAAAGAAGATCTCGGTGTCTATTTCTTATACATGACTAACTACAATTTACACAAATGGTAGCACGATGTGGCTTTTATGCTCATCACCGACGTGGACCTGATGTTTTCCGCGATTCTTGACATGTTTATGCGACCCGAAGTTGCTCACGCACCTATTGCGTCCACTCACGACGACTCTGATACTCTCCCCAGCTTCGAATTCAATGCCCGTAGCCCATATGCCAATGTCCAAACGGACGATGTCACCGGGAGTTATCTTTTCTTCTACCTCGTGAGGATGGAACGGCCAGTGCGGGTGCATGCTTTTTGACTCGTCGATTGCGCGATGCGATGCTCTCAAGATGCCGCATGGACCTTTGTACACCACCACCTCTGTAGCTTCCTGCGGCTTGAACTCGCCGAATGATTTTACTGGAATGCCACCCCAAGGGATGTTGAGGTTCATCATCTGATCTCCGTTCTTGTCCAGCTTTTCGAGAGTAACGTAGACATCCATGTCGTCATGATCCGGGCAAGACATGTACAAAACGGCCTTTGGAAGGCCCATGATTCGGGTTGTTTCCGGAAAAGTATGGGTGAAGGTGACGCAATCATCTGTTTCGGAGTTGTAGCTCAACGTAGCGCTTGAGCCTGCATCGCCAAAGAGCAGCTTCTGGTCTTGACCAAGGTAAGCTTCGCGGTATTCGGTTCTGGCAGGCGGGAATTCTTCTTCGACGATATTCTCATATGACTGGGGCTCCTTGTTTCCAAAGCGCAAGACAGCCATTCGGACTCGCGGGGTCTTTTCCCAGCCATTGTCAGCACCCTTGAGGAAATGATCGAAAAAGGAAAAGAGCTCTTCTTTGGCCTGGTTGTTTCCCCATAGGTCGTACCATTCCTGCCATGGGTGCCATCTAAGCCATTTCTGAGGAGTGTCCACCTCGAGCCATCCTCTGATAGCGCCCATTCCATGCATTGTGTTGGTCCAGGTGCCAGTAATGTATGTTGGTACGTTGATCTTCTTCATATCGGGCCTCTTGTCGTTCCACCAACGATTGGCCAATGGGTGCTTTTCGAACATCAATCGGAAGCTCTCCAGGTTACCGTGCCCATGTAGCATGTGTTTGACAATGAGCTGGTCGAAGAGGTCTCCGGCGTATATTCCACCACGTGCAAATTGCTCGCGGTACAGATCACCACAGCCTTCCCATGGCGCAATAGCCTTTAGACTCGGTGGGCGCAGGGCAGCGATGAACCATTGCACGATTGCTAAGTGGGAGTTTCCAACGAGACCGACCGAGCCATCGCACCATGGCAATTTCGCAATGTGCTCGATCGCGTCGTAACCGTCCTCGGCTTCCTGTTGGCCCATGATAACCATGGTACCACCGCTATCACCAGCACCTCTCGAATCAATGTTGACAATGGCGTATCCTTTGGGTACCCAGTCTGCTGGATCCGGAGCTTCAAACTTCTCCAAGCCGGAAAGAGCGTCTGCGGGAACACCAAGATTCCACGGCGTCATGTATCGCAAAGAGTCGATGCCGTTGAACTTCTTGCCAAACGGTCCCCAGCAAATGAGTGCTGGGACTTTGGGAGCGACGCCAGATTCAGGCTCCGTTGGCCTTAGAATATCCGTGTAAAGCGTAACGCCATCTCTTGCAGGGATGGCCACATCATGTTCCACGAGGATATCGCACGGCAAAGCCTTCGCTCCAGGATTTGAAGGATGTCGCCAGCCCTTAGGAAGCACTTCTTTGCGCGGTTTTAGACCCTCATAACCACCCTCACCAACTTGGGCTGGTGTTAGAGGTTCAATAGGAATCTCGACTCCAAAATTTGAGCTGGACTTATTCTGGTTAACAAGCATCGTGTTGGATGCCTAAAGACTGGACTGGAGACAAAGAGAGGAGTTTCAGAAAGGAAATATCAGATAAAGAAGACGTATCCCACTCATTAAGAGTATACTGTCTCGAGAGACCAATGGATACTCAAATCGGGATGCGGAGTGAGGTGTCAAGTCCGACCGGGACAAACCTCCACATGTGCCTCCGAAAGAACTCCACGCTATCCGAACATCCAGTTATCACGCCTGGATTCTGACCCTGACAATGGCCTGGGAGAAACTAATTCTGATGAGCGAGCGACTACTCTGATGCAGGGGTCCCCGCCATCGGCAACTCTCTTTACCCCACATCCTTCCACTTCTGGCTAGCGGAAGTTATTCGCAAATGGTATCCCGAACCGAACCGAACCGATCACTGTTCCTCAACTGTGAGGGGTAACTGTCGGTCATCACGTTCTTGTCACCTGCAGACCTAGACTGAAACAAGAAGCTGCTAAAATGACCATATAAGACGAAAAGGCGAAGGTTGTCATAGGAGACAGTAAAAGTACAGGGACATTGTACCACTCTTTCAACAGAATACAAACTAGTTTCGTTCCTATCATTGTTACTTTCCGACATCGACATCATGTCCACTACTGTTCAAACTACAGTGTCAGAAGCGCCGGTTGAGGTGCCCAAATTCAAACCTCAGCCATCCGGTCCAAAAAGACTGTTCCGTCAAGAGGGGCTGGTGTATGGTGATTGGCGTGACGATATCATTCGAGATGGATACGTCGTAGTCAAAGGTGCCATCCCTCGTGATCGCGCGGATGGCTATGCTGACGAGATGATGTCCTGGCTTGAAAACTTGTAAGTAAACCAGCACTTGGGACTCCATGCGCAAAGCAGACCCATGTTGAATATATGCATAAGCTAATCGCACGTTGTTTGTTAGTGCTGGCGGGTTGGGGTTCAAACGCGATGACCCATCGACCGTTGTGGAATCAAAGATGCCCATAATCAACGAGAAGGGCATGTGTCTTGGATACGGTGTTGCACACGAAACCTTCGCGTGGTCGGTGCGCCAGGAGCCGGGAGTTGTTGGAGCCTTTGAGAAGGCGTATGATACAAAGGACCTTATCGTTTCTTTTGACGGAACAAACATGGCATTCCCCAACCGCAAAGACCTCAAGGAAAACAACCCCTGGCCACACCAGGATCAAGATCCGGAAAAGCCCGGTTTCCGATGCTTGCAAGGGCTTGTAAATTTGCTCCCCAACGGGGACAACGATGGCGGCCTCATCGTTTGCAAGGGCGCTCATCTTCTTAGCGAGGAATTTCATGAGGAGTTCAAGGATGAGCCCAACAAGATCTGGGCGTGGACCAAAGAATGGTACGGCTTCACCAAGGAAGGCATGAAATGGTTGGAGGACAAGGGCTGCGAGTGGGTGAAACTCAACGCCGAACCTGGTGACCTTCTCCTCTGGGACAGCCGCACACCTCACTACAACCTTAGCCCAACAGGCTACAAGCCGCGTTTCTGCATATACACATGTTATATGCCCGTCGCCGAAGCTTCGGAAGAGGACCTGTTGCGGAAGAAGGACGCGTTCTACACAACTCAGAGCACCACTCACTGGCCCAATGCTATGCACGTAGGTGGGTTACCTATCATCCGTAATAATGAACCCTGTCCCTATAACACGGGTAAGCCGAGGAAGCCTGTAGAGTTGTCAAAGCGAGGATTTGAATTGACAGGAATTCCATATATCGGGACATTGTCAGCTTGATCTCGAAGAGGGGGTTGGATCCAAGCGACGCTTTTATGATGCATTTTTAAATTTTAGACTACCTATCAGCCACATGGCCAATTGAATGACAACTATTAACAAAGTTCGACTGGTCAAGTATTTATGTCTTTTGATTCGATATTGTAAATCTACTAGTCATCCTTGCAGGGAAAACTGCTTTCACATCAATGTGGAAGGTTTGAAGAAATATTAAAGCTACTTTTGTATAACTATCTTTCATTTTACATACAGGCATATGTTCCTTGGTAAAAGCATCTATTAACCTGCTCTCGTCATTTTCGTACAACACGTTAACAAGTGAGAAGTCGAGTTTTTTTTATTCAATCTCATTCTCACGGATAGAGCATATATATGACATTCAAAAGCGACTCAGTTACGTGATTAAATGGTCAAACTTATACTATGGGGCGTGGAAATGGCATATTTACAGGAATAAACCTGGCCCAGGCTGAGTCTTTCCTATACATGAGGACTGAAAGAAGAGCTGGACAAGGAAAGGACCATATGGATAATTGTGCTATTTCAAGCAACTGCTAAGCTATCTAGATCCCTCGAATTAGATGAGCGAACCACCCTACTTCGCTTCAGTAAGCCCTGGCCACAAGGTTCTGACAGCCCACTTGCGAATGCGAGGGCCCAAAAAGTAAATCGGTATACCTAGAGCCATGAGACCGCCGATGATACCAGCTAAAATATTCATGGCGCCATCATAGCCAGTGGCCTTGATGGCGGGAACAGTAGAGTAACTCAGACCAAAAGAGATGAACCCTCGACCGACGCAGATAACCATTAGCAAGGCACCCGCCTTTTGGGGGAAAGCATCGACCGCATAGGTGATACCAATCAGGTTAGCAGTCAGGAAACCCAGATAACACATGTGAAAGGGGGCTGCAATTCCCATCCAGTGGTACTGGAAAGGATGAGCACCAGCCTGGCCATAGATGACACAGCCCAACACTGTTGCTACAGTTGGAAATATAAGAGATAGAAGTCGGAACTCGGGCTAACAAGGCACAAGGACCCAAAATGTTAGCGAGATTCGTCAACACAAGCGGGAAGGTTACAGGAACAAGGCATAGGGAGCCGGACATACCTTGAAGATGCCGCCGCTTCTCTTACTCATCCATTTGGAGAAGCGGTCAGTGCCATAGCCCAAGAGTGGGATTAAAACCATGACAACCGCAATTTGGAAGATCTGAACCCATCCGAGCACGTCAAAGGCAAACTTGTACGGCGGTTGTGTGAGAATGACAGCAAACGTAGAAGCCTGGTAGATGTAGACGCCCAAGAAAGCACCGTTGAAGAGCAGAATCCAGAATATGGTAGGGATAAAAAAGCCCTTTCCAGTGTCAATGTAGAAGTCAGTCACTCGGGACCAGACTGGTTTGTGGTGGAAAACTTTCAAGTTGTGACGTAGAGAGCGTGGGCCGTAGATATCTGGTCGAAGTTCGCGTCTCTTGCCAGCCATGGGCTTCTCATCGGTTGGAGCGCCGTCATGCTCATCTACTTTGCGTTCGTACATGGTCTCAACCACGAAGAAGATGGAAAGGATGAGTGTAGCGATGACCAAGAAAGTGATGATGAGATACCACCACTTCAAGCCAAAAGGCGGAACAACGTATGCTGTCATGACAAACAAGACGGCGGTACCGACAGTTTGGACGCCAATGAACCACGACAGCTTGCTACTCCTCTCATGGAGAAAATGAATTTCTTCGACGATAAAAGGCGCAAGAGCTTCACTTTGGCCTGCCGCCATGCTGAAGAGGTTCCGGCCAGCAATGTGACTGGTGAGGCTGGTGGAGTAAGCGCACCAAAAGCCAGTGATGACAAGAAGGAGCAGGGAAAAGAGGAAGACAGGCCGGCGACCAATTGTCAGCGTTAGAGGCATGGATATAAGGTTACCGATACCCATGAAGAGAGTTGGATAGGTGACGAGATCGGTTACGCGGGCCGGATCATCGTTGGGGTAGGCCTTCATGACTGAGGGCATAACAGCACCAAGACCAGAGGTTCCGAGGACAGCAATAGCGCTGTATACTCCGACAAGGAAAATTATCAGGTACTTGTGCCAAGTCGGTAGATTCAGGGGATCTATAACGAGAAGAGAATGTCAGCGTGAAATTGAGAGGATTAACCGAACGACCTTGTAGGAGCACGACTTGCTCAGTTGAGCGCGCAAGATGGAAAATCAGAGTAGGCACTCTAAGCTTACCTTTGGGATCACTGCTCGGGGTAGGGACAAGAACAATAGATCCATCTTGAAAAAGATTAATAGTCCCATAATCAGTAGTGGCCGGGTCACCAGGTTTGTCGCTCAAACTCTCCACGAACTCAACCTGAGTCTTCGACTCCACGTCCTCCAATCTACTCATGATCGCGCTCTTTTCCTCGATATAAGGTATTAGGGAAGCTGTGATAGCCCTCGGAGGCACAATAAAGAACCAAGTGACAGATAGATAATAAATGACTTCGAAGCACCCTTCTTGAAGTGGTGCAGACGACCTGTCTTCGTCGAATCGGTGTGGTGTCGACGATTGGTCAGGCTGCTTTTAGGTCCAAAAGACGTCCATCTCAGATACGTATAACAACTTGGAGCTTTTGTACACAGATTGCAATCAACACTCCCTCCACATCACGGTGAACTAAGCCAGAGCTAGCTAGAGCTGGCTGTATCTGAATCAGATTGAATCTGGGGTGTGGGGAAAAACCTGGAGGATCATAATATTGAGGTCTTGTCAAGCGCTCCAGACCCGACAAGTGTTTTATCTGTCAGCGTTAGTCTGTTACGTGTCTGGCTTCCCCGCCTTTCAACCTGCGAACTACGTAGTGTGGCGAGTCATTTTTACTTGCCGAGCCGAGGTACCCACTGACATATCACCTTCTCCCAACATTGTCTTCTGCATCATCGGCATCATTGACTGTCACTCGGTTCGGTATCACCATGCCCTCATCGGCAATGCGATCGCATAGCGCAGCTCACAACGAGCCAGCCGCGACAGTCGCGGCCATGGTGACTGGCTCCCATCTTTTAACACCATCGCCCTCAACCTCAACTTACAGCACCAGCGGCGACAACCCAGGACCGTCATCGAAACGACGTCGCATCAACTTCGCCTGTGATTATTGTCGCTCGCGTAAAACTCGCTGCGATGAGGGCCAGCCGTCGTGCTATGCTTGCTCAGCCGCCGGAATTCAATGCGTCACCAGAAACCGCCGTCAACCATGGCTTGATGTTCGGCGGCATGAAGCTGGTAAATCGCAGCATCGTAGTGAGGTAGAAGAGGCGGCGAGACAAGATCGAGTTGATTCCAATTCAATTTCGAGAGGTGTAGTCGCGTCATCAACATTACCAACTCATGAAAATAGGAGAAGTGCATCCGCTTCTCGCCGAAGTCGGCGACAACAAGATCATGAAAATGAGAGAATGACTGCTAAAGAAAATACTACTTCATCTAGTACCCAGGGTCCGCTACAAGCAGAGAGTAACGCCGCCAGTATCTCGAATCCGCCTTGCAGCGATCCCGGACGTCAAGCTCAAGGTACATCAACCCACCGCTCTAGTATCACACAGGGTGATGATGATAGACCTGAGCTCAGATCTCGTTTGCCTATCATACACGCTGACTCCGGGAACACGTCTCTCGACTTCATGACCAGCTGGCTAGATCTCGCACGTCATCGTCTCCGGATCCCTCGATCAGGTCCTCGTCAAGCAGAACAGTCCGACAGCGACCCAGCTAATGACAGCGGGGCTACACAAGAAGACTCGGTCTTGCCAGGTTTTCTGGGAACTTGGGATTTCCCAGAACAGGAAGCATCATCAACCTTGGTTGACTGGTTTCTCGAGGGCCCAAACATCGTATTTCCTGTCCTCCAGCCAGACAAAATCAGACATGCAGCTCATATGGCATACGCAAATGGTCCCAAGTCTTTCACACGACAGTACGGGCTCGCAGTGCTAATGCAAGTGTATCTCGTCATGATACTCGGTCATAGCTCAAAGCCTAACCGAGATCTTGGCTTCGATGCTGAGGGGTGTCTAGAGTACTCGCAGAGCCTTCTTGGCTTGATAATACAGCAAAGCACGGTTGATGCCCTTCGATCTGTTACTTTATTGTCCATGGCGCTACGGTGTCATGAGAATCTGGCTGCAGCGGGACATACAATGAGCCTAGCTGTTTCCATGGCTGTCTCGCTAGGCTTGCCGAAACAATCACCTCACTTGCCGCCTGGGGAAGAAAGACGGAATGTATGGATGAGTGTGTTCTCATTTGAGAAATTTCTCTCTTTTGAACTCGGCAGAGCGTCACTCATTGTAGATGATTATCCGGACTTGCTACCTGGCTCCAGTCTACTAAGGGACAGGGAGCATGGAATGGAAAATAGTGATTCGACAAATCAGTCGCAGCAGCGGCTACAGCATCCCATCTGCGATATCGTTCTGAGTCTGGCTATGATACTAAGCGATGTGGGCAGACTATGCGTCCAGGTTAGCCGGAAGGAGGACGACAAAAATGATGAAAATGTTACAGAACTAATAAGGGAAAAGGTCCGGACAATAGGTCTGTCCTGTGTGAAGTTGATGAGTTGGGCATCGGATGTCTGCCCGTCTTCTTACAGGTAAGTTCTAGGCCCTCTTCTTTTGCACTTGCACCCATCACAATGCTCATAACCGCCACGATACTGCGGCTGTAAGGTTTAGATTTGAAGCTAATGCGTCATGCGTGTATAAACAGCCCGATTATGGATATATTGTTCAATTCCAGAACACATCCGTTTGCATCGTTCATTGCAATGCAATATCACATAGCGTACGTACATACATACATACCACCTTTCTCAGTAGCAAAGATTTTGAATAAAAGACCATATGATGCTGACATTGGCTTTGACCGAAAGCATGATCATTTTAACCCGCAACAGTCTTCTCATAAGCGAGAGGGCCATTCGCCTTTCTGTCGATGTCATTGCAAAGGACGAACCATGGGAGTATGCCGTGCGGAATGGGCAGAGCTTAGCCGCTAATTCAGCGCGCAAGATCTTGCGTCTATTCCTGGAATCATCGGAGAATCAAACATATCCTGTACTCCCGAGCCTTGCTGGTCCATTGCATGCTATGGGCGCTCTGACTGTGTTCGTGGTGACGCGGCAAAACTCAAGGATGGCAACCATGGACCGCGAGCTTTTAAAAGCTGCAGCGCTTGCAGTCAAGGATGCAAACACCTTGGGCAGAGTGAACAGAGAGCTCGAATTCGCTCTCAACAAACTAAACTCGTTTGTAACAGCGGCTACAGGATCTCACAGGCATAATCGACCAAGACCATCGCAGCGACCGGAAGCTGAAAGCTCTGCACTTCCACCAGAGCTCACCAATAGAGAACAGGTTCCAATTTCAGCATGGAATCCCCTGTGGCAAGCTCCAGAGCATGGCTCCTCACTGGCTCAGGGTAGTGGAGAGACTTTTAGTGCAATTCCAACCGGGCAGATGAGTAACCTTGACAGTCACAACGATTTGGCCTGTTCAGACTGGTGGATTGAAGATAGCTCTCCGATGATTATGGATGAGCTCGGATGGAATTGGGCCAACTTCTCTCAGCTCTTAGACGGCCGGGACAATGAGCCCCAAATACAGCTATGAGACTTCGTGTAGTCATTCAAACGCGCTATTGAATTCTGCATCGGGTTCCGCTCACGACAGGGTTAGTGTGAGGGGTCATATCTGTGCGCATGCACGATGAATGCTTTCTGGGCTGGAGTTAATTAACCCGGGTCTAACTAAGAAAGATGCCGACCGGAACCTCTGCATCGAGGTGCATTGTTCCCCATGCTGGACGTTAGAACTAACCGTTCAATGCCGCATGATCGCAAGACAAAAGAACAGTGTGCATCAGTTTTTCTGATAATAGAATCAAAAAAGCATATTTGTGGGCTCGCCGGTAACATGCTTCTGACATATGTTACAGAAATACGATTACCGGCGCTGCCTATCGAGTCACGTGGCTGCGGAACTCAAACTCCAATCCTGATACTGTTGCTAGCTTAGACACCGTCTCCTAGTTCAAACGCCACTGTGATTACCTTGTTGCACGTCGGCATGTGGAGAGCTGGAGTCTCTAATGCCGAGAATCTTACTAATCTATCGAAGACTGGAATGGGGTGGCAACCAGCGTGAATGCGTCGGCTCGGGATCTTTTCGAGCTACCGATCCAACCCCACCCTAGTCATGCATCGGCAACTCGTTAGCTTCTCAGCCCATTGGCATCGCATAACGCGCATGTTGGCTACGCGTCTTATCTGGGCTCGGCAATGCAGGAGAGGCTGGGCTACCTGGAAGAATGCGGGGTCGCTTGTTGGAGATTCATGGGCTGGGGAATGGGGTCGCCACAACCCGATCCCGATCCTTCGGAAAGAGGAGAGATGGTGCAGCTTAGTATGATTTGGTATGACAAGAAGCAGTCTTTATTATAGCGACTGTATGAATCTCTTGGTCTTACCATCGTTTGTATTATTCTTTTGATCCTCCTGGGTGTCTGCCCTTATCGATTTCATACCAATATTCCGGCAATCTTTCCATTCACCATTACTGTGTTGGACTGATGGCACGAGACGCCAAATTCGACGTCGGAGTCGCGGTGATTGGTGGCGGGCCTGCTGGTATGGCAATAGCACTCGGATGCATCAAAGTTGGCATCGATGTCAAGGTGTATGAACGATATCCCTATGCCAGACCAGCAGGCAACATTCTCAACCTATGGCCACCGGCCATACACGCCCTCAAGTGCATGGGCGTGAATACTACGGATCTCGGAGCTGCCTCGCCTGCAACCACATTTCGGAACCCCAGTGGACATGTACGTGCTACAGTACGGCTGGCGGACGATGTCGTAGAGAAATATGACGGCGGCTTTCTTGGGCTTCTGCGACCGGATCTGTACAAGCGAATGCTCTCAGCTATCCCTGAGGGCGTCATGGAGTTCAACAAATCAGTGACTGCATTCGAAGACACTGGCGATTGTGTTCGAATGACGCTAGGAGACGGTACTGTCGTCAAAGCAGCTGTCGTCATTGGTGCCGATGGCATCGACTCTTCCGTCCGCACTCACTTATGGGGTCAAAGTCCGCGAAGAAACCATGACCTCCACGTTATCGGCGGCTTCACCTTTGACACCGCCGATGGTGTCATCCCCGACGAATGCGTCATCACCCACGACCCCCAAGTCCAGGGCACATACGGACCTCTTCTAAGCCAGGGCCGCAAAGGCCTCCAGTGGTGGTTCGTCGAGTCATGGCCTGACGACAAACCTGTGGAAGAAAGCCTCAAAAGCCGTGCTCAGATGCTTTCCAAAAGGTTTCCGGGGCCCCTCGGTGAACTAGTGGACAGCACCCCAGCGGAAGATGTCATCATGTGGCCAATCCGCGACAGAGTCCCACTCAAGAAATGGTCCAAGGGCCGCATGAGTCTTGCCGGAGACGCAGCCCACGCTACCTCTCCCTACGCAGCTTACGGTGCGGGGATGTCCATCTCAGACGGATATTTCATCGCTCAAAGTCTATACAAGATCGACCTCTCTGACACAAACGCGGTTGCGAATGCCCTCGAGCGGTATGAAGGATATCAGCTAGCACACACCACACACATGGTCGAATCCGCGTATTTCGTCGGCAGACTCTTCCATCACGTCCCGTTTCCCCTGAACTATCTGCGCAATCTGGTGCTTGACTGGACGCCGATGTTGCAGCGCGAAGTCGGTGATAAGAACCCTGAAGAGATTACTGGACAGTTGAGGTTGATGGGACGGGACATTACTGTGTAGAGTTTCGGACGCTGTGAAATTTTCATACCGCATTATTTACAGTACTTGGCAATGATATCTCTCACTTTTGGGGAGAGAGCATAGAGCTTATCCGTTCAAGGGGTTCTGGGCTATGAGTGAGCAAAGAGGAGTCGAATATGGATTGGCTCTCGCGCTGCATTACGCGGTTATTGCACAGGTTATGGCTGGTGGAGATATCCGGGTTAGGCGTTATATAGTACAGTTGTATCAGTGATACGATTCAAAGTGGTTGTCATATACAGGAGCTACTATGTTACATCACTAATTCAAAACTCCGCTTCGGAAGATCTCCATATATGTTTCATTACTCATCTATGTGATATGAAAACAGCTCCCCTCAGCCTTTATCCCTCCAGTTATTCCTTGACATCTTGAAGCTTGAACTGAAAACGATATCTTGAACTCGGCTAAGAGTTAGTCTTGTGTGGCTTTCCGGCAGCTGCAGTGCGCCTAGAGGAAGCGGTTTTGTAAGGTGAGCCACCCTAGTCCTCACGCTTGAATGGTGCGGTCTTGTGGGGAGGGCTGGGGTCTCTCTTGAAGGGGGCAGTCTTGTGAGGGGGACTAGCCTCGCGCTCCTTAAAAGGAGCAGTTTTGTGAGGAGGGCTGGCCTCGCGCTTGAATGGTGCCGTCTTGTGAGGGGGGCTGGCCTCGCGTTTGAAGGGAGCAGTCTTATGGGGTGGGCTTGCTTCACGCTCCTTGAAGGGAGCAGTCTTGTGTGGTGGGCTTGGGTCCCTCTTAAATGGTGCCGTCTTGTGCGGCGGGCTAGCCTCACGCTCCTTAAAAGGAGCAGTCTTGTGAGGGGGGCTAGCCTCCCGCTTGAAGGGAGCAGTCTTGTGGGGTGGGCTACGCTTCCAAGGAGCTTCCACGGCGTCCCTCTTAAACGGGGCAGTCTTGTGTGGAGGACTGCGCTTGAATGGTGCCGTCTTGTGGGGTGGGCTTGCTTCGCGCTCCTTGAAAGGTGCGGTCTTGTGAGGAGGACTAGCCTCACGTTCCTTGAAAGGTGCAGTCTTGTGGGGAGGGCTAGCCTCACGGACGGCGACCTCGGCGAGGACAGCAGGAGCTGGAATAGCAGCAGCCGAAACTGCGCCGGCCAGAAGTGGGAGGAAGACAATGCTGGAGAACTTCATGGTGAAGGTGGAGGAGATGGTTGCTGGTGAGGTTACACTGAGCGAGATGGAAGAAGAGGTAGATGAGGCGAGGAGTGAGCTGTGAGTTTTGAGTCTTCTGGCAGGGTGTTCGACCTGAATATATACTTCTCTTTTCCCTATATTCTATTTTGAGCTGGATACCGTGATGGTAACATGCACGCTACTCATTCTAGCGTCTGGACTGAGTGCCTTCGTATCGGCTATTCTGTACAGCGTTCCGGATGAAACTGATTACTCGACTTCCAGCTACACTCGATCAAGGGTGATGACGACATCCGTGCTGATGCTGAAAGCATGTGTCGTTGTATCGGTTGAGATGTTCGATCTTCCTGCTCACTTCGTGATAAGGGCTTTTGCAATATACATGTTATGACAGTGCTTCTATCAGCTCCCATACTCTAGTCCTATGAGATGTTCGTTGGATTGCATACAGCATGTAAATCCAGCCATCACAGAGGACTACGCAGCACTCTACAAACCGACACACGAGTGGCTTCCTATACCGCTTAGCGTAGCTGATAAGCTCTTCTCAATGCGGATAATTACTACAGTGAACTACATGCATAGCTAGTTTTCAGACGGTATGCGCGATTCCGGAGATTACAATATCCGGTTAGGCCTTCAATCTCATGATGTCGCGATGCTAAATTCCCGCTTTAGGCCTAGTCTCAGTTGCACGGTGGTGGGGGCCCCGATCCTTCCGAGATATCGTGCTGACGGTTGTCACTCAGCCTCACACATTCTCCTACCCTGAAAAGCTTAGTTCTAAGGATAATTTGACGGCAATATAAGCTGAACCACCATTTGAAGCTCAGCTCTTCCAGCATCGTATTCGGGCCGGAGGACGGCGACGTGGTTGGAATAGGATTCTGATAGACGTGCACATTTAACCGGGTTCAACGGCGAGGCCCACCATAGGTTGGAAACTATCATGCCAGCTGTAAGTAGTAGCTGATAACCAGCTGATTACAAGGGGGTGTTGTTACAGCGCAACCTAATCATCAGCATCCCTAGTCAGCACAGAGTAGCGTGAGCTTATTGTGTGCTGTGAAGCTTGTGTTTACTATTCAAGCGTCTGAATGCGGGTGGCTTTTTCTATTTTCCGCCTAGATACATGCAAGGATACTATGAATCAGCCTCACAGACCCCTGTTATAGTGTGAGATTCGCAAATGGAAGTCTGTAGTCGATGCAAGCTCAGCATCATGACGAATTGTGGTATGCATAATGGAGTAGTAGTAGTTCCTAATCGCCTTAGAGTGTAGCTGCGACCGGCTTCGAAATAGTCACTAAACCGACGTACATTTTCGCCATCGTTACTTCCTTCCGAACCCAGCTTCTTCTGTTTTCTCCTATCATGCTCTCAATCCCACTCAGCGCCATCCTCATCCTCTCAATCCTCAAACAATCCCAAGCATCTTCCATCCCATGGCAATGCAACCCCGGTCTTGCTGACCTAAACACCATCTACCCAGATCTAGCCCCCAATCTCCAAGAAAACAACACAGTCGGGGAGGGCACAGATGGCCAAGTCTTCTTCTCCACCTCATCCGCCACAGCGCTGAAGCGCTTCTTCCTAGAGTCCACGACTCCAGACCGGATCCACCACGAGTACTGGATCGGCCACACCCTCATCCACCCTAACATCGCAGTAACGCACTCGTTAAACTATGTCTCGTCCGGCATGAGTCGTTATTGGCAAATGGAAATGGAATACATCCCCTTTGCCCTCCTAGACCTTCTCGATTACGACAGATGGGCCGAGCGACAATGGTCTTTTTCAGCCATAAGCTGTTTGTTCGCGCAAGTCGTTGGCGCCGTTGCACATATGCATGAACGCGGGATTGTGCACCGCGACATCAAGGTCGAAAATATCATGGTGGCGCGGGACGGTACGGTCAAAGTGATTGATTTTGGCAGCGCAGCTGCGTCGCGGAATTTGCTTACGGGCGCGCGAATCGCTAGCTGGGCGAATTGGATTGGGACGCCGGTTACTATGGCCCCGGAAGTGCATAGAGAGCAGTTTTTTGATATGGAGAAGGCGGATGTGTGGTCGCTTGCTGTGGTGTTTGTGAGGTTGTGGCTAGGTGTGTATCCCTGGGAGCCAGAGATGAGACTGGGAGGACTGGAAGAAAATGAAGCGTTCGGTATTTATATGGAGGAAGTTGGGGATCAGAGGGTGTGTGGGGAGAGTGAAGATGAGGATCGATTGCTGTGCCAGATACCGCTTGAGAAAGCGAGAATCGTTATTGCTGCGATGCTGGAGCTTGATCCAGTGCGGAGGAGCACTTTGCCGATGGTGTTGGATAGCACTTGGCTTAGAGAGACGTTCAGTGAAATCCTGCAATCTGCGTCTACTACTTGATTCGTCGTGCAACCCAGCTACGAAGAGTTCGTCGTTTAGGGATTATGTTAGCATGAATGCAATCGTTGAATAATGGCATAGCCTGAGTTTTGCAAGGTTGAGAATCGGAGATTGCACCAATCTGCTTACCTTCTTGAATGCGTTGCGCGTGGTGGTTCGAGTTCTGGGCATCGGCGTATCTATAAACAACTCGTTATCAACTGCGACACCATAGCTTGTTATTGCTTACACCTCTCTTATAGTATCTATGTATCCGTGATAAAGCTTCATTTGAACCTTATAGGCTAGACTCTGGTTGCGAAAGGAATGTGCGCGGGGCTTTACTAAATTGAAATCACCGAGCATCGTAATACTTACACCTTGATGGTTGTGCGTCTAGCTTACCGTACACTTGCCGAGATGTAGTGTGAATTGGAGAAGATCTTAATCTCTTATTGAATTATGGTTGGTAGCTAGAATAAGCTTCTTGTGTTGTCTTGGCCAACTATAAAGCCTCGGGTGATGCCTGGAGGCATTGTTTCGCTACTTCCTCTACCAAGCAAAACCGCCAGGGCACTTCTATGTATGTCATTTGGGCGACTGAAGAACGATGTATGACGAGTCCAACTGGCGGAAACGCAAAGCAAAGCTCTAGGGCAGTTGTATTGTTCGGGGTGGCTTTGCTTGAGATGTTGAGACATGACTAACAATGCAAAGGCTCAGACGAGCTCAAGACGGATGATCTCCCTCTCTTTCCAAAACCAAGGCCGCATTACTTCTACGACATGGAAAGCGAACTCCCAGTGTCAAAACGGTTGCAATCAAAGTCAAAGGCTCCGCTTTGGTGGATATCATTTATCCGTGTTGACACTTGGAAATCATATCCGTTCATGTTCCGTGCGGAAGCTTTCCCCTCCAACGCTTTACAATTGGGTGACACGTTACTATTCGTTAGAGCCACGACGCCTCATGGAGCTTTTTGGGGATTCTATCTTTTTCTTTTTCTTCTCTGGCGCTGAGGGCGATAGTTGGGTCGTCTTGTATTGGTGAATGAGCTTGTGCCACGAGATACATGTCACGAGTTGTTTAGTGCGGCATTTGTCTAATCAAGCAGCATGTCGTCTATCGGTGATCGGTGGCAAGTTGTTTAGGGAGTAAGTTAGTGTCCAGTCGGGTTGTGTGCAATATAGGGTGAACACGAGAAGCAAGCCTCGGCAAAGAAGTCGACGGTGAGCTTGCTGCAAGATAAATGGTTGCATGGCTAGTCGATGCTGCGGTGGTACCGTGGTGGAGTGCAATGGTTGGGCGTAGTCATATCGGGCAAGCCACCGTCTTTGTGTGGGGACGGCATTGATTGGCTTGGGGAGAGTCAGCGTTGGATGCAAGGTCCATGGGATCCAGAGCATGGCATGCACAGCGGGTCGTGTCCCGACATCCGTTGAGAGTGGAGGCACCAAGGCAATGGGTGGGAATAGCGGAGTCGAAGGATGCGCTGGCGAGGGGTAGAGAGAGAGCGAGTGCAATCAGAATGGCAGCTGGAAGTGACACCCCACGCTGGTCATGCAGAGGACGCCCTGCGTAAGCGTTTTCTTCTTCTTCGTCTTCTATTCTCAGACTCTGAAACGTGCAGTGCATATGCAGTTGACGATACCAGTAGAGCATGGCGGCGATGGCGATGGCGGTGGTGGTGGTGGTAGTGGGGTCGGAGGAGGGATGGAATCGGACCTATTCAGGGTCTTGAGAGGGTGTACATGTGTACAAGCGTACGTGTAGTGTAGTGTAGGTAGTGTAGTACTGGTACATGTACTACGGCAGTCGGCCTTGTCAACGCAGTTCTCCCGAGCTGCAGGTAGCCGTGGTGTTGGCTTGGAGGCGCGAGCACGTCATGGAGCGAGTCATGTGCTCGTCATTGCTGCGGTGTGAGGCGCACAGACGAGATGAGCATGAGGGCGTGGATGCGGGGTAGGCGTGGTGGTGGTGACACGAGACGGCGCCTCCAAAGCTGACGCCCATGGGCCGAGTGCTGATATTATGTATGTGTGTTTGCGTGTGTCTGTAGATGGCCGTCGGTGACGCTCCTCGGTTGGTGACGGGACAGTGGGGATTGCGCTGGATGGACATGGGCCGGAGCATGGCGACTAGCAGTAGCACGGGCGCATACATATCGCAGTGCCGAGTCAAGCAAGATAGATAGCATGGCTGTGGGGCCATACTAGTAGTAGTAGTAGTAGCAGTGGTTTTTGTAGTCGTTAGTGGTAGGTGTTGAGCTCCTCTCACCAGGCCAGAGGGCCTCCAACTGCCTGCTGCAACGATGGCGCCGTGCAACCCCAAGTGAATACAGAACACGGCTCATGCCATGCTCATGTCCAATGTGCTGCTCGACTACCCGCTGCTTTGCGTCGCAAGACATGGCGGTTCTACGATGGGCATGGTGCGGACGGGCGTGGAAATTTCTCCGAGTCTCTCCCTCGTCGAGTCACAGCTTACTAGCGATATCGATGTCGGCGCCAGATACAAAAGCGTCGACGCTGCCTCAAAAACGCCCATCCACCCCCCGGCTCCCTCTCACGCACCCATACCGGTACGTACAGGCCCATCCATCCATCTATCCATCCATCTATCCATCCATACACACCAACCCTCTCCCCCACGCTTCCTCAACATCGACGTCAGTGGCACCATTTCCGCCCTACGCGCCGCGCCTGTTTCGGACCCGACCGACCATCCCACGCCGTCCCAGGCCTTTGCCAGCGCGTTGCACTCCCTGCCCTGAACACCAACCTTAACCCTCCCCTAGCCCTCGTCGACCCTTTTCCTACCCTCGACCAGCCCACCAGCCAATTACACCTCTCCAATCCGCAGCCATCCCCACGCTACCTGCATCTCCTACCCCAGACTTCTCCCTGACCACCCTGACCTCCCCCTACCCTACCCTACCCTTGCCCTCCACTCTGACGTCCTGCCGTCGCATACAGCGGCTTCTGCCTCTCTCTCCTCTGCTCTTCTCACTCCTGCTTTCATCATCCACCTGACTCGTCTCTTCTCAGCAAACTTTGGGGGATGAATTTCGGCTTCAAAAACGACATTTCGCACTGGCCCGTAGGACAAGAACACATCAACCGATAATCTGGTTACCTCCCACCCCCGCATCTACCCTTCCTTCTCGTGATAGCGTCGGAATAAAAAAAAGCCTACCTTGCTTTTTTCCCACGATCCCCAAACGCTTGCCCCATTGTGCTAGCAGCCTGTTTGGTCTTGTACGACTTACCAAATCGGAAAACTGCTGCAGGTAGGCACCCTGCCACCACGCGATCAATCACCACCATCGCCGTCTTACTATTCTTATCTTGCCGCTGGCCTGCGTAATGGAGTCTTCTTTAATCCTTCTCTCTGCCAACATCCGCATTCTGGTACGTCGATTCTCCATTTATCATGCTCCTTTTGCTGCATTGCAGGGAAGAAAAGAAAAAAAATCTGCCTTTTACATCGGGGGCGGCCTTGGTGGCGGGTCCCTCATGCACGCCTTTGCGCAGGGTCGACGTCTTATCATCCCCTGCCGCACCAAGTTTTTCTCCCTCACAAGTCGGCTTTAGCTAACATGATCACTTCCAAGGATACAGAGCTTGCTCTGATACACATTCCATTGCGCCTCTACCGTACCTTTCTTCAGTCCATCCTCCAGCTAGTGTTGCCTAATGCAACTCGCGATGGCTTAGACAATGGCTCGGGTGCTGTACAGCCTCTCAACGGCTGGCCCTGCGAGCATCCTTTCGTAAACATTTCAATCACCCCAGTCGAATGTTCTATCGTGTGCTCGAGGGCGCTTGCCAATGAACTGTTTGTACCTGTCCTCGCTCTACTCGATGCCGAGTCCAGAGAATCCGTCAACATTACTCCGGACGACTTTGTCGTCATGCAAGTCGACGGCGAAGGACTGGATGCTGGCCAACGTGTCCTTGAACTGACGAGTCCTCTTGCCCTTGCGGGCATGTGAGTGTTATTGTTGCATGCAAGACGATCCAAGGCTGACGCAACGTTAGACCCATCTTCTTCATCACAACCTACTTCTCCGACTACATTCTCGTGCCCCTTCGGCACCGCTCTCAAGTCGTGCAGGCACTCGAGGAGCGCGGGTTCCAATTCGAAAAGGACACTTCGTCGTATGTCAACTCCTTCCAGCCTGGCCGCAAGCATTCGGCTGCTTCCTTGGAAGTCCAACCCCCAAGGAGCCCACCCCCAACCACCATCTCCGAACTGCAAACAAAGACTTTTGCTACCCTAAAGCGCCGCAACATCGTACCGACGGTAGACTCTAGCATCCGCCTGGTGCAGTGCGCAGGCCGCCGAGATGGCATGAATCAAGCGCGCAACCGCAACAGCAGAACCACTGTTGCCGATGACGCACTCCATCTTGGCCTTGTAAAATGTCTCATTACACAGCCTTATCCGAAATTTTTATCCCTCACGCTAACCGACACCGAATCGGCCGCCCTGCTCCTGGATCACACACTACTACCGCACTTTGCCCAAGATACTTTGCTAGGCTCGAGAGACGAGTTCCTTACCCCTATTACGCTTGATCTGAGGGAATTGCCCATGGAGAGTACGGGTATCGTGTGTGGCGTGGCGGGTCGGCTGGTGGGCGAAACAACGGGCCAGCTGCAGGATCCTGTTGAGATGAGCTATTTAAGCACTGCGAGGGCAGGTACAGTCATGGTTGCAGAGGAAGAGTTGCAACGGGCGCTGGGTGCTTTGCGAGGCGCAGAAAACGGTATGGCGGCTGCAAATGAGTAATTAACTGGACGAAGCCGTGGCCATGTGAAGCGACTGTTACTTGATGATTTTACGCATTGTTGTAGCCTGGGCGGAGTTTTTTTCTTGGATGCGCATGCATTGGCTGATTGGCCGCAAAAACGGTGTGGGGTTGTTATCTTTTTGTGCATTTACTCTCGGTAGTATAGTTGACATGATGGTGGGGGTATTATGTATGTTTTGCTTCTCTCTCCATTTGTCACAATCCAAAAACAATGTGCTGATTCCAAGTACTCTACTTACGCTCTTCGAGGTGCATGTAGCTACCTGTCTATGCAGTCTCATATTCATACACATGTACAATGGTAGTGGGGAGCCAGACAAGAAGGGTCCACACCTGTTCCTCGTGGGACCGGGTCAAAACGCGCCGGGAATAAGCGCGAACCCTTCCTTAACCCCGGACGTGCATGACACTAGACTAGAAATGCGTTTCCACAACAAACAGACATCCATATCAGCCCAATTCTTATCCGCTCCCGCACCACAGTCCTAATCTGAATGCAGTGAGCACAACGCGTCCACCAAAAATGGCGCCATCGCATTCCTCATACACGGCAAGCCCGACGCGTTTTCAATCGCCCCAACGCAGCCCGTCGCGTCCGCCCTCACAAGATGGATCGCAGTATGAGATGGATCTAGACGCATTAGGCCTCAATTCGACATTCGAATCGACCGAGCTTGAGCATAGCCATCAGCCGCCCGTCGACCGTGTAGACACAAGCGAGATCGAGGGACCAGAAGACTTTACTATGAACATGACTTACTGGATGACGGCTGATCTGCCCCTGGCGCAAATCAAGTCGCGGAAAGAAGCCAACACCAAGCGCCCGACCGCACGGATGGATGCTATACCGGACGGCAGCGAAGGGCGGCAGGCAACCGAGGTGGGTGAACCGGTAGTCGTGGTCGAACAGCCCAGGCAACGGTCAGACGAGCCGTCTCGTACCGTGTCACCCAATAGGCGCGCAAATGGCTCTTCGGAAGAGCGCCGGCACAGCAAAGCAGTGTCGGAACGATCAATGGAGAATGATGAAAAGGTTCGCAGCTTCCTCAGCAACCTTCCAGACACGGAAATGGATGGCGCCCTTACCGGAACACCACTGCATGGCCCCCGGCGTAGTTTCCTGCAAGTTCCTAGGTCTTCACCACCAAAAGCGCGATCGCTTCAACCTACTGTCGAGGACTATGATACTCCACGGAAACCCACTCTAGAGACCGTCATACGGCACACTTCGGCCATCATTGATACGAACGAACAGGACGTTGCCCGCAACAAGATTGCAGAGCTGCAGCACCAGCTCGAACAGCAAGAGTCATCTTCGAGGTCGCGCATCACGGAACTCGAAACCATCTTGTCGTATACCCGTTCCGAGCTCGAAAGCACCCGTGCTGAGAATTACAAACATAAGGAAAAGTTGTCGAGCTTAGAAAAGAGCATGCAGCGTCAAAGTGCTGATCATGATGCAGCTCGTGCAGCTGCTGATGCCCGGTTGAAGTCGCTTGAAGAAATTGAGCGCCAGCGGAAAAATCTCGAAGTGTCAAACAGACAGCTTGCTGAAGAGATCAAGACAAAAAACCAGAATCTAGACGAGGTGCAAGCCGAGTTGTCGCACGCTAAGCTTTCGCATGAGCGAGAGGTCCAAGACTTGAAAGGCACAGAGGCACAACGGTCTGATAAAACGGACGAGAATGCGGAGAACAAACGATTGCTGCTAGCCGAGCAGCTGTCTTCGGTTCAGGCACGAGCCAATGCTCTTCAGTCCAATCTCCAAACGGCGACAGCTGAAGCAAAGCTGGCACGTGAGGAGGCACGGGAAAAGAATCAAATCTGGTCTGCCGTCGAAGCAACCGCCTCCGAGCAGACTCGACGCATTGTGAAGCTTGAAGGGGAATTGCAGAATGCGCGTTTTGAAGCTCAGTGTGCGAGGGCTGATGCCGCAGCTAAGCAGCAATTATTTCAAACAAATCTCGAGCTCAACACTCGTCTTCGTGCGCTGCAGTCTGAACTCGAGAGGGCGCAAAATGTCTCTATTGGGCACGGCCAGCGCACTGAGCCTGATGAATTGGAATCTCGCATTAGCTCTCTCCAGTCCCAGCTGGATTCTGCACGTGCAGATAATATTGCAAAAGACCAACAACTTCAACACACGATCTCTCTGGAAACAGAGGTTCAGTCACTTCGAGCTCGAATTACGGCTACCGGGAACGATCAGACTACCAATGATGGACAGCCTCGCCAGGTCACTGAGCTAGAGGCTCGCATACGTTCTCTCCAGTCCCAACTTCAGTCTGTGCAGTCCGAGCTTGCAACCAAGGATCAAAAGATGAGAAATTTTATTGAGGAGCAGGAGCAGGCTGAGCATCGAATCAACACTTACCAAGGCCGCTTGCAAAGCCTAGAAGCTGGCAATGCTAATCTTCGTCAGCAGCTAGCAGAAGCGCACCGTGAAAGTGCCCAAGCAAGAGGCGATGCTGAGCGATTCGAACGAGACCTAGAAGATGCTAATGATCTGTTGAAAGAAGCTCGAGCCGAGGCAGACCGCCGTGTCAGTGACATTGACAAGAAGCTCAGCAAGATGAAGGAATTGAAGGCCGAGGTCGAGACCAAGTTTAAAGAATTACGAGCGCAACACGAAGATATGATTGAAGAACATGACACCACAATGGACGAAGTACGCGACAAGGCCGAAGACGCCGTACGCAAAGCCGGCGCACTCCTGGAGCAAGAGCGCAGCGAAAAGCGACGCATAACACGAGACCTCAAGCGGATCAAGGAAGAGGTCGAGACACTGCGTAACAGTGCAGCACAACAGGTCCTGAGCCAAGACGATGACGACTCTACCGTGGACGGCGATGATGCGACAACCAACTCATCCGCTACGGCTACCAACGCTCAAGTCACGGAGATTACTAGTCTCCGCAGCATCATCCGCACCCAACTTGCCGACATCAAATCTCTAAAGTCAGAAGTTTCGGTCCTCCGTAAAGAAGTCAAGACGCACAAGTCGACGCGCTCGGGCTCCTCTTCTCCCACCATCTCTACATTCGAATCCACCATTTCCACCCTTCGCGCAGAAAACGCATCTCTACAATCTCTCCTTGCTACTAAAGAAGCAGATCACGAGGCTGTCAACAAAGCCATGGACGAGAAGCTGGCAGCGCTATTGAGTAAATTGATGAAGGAAAAGGCGAAGACGCTCGTGGGCAAGCGCGATGGGCAGTGGAGTGAGAGTGTAAGAGAACTGGAGAGTGAGAGGGAGATGTTGGGCAAGGTAGTAATGAGGCAGTGGGGGAGAGAGGAATTGGGTATTGAAGATGAGAGGGATGCGAAGGATGGGAAGCAGGCATATCGGTACAAGTATGCTAAGCGGGCATGAATGTTTTTTTGTTAAGATATTAGTGGGGATCTTGGATCAAGCGGTTTACCGGGGTGTTTTTTTGGCTTGCATGAACGCCCTCTTTTTTTCAATGTGAATATGATATTGTTGGTATGATCCAAGTCCGCATTTGCACGAGGTTCGACATCGATTTCTATACCCCAATCTTCTATCATCTCATTCCATTCGAAACCCCCCAAAAACTGCATCACGTATCCCCCTCCCTCCCAACCAAAAAAAAATCAAAGCAACCCTTTCCTCGCCAAATCCACCTTCTTCGCAAACTCGCCCTCACTCCACCCACCCTTTGATCCACAAATCGCAATTCCATCCCCAAGCTCAACCTTATCTTCCACACTCTCCCACGCGCAGGGGCAGTGATGCGGGAAGTGGACGCAGGAAAGTGTGCCGGGGCAGAGGTAGTGCGAGCATTGTGCTATTTTATCTTATTATCAGCCATGGGAAATCCCCCCAAAAAAAATGTATGCGTAGATAGAAGAGGAGAGGGGAGAGGGAGATGTAAGTAGAGCAGTTTTACTTACCGCCTTCATATTGTGCTTGGTACCAACTACTATCGCTCCGCACGTTCTGCGCTTCGCCGTGATTGTGGCCACCGCCGCCGTGGTGGCTGTGACCGCCGTGGTTCCCCCCGCCGAACATTTGGTCGAAGAAGCCGAATTGGGCGGTTATGGGGTAGGCGAAGGTGAAGAGGAGGAGGATGAGGGCGTTGAGGCGTGACATGATTTCTTGAAAACTCCTTGGAGTTTATTTTCTTCTTTTTTTTCTAGAGCGCGAAACAGAATTTGAATGGCTGGACCTGAAGGAGGACGGAAAATACACGAGGCTTCGAAGCTATATGGGATCGGGGATGCGCACCTCGAACATGCGAAGTGGATGATGTGGAGGTTTGGGTAAATCGGGGGAATGCAAACAGTGCAAACACGCTGGTATCTGATTGGCTACCGATTCATTGCAGGGATACGTTGCGGTCGAGCGCGCGTCTTGGCGAAAATGGGAACAGCTCGGTGGTCCGACGAGAAAAAAATGCCGACTACTCTGAACTTTCCCAGAAGCTACACCTACCGACCAGCTTTTCTGCTTCACCATTCACCCACCCCCCCCCCGTTACGCAACCACCTACGCAATACACAATTTCTCTTTGCAAATCCGCGCTCACCGCATTCCGCAACGTGCGTCGCATACCCTCCTCGCCGCCGTTGTGCGCGCGCAAGAAAAAATCAGAAGAGACAACCAGGACGCAGAGCTAACGAAACGCATAGCATGCATCTCATGTACATCCCCGACCCGGCGAACCCGTCGAAGCGCATCTACACGCTCAAGAAAGTGATTGATGGCGAGGTCAGCAAGAGCGCGCACCCGGCGCGCTTCTCGCCCGACGACAAGTACAGCAGGCACAGGGTCACTATTAAGAAGCGATACGGACTTCTTTTGACGCAGCAGAGTATGTTTTTTTTTCTTTCTTTCTTTCTCATTAGAAGGAGAATTGGATATTTTGAATGGGGGATTGAATGGGGAGATGGGCACGAAGCTAACGCGTGAGCAGAGAACAAGGTTGCTGAGAAGATCTGAGTGTGGGGTCGATGGTTGCGCGACTAGGATACGATTTGTAACAACGGTGGTGTGTTGTTGAAGGAAATAAGAGATGGGGGGAATGGCCAGAGGGGGATGAAGAGAGTGGATCAAGGGCGTTTACAGGCGTAAATGGGCGAGGGCAAAAAATTTCTCGTTGAGAGTGTGTCACGCCGTACTTTTGAGGAAATGGGGTTTTTCTACTTGCATGGTTTTGCAAATGTTTACGGTAGCAATGTTGCGGGCTTATGGCCCTTATATGCGACTTACTAGCACGTTTGCAGTGGGAGTGAATATGTGGAAATGCCTTTGTGGATGCAACGACTAGTTGATGATGTCACGTTTTGGGATTGAATCAACGCGCCAGTCACTATGGTATAACTGTGTTTTGGCTGTTGTATCTTTGCCCATCCACACTAGCAATGCCAAATCATTCATTTCAACAAAATCAATCATTCCACATTACCAATAGACAAAAAAGTGTTAAGAAGTCGCGAGCCAACAAAAGAAAGAAAGAAAGAAAACAGGAATATCCCTTTTTTTTCTGAAAGGAAAAGATATAAAACGCCTCAGAAAACCCCCGCCAAACATTATGCTTGGTATCGAATCGAAAAAAAACCACAAGCTTTCTCCGCCTACATATTCATCTCGATCGTTGTTCGTGAAAAAGTGTGTAAAAAAAAAGAAAGAAAGAATCAGTTGCTAGCCACATTTGTCAAGTTGTCCCAGTCAAGTTTCTGCGATGAAGGGCTAATTAAAGAGAAAGAAAGGGTGGGGGAGAGGCGAACTATAATGTACATCTCCTCCTCACCTTTTTTTCTTTATTCAGTCTCGCAACGACATCTTCTACGTTTGCGAATTGTTCGTAGAATTGCAGTGAGTGGGGGTTCAGTAGTGTGCCGCTGGGTTTAATTTTCTTGCCTGAGACGATTTGTTTGACGGGGAGTTCGACTTTTTTGAGGTTTACAGTTGTCTGGTGGTGGTGATGGTGGATGTTAGTTTGTTTTTTTGGTCACTTTTTGACGCACCTCCTTTCCCTTCTCTATAAAGGGATGAAGAGAAAGAAAAGAAAAAAAAGAAAAAAAACGTACCGGAATCTCCCAAGTCTGAAACACAAACTTCGGAACATGCCTCTTACTCCTCTCTTCGGCAATCTTACTCTTAATCCGCTCGACCAGCGCCTCTCGAAATTCGCATCTGGGTGCCATTTTCAAAAACAACATGACGCTCTCATCCGCATCGTGGGGGCGGCGCTGCCCAACAACAATGCAATCTGCGACCTCTGGAAAATGCGCTTCGATGACACTGTAAATGTCCGCGGACCCAAAACGCACGCCCGACGGATTCAAGACGCCGTCTGCGCGCCCGAGAAAGAATATCTGGCCCGTGACGGGATGCATCTGGATGAAGTCGCCGTGGGTCCAGACGTGCGGAAACCGCGCGTAGTACGCTGCTTTGTACTTTTTCGCGCTGGCGTCGTCGCCCCAAAAGCAAACGGGCTGGTTGGGAAACGAGGCCGTGGCGACTAGCTCGCCGGACACGCCGTCTGGCACTGCTTCACCGGGTTGGCCGCTGGGGATCAGGGCGTTGTAGACTTCGACTTTTGTACCGAGACAGGGGCCTTGACAGCCGCCTGCGTATAGGGGTTCGAGTGGATTTTCCATGCCGAAGCGCCCCGCGATGTCGGTGCCGCCGGATATGTTGCGTAGGTGGACGGAGGCGGGGAAGGCGTCGTCGTAGAACCAGGTGAATTGCGCTTCGGGGAGTACCATGCCGGTTGTGCCTACGCTTTTGAGGTGTGACAGGTCGAAGAGCGAGCGTGGCCGGATGTTCCTTTTTTGAAGCTCGTGCAGGAAGCGGGGGGATGTGCCAAAGTCTGTGACGCGCTGCGAGGAGAGGATGGAGAGGAAGCCTTGGGGGGTTGGGCGGAAGGGTGAGCCGTCGTAGAGGATGCTGCGGCAGCCGAAGAGGAGGATCTGGATGGAGACGAGGTACATGATCCAGCCAGTCTATTTTTATTCATTGTCAGTTGCAGGAATGGGTAAAGAGGGTAGGACTCACAGTTGTATATTGCAGCACCACACTTTCCGGCGTCACTTCCTTGTGCAGAATACTCTCTTTACACACGTTGACCAGCACGCCGCCAGTCGAGTGCGCAATGCATTTCGGCACACCTGTCGTTCCACTAGAATACACAATCAGAAAAGGGTCGCGAAACGCAACTCGCTCGAAAACAAGGTCCTCGTTTCCTTGCGCTGCTTGCAAAAAGGTCGCGAGTGTCTGCGTACTGCCCAACCCTTCTATGCCTACTGGACAGCCGCGAAACCGGGGCTGTGTTACTACGCCTTCGAATTCCGGTACGTCGTGCATGCCAGCAACAAGCTGGCTAATCTTGGGCCGTAGATCTATCGTCTTGCCGTTGTACACAGCCCAGTCGTCCACAAAGACGTATTTTGGCTTAATCTGCACGAGGCGCTCGAGAATGCCTTTTGCGCCCATGTCGGTACTGCTGGAGCTGAAGAGCGCGCCCAAGCTGACTGTAGCCATGAAGACAATGAATGTGTCGAAACTAGTGGACGCAACGAGGGCGACTCGATCTCCTTTCTGCACTCCATTTGCACGCAGTGCATTCGAAAGAAGGCCCACGCGGCGGCGAAGCTCGCCCCAAGTTAGATGCGCGACATCTGTATTTCCTTCTCGGATTTCTGTCAGTGCGATTTTGTCGTCTTCTTTGTGTAAAGTAGTGCAAAGCGATGAATCCGTGTCAGATGCTGTAAAGAGAATGTTTTCCGCAAAGTTGAGATATGTGCCCTGGAACCAGTGGGGATTTTCTTCCATGGGAATCGAAGTATCGACGACCTAGTGTATTCAGCGAAGAGCGACGTAGAGGTTGTGGATTGTAGAATTTACCTGATCGTAGGAACCAGAATAAATCAAATTGGATATCTTCCATACGTCATCCCAGAAATCAGTTCGATTTGGACCAACACTCCACGCGTACAAATCACGATAGGTCTGTTCTCATGTGTTAGATACTGGCTGAATACTTGTAAACCTCAAAATAAAGAGGCAAGTCACTTGCCTCCATCTTCAATCCATGTTTAGCATTTGCATTTTGCATGAATTTCCACATTGCCGTCGACTTTGGATCTGGATGCTCCCATAATTTACGCGGTATGGGCATGCTATGAACCGACTGAGGTTCGTAGCCATGCCCACCGGCATCCATGGCCTGCTGCCTCATATTTCTTTGTAGGCGAGAAACGTAGATGTCGAGACTAAAACGAACCAAACCGAACGGTTCGGCCACAAGCGCCGACGGACTACTATATGTTGTACAAGAGGATGTGCAAAACCAAAGCCCAAGGCTGACTGGGGGGCGAACAAAGTTTGATCTACCATGTGGGAAAAGAGGGATTTTTGTTTACATTCGTCCAACGAGGGGGGCAACCACCCATATGTTATGCTCACGATTCAGTTTTTCTTTCCTTCTTTTTTTCGTTTGTTCGACTCAAAACTCCCTGGACAATCGCCCATCACGGAAGACACGGATCTTGGAAACACAGCTGTAGTGTTGAGGGGGTGTGGGCATGCATGTCGACTCTGGAACCACCGACAGGTCCCAAGCTCCCCCCCCCCCGAAAAGCAACAATGGGAGAGGGGATCGAATGCATGAGACGTGACATGGATTCGCGCTGAGCCAGATAGGGGAGAGAGGCGCGTGGAGACAAGTGCAAAAGGTGCTGCTGTTGTCTTATGCAGTGTTTCGAGGTACAAAAAGTCGGTTGGATGCACTATAGTGACACATAGATAAGTAGATGCTCTCCCGCTTTACCACAACCAGACGCGAAGTTGAAGGCCCGCGGGGAACCCTTCAGCCGCATCAAACAAACATTTTCGTTGCTTTTCCCGGCTTGGCCCACATATGCCGTGTACAATTGGGAGGTTTGCTTGGATGGTCTTATCACGCCTTGCTCTTTGATTTTTGCAAGTGGAGAGATTAATGCTTGAAAGGGATGCCAACTGAACCCCTTTATCATTCTAGATTTCGAGCTGAAAGTAGTGTATCTAGATGCTGCTGTTCATTACCTTGGGTGGTTAATGTCTTGAAACGGTGGACTATTTTAGACTTGTGATCGGCGATGCGGAGTAGTCTGTGCCGACAGTAGGGTTGGATGGGGTGGAGCTGTCTAGACAGTTTGGAGACTTGAAGCGAGCACTACATGCCAGTGATCATCACGTGATCTTGGGTTGGAGTGGAAAAGAATATTAAAATTTCTCACAAAAACATACGACAGCAGGGATTCGTGCGTAGGAAGCTGATTGAATACTATTCCTCCGCCGAACTGGTCAACCCAAGGATATCTAATAGGTCTTGATGATCATATGTACGAGAAATTGCGATTTGATATGTTGTACCTGCTTGTATGGATTAGGAATAGCCGCATAGCAAGCCAAGTCTCCAAGTCTGTTCTATCATTGACGATCATAGCTGATTTCATTACGATTTTTATGCATATCTTAACTTGCTCAAGTCGAGTCGGAACTGCAATCACAATACACACACGTGTTCACGTGATCTTTATCACCTGATCCACACTCCTAGTAATCTCCGCACCTTCTCCCCCCCCCCCCACCCCCCACCCTTGCTCGCACGACGCAAGAAAACCGCTATCAAAATGCGCTCTCGTACACTCAAATTTCCAAATTTCCAAGAACACGGTCCCCGTTACTCGTCTCAAACAATAGTCTTGCGGGTTCAGACCCACAACTACCGAGCACTCGGTTATTAAACACTATATTTCAAACGCGCTGACAGGTAACGGCTTGGGATGGGTGTGCACATCGTATGTGGAATTAAGTCATGGGGGCGGGGGGCATGTGGTTTAAGATAAGGCCGGTAAAATTTTGGGGCGTTGATTTCTCCGCCGGGTGAAGACGATAAGCTAATTAATGAGGATTTCTTTGCTTGGTCTTGCAATTTGTGCGTGCAGGACGGGATGGGGGTTTTGTGCGGATATGGGCCGTGTTTCCTCTGACCTTGTTCTTCGGCTGCAACCCCGGTAGCCGAATCATAAGCGAAAGTAGGTGAATAAGGTTGGGTGGGATGTAGTGGTGTCAGCGTGGCGACTATGGCGATTTTGGCTGGGCTGTTGTGGAAGTATGTGGTGAGGTGAAGGTACATTGGGAGATGCAGGATATCAAAGCGCTACCAGAAGATGAACTTAGTTGCAGTTGGAAGTCTCTTTTCAACTTGATGTTTAGTTGCATAGTATGCTGTATATTGACAAATTTATCTCTTCATATGTATTGCAACCTTGCAATTCCACGTGGTTGAGAAACTGTATCATCGACCTGAGCCCCCTAGGCATGTGATTTCTCTTTACTCTCTCTGGCGCGGATTACGCTTCTCTTTGCCGCGCTGGTAATCCTCTTTGGGAAACCTTCCCAGGAATTGGCATAGGTAGCAACAGCCTCGGCAATACCCTTGGTGTGAAGGACCCAGGCGTCCAGATTCAAATTCTTGACTGTATCGCATGGCAAGTGAAAGCAAGGGTCGTAGTCAACACCAGCTGTTCCGCCAAAAATGGTAGCCTGCTCTGGGGTCTTCTGTATATCTCGGCCTGTCGAAGTTCCTCCAACGGGAATGCCAGCAGCGACGAAAGGTACATGATCGGAGAGCCCGTCGTACTCCTTTGGGATAGTACTTGTTCCCGCAGCTTTGAAGTACTGCTGGAAGAGATTTTGTATCTGAGTGGAGCCGTCGGGTCCAGGCGTGCCAAAGGCTTTGCCGTCGCCATCATAGGTTTGGTGGACGTAGTTGAGCGAGCCAAGCTAGAGCAGAACATAAGCAACCACATCTACAAAGCATGAAATGTAATGCGTACCAGGTCGAAATTCAAATAAGCACGGATCTTGGCATTTTCAGCTGGAGTGAGGTTGTTGATGAAATGTGATGAGCCAGGCAGATAGCCAGCCTGTTGGGCGGTCCAAAAGGCAAATGTTACCGCGTTCTTGATTTTGTATTTTGACAGTCCTTTGGCGACCTCATAGACCCCAACTAGGCCACTTGCAACGTCATTGATTGCTGGACCCTGAAGCACACCATCCGAGTGAGCGCCGACAACGAGCTTGTTGTTGTGGTCTCCAGACTTGGTGGTAGCAATGAGGTTCGATGAGGTGATGTTGCGGATGTCTGTGATACTCGTGTAAGTCATGTTGCCTCCTCGAATCAATAAACGACTTACCTGAGTAGACATCGAAACTGGCATATATCTTTTCTCCGCGTTTGAGTGCCGCCACTATGGGAGTGGATACATTCTTGATGATATTCAGGGTAGGGACGTATGGGCCCTCAGGCCGAGGAGGCGCAAGCAGAGTGCCAACTTCAGGGCCTCTGTCGTCAATGTTGTACAAAATAGATCCGACAGCTCCAAAAGCACCAGAGTAAGCAGATTTGATACCATAGTCGCACGTCCCACGGGCTATGAGGGTAATCTTGCCAGCTACTGCGGGAGTATAATCCGTCTGGATGTTTCAAGATTAGTTGCAAGTCAAATGGTCTACCAAGGTAGTTTCACAAGCATACCCTGTTGCATCCACCTTCGACAATGATCAAAGGGGCAGTGACTTTTGCGGTGGGAGAATATTCAAAGAGTGAAGAGGTCAAATTCGATAGGGCAGTGCCATTGATGGAGAAGGAGTTTATTTGGTCACTCCAGGAAACTACCCAGGGAAATGTCTGAAGGGAAACGTCGTAGTAGTCGAGGGCATCGAGGTTATCTTTGAGCCACTTCAGGGTTGCCACCTGTCCTGGGCTACCCATGCTTCGACTCTTGTTTGGGGTGACATTGGCAAAGTCTTCCAGTTTTTGTGCACCGGCCAACAGGTTATCACGAAGGATTTGAGACTTGAGCAGTGTCTGGAGATTGTTAGAAAATGGAGTGTTTTGCTAAGATGCAGTCGGCGTCTTACGGGGTTCACGGCCGGCTTGTCACTTGCAGAAACGCTAGCAACAAGCGTAGTGAATATGATGGAATACCTCATAGTGTCGACTACGAGAACGGGTATGCACAAAGATGGTTTAGGTAATGATGTAGTAAACGACAAAGCTGACTGTAGGGGATGTGGTCCCATTTAATAGCCTTGATGTGACCCCTCAAGTGATGTATACATGTAGTCTTCTGTTGAGGGCTGACCGCTCTCTGAATGGACCAGCAAGGTATCGACGACGTAAATGAATGCTTGCAGCGGCAGGGCCGCGGTGACATGTAGTAAGCACCGGCGTCGGGGCGAATACATAGCTACGTGGATTTGATGAATTCTGATGCTGCGCAGTCATGTACGGTGAGTAATCGAGATGGAGCACGTCAGATGGAGGAGTTCAGTGGCCAGTAGACAGACATGAGCAATGGTATAGAGCAAACACGCGGGGTTGGCTGTTTGATGGCGACAAGACTAACTTTGATTTGTTTACTTACAGGGTCAGGAAGGAGCACTAGGCCAGATGGAGGAAACAATCCATGCACGTTTAGCTGCATATCAGAAGGGTTTGGGGGCATTTGGTAGGCGAAGAAATAAGATTTATCGATCCGATGTAATGCATGGGCTATGATTCGTCTAGTCGATGCAATGATGACAGAAGACTCCGCGTCGGGGGTTAGTTGTCAGGTCACGTTGCAAACACTAGACATGTTCTGGAAAGATTTGGTCAACTGTGAGTGGATGATTTCAAATGTTCATCTGTCTAAGAAAGTATCATTAAGGTTCATGCACATGACATCCGGACGAATATCGCATACTGTGGAGATAGCAAGAACAATCTGGGTGCTAATTTGCTTTGTCCGAGGCCGAACAGAGGGTAGGCATAGTCCAACTGTTCCGTTTTTACGTGCATGTGATTGTTGTTTAAAGGTATCATCTACACTTGGCTGTGGATTGCTGCGTATTAGTGTTTGATTCAAGCCTTGAGATGGGTTGGTCAGTTTCACGACCAAAGGGTCTCTCGAGCTGATATGTACTCGGGGCACCTGTCACGGGAAGAAGCGCAACGCCTGCCTAGATGCCATGTCTCTTGGCTGTCATCGCTGAGGTTACTAGCGAAAAAGCTCAGGTCAGTGGTGCCCGTATTCTACCTTGCAACACATGGCGCCGATTGTGGCGAGTTTGGGGGGGGCAGCGGTGTGGATTCGTGTCTCACAGACAATAGCCCTGGCTTGGTCGGGTGTTGCCGAGTCACACGGCGCACGAGGCTGTTTGCACGAAAAGGGCTGATGGGATGAGTGTGGCGATGGGATGCCGTCAGCATGGTTGGTGGTAAGTAAGTATAGCCATGTGCGTAGTATTAATAGGGAAGCCAGAGGGCCGGGTGGAGAGTGAGTAAGCAGAAGAGAGTTAGTTAAGTATTAGTGCAGGCAAGTATTAGGATGTAGCGACTAAGTAGCAGCAGGTGGGGCGATGGTTCCTTCCTCAGGCCACGGCCAGGAGTCAGGCGGTGAGGCTTGGCAGGCAACGACGGGGCGGCTATGACATCAGCCTCGTAAATGGAGCTGAGACCAACAGTGGAATGAGCGAGCTTCAGGAACGCGTGCAGCGTCAGCATGGCAGTGGGAGCTAAAGACGATGGTCAAGCGGCAGTGGAGTGACTAATGCCGCGATCAGCAGGGCATGGGAGGTGGGTACTGTGCTAGTGCATTTGGACATGTAGGTACGAAGATAGGTACTTGGGTGCGTAGGTACGTGCTAGGGACTTGTTCGGGTACGTAGCACGCGGTACGGTTGGGCGTGGCGTTGCTGCAGGACAAGGAACACGCAGGGCGTTTGCAGCGTGCTGGCGCACAAACGGTTCGAGAGAGGGCGGGGGTGCAAAGAAGAAAAAGCGAGCGGTGAAACCGAAGTGCAGCGGGTTGCAACACGAGATGATTGTGATGATGCAGGCCAGAGTAGAGGGGCTGAAGATGTGAGGGTGTGCGTGTGTACAATGTAAGTAATTACTAGCGACGTAGATGGATAGAGCTAGAGGTCGATGGATAGTGGGCGCTTGGTGGTGGGATTGAATGGAGACAAGGTGGCACGGGCCTGAGTTCCGAGCGTAAGCGTTGCCATGGGCGTGGAGCAATCTACGTGTGCAGCTGGCAGATTGGCGAGACGAGCTTGATGTGGCGGTCTGGTCAGGCGCTCAGCCGGGCGTGGGCAGAGGAGCAGAGGGCAGCAATCTCGGGCAGAGTTTGGAGTGGCTATTGATGTCGACGAAGAGGCTGTAGGTGGGTCTGAGGGCATGCTGGCGGTGTGGGCAGGCGACAGGCCAGATAGGGGATGGCGGTGACGGCGCTCGCAGTGCAGGCAGGCAGGCAGGCAGGCACAGCTGCAGGTGACATGGGCCCGAGGATGCTACTAGTGAGTGGTAGGAGCAGAATACTTACTACTACTCACTACTTGGTACTAGCAGCAGAGCCAGAGCCACAACCAGGGCACAGCCAGGCAAGGCCCTCAGCACGTCCCGGTACCTGAACTGCCCAGCGGCGGCACAACCCTCGACTCGGAGCCAGCCAGATAGCAATGTTTGGGCCAGTGAGTTGGTGAGTGCGCGGAGCGGAGGAAAGACAGGTGTGTGTGTGTGTGTGTGTGTGTGTGTGTGCGTGTGTTTGTATACATGTGTAAATAGAGAGGTCTAGACTGGAAAAACAAAGATGCAGAAGCTGACAGGGAAACAGATAGCAAATACAGTACATACAGCACACACGGTACTATGGCAGCAACCAAACGGAGAGAAAAGACAGCCAAGAGATGGAAAATGGCACGACGGGTGGAGCGGGCAGACAATACGACTTGAGAGCGGCATGCTGGAGCGAATCCGGCAATGGCGTCGGCTAGCTTCTTCGCAACCCCACACCATCCACGGCCGCTGCCCCTGACCGGCACAGGGACGCTTGCAGTCGGCAGGCGAGCGTGACGAGAACGGACGAGACAGGAGCACGAGAGATGAAGGGATGGCGATCACGGCCGCCTGCCGCCCACTCGTCGCATTGCCATCGCAACGCCGGGTGGTGCTGGGGAACGAACGGTGCAGTTCATGGGGCTCGTTTCTGGGCTGATGGATGGGTTGATGGATGGATGGGTGGAGGCCGAGTGCGCAATGCCGTTGTGGCCCTATGGTGTGCTGTGTGTGCGTGTGCAGACTGAGGGCGTGAAACGGGGCCAACAGCCACTCAGGGCCGCTCTCGCCGTCACGCTCGTTCGCTAGCACCGCACGCAGCACACGCAGCAGCTGGCCGCAGCAATGAGATGGCGGCGCTGAGTGGTGTGGCAGGTAACCCGGTGTACACTGTAGCAGAGGTGTGTGTGTGTGTGTGGATGTGTGGGTATCAGAGGCCCTGCCCTGGCCTGCTCGTGCCCCCCGTTCATCATCATCATCATTATCATCATCACCCACTACAACGACTATTACGACGACAACTAGTCGAGCGACAGCGACAGCACGTTTAATGATGGCATCGCGCACAGGCCCGCCCCACTGACTCGCGCCTTGACTCTGCTGGCTCTGCTGGGTTCCCTGGCCCGTTCCCAGCCCGTGCCCGGTCGTGGTTGTACTTGAAACCTCGACGCCGTGCCAGGGGCCGCGTCCAAAGCTGGAGAGTGCTCTGCAATATATCCACCCACGCCCTATCCCTCTATAATATAGCGCCGGCCCTTCTTACACTTTTCCGCCTGCGGCACACCATCGTCCGCCATAATATACCCGCCCACCGCCTGTCACCTCACTCTCTAACACTGACGCCCTCAGCTCTTGCCTACACCACAAACGCCCTGCACCTCCAGTCTCACCCATCCGCCGGGCTGGCGCCTACCAAGGAACGCCCACTGTCGACCATTCCGACCACGCCTACATACATATATCCCCCCACCCACAGACTGACTGACGCCTGTCCAACCACACTCTACTACCACCTACTCCACTCTGCAACAATGGTCGACGTCGCCGTCACCTCGCAGCTGTCCCAATGGACCTTTGACAAGCCTGAACTCGCGCCTCGTCCCCAGCGCGGCAGCACCGACAGTGCAGCCTCGAGCCCCAACCTGTGCGACGATGTTTCCGACACACTGCGCATCGACACACCCGCCTCGCAGCAGCCTACCCCACCTACAGCAAAAGCACCAAAAGTTTTCCAGGAACGCTATCTCTCAAGCGAAGAGGACCTGACTGCCGACGATGGCTCAGCCTCGGGCTCAGACTCTGAATACGACTACGAAGACGCCATTGTCCACGACATTTCCACTCAAGCCACCGCAAAGACAATGTCAATCTCCAGATGGGACAAGGGTCGCAGTTGCGACATGGCCGTCGCCGTTGCCTATGCCCACGCCGGCCGCCCCAAGATGGTCGACATGGAAACTGATCGCCCAGCCGTCCAGCAACGATCCGCCTCCGTGGCCAACCTCATTCCCATCACAGCAGCAAAGAAGCTGCAAAAGGCAGACGAGGCACAGCGCTTCTCCATGAAGGTCATGCCCACCACGAGCATGGTTTCACCCTCGCTCTCTCGTCCCATTTCACCCCCCGCCGTTGTCGAGCCACGCCGACCCTCGACCAGCCACAGCCCAATTACTCAAAAACCCAGCACTTTCACAGACTCAGCCTCCATTTCTTCGTCCTTCCAAGCTGCATCAACACGCAGCTTCTCGCCTGCATTCAGCGATACCCCGCCAAGGCCCTCCTCGTCAACCGCTGGAGAAGTCGCGTCCGCCCGCTCCTCCCTCTACATGCCATCGCGCTCACGTCTCGATCTCTCAAAATACCCAACATCACAATCATATCAACCAGGCCATCGCCAATCGTACCTTCCCCCGCCAACTCCAAACTCTCCCGCTCTTTCCTTCCTCAGTTCAGATCCCTATGAAAACTCTTCCACTAGCCCCGCCTCACCAATAATCAAGAAGCAACCCACGGCCCACCGCCGACTACGCTCCATCTCCATGAAGCTTTCGCTTGCCAAGATTGCCATTACACCTGCCAAGAAGCAATTCGACTCGCGCCTGCACGGCAAGGTTCCACCTACACCCATCACCCCGGCTCCCATGACGCCTCAGACGGCCCCCATTGAGGGCGCAGCAAACTTCGCTGCCCAAAACAAGATTCGCCGCGCGTCTACTATTCTGCGTCCCAAGTCTCGTGGGGGCGACTCTGTACGAAAGACCCCTTCACCTGAGCTTCCACCCCCAGTCCCGCATGTCAGCACTAGCACTATGCAACAAAAGCGTTCTACCACACTTGGACGCATGACTGCCCGCGGCGCAGACGAGAGGGAGCCTACACTGGTTCTCCCAGACTGCCCGAGAAGCGAAATTGATGGCAGTTCCAGTGCCAGAAGCCGCGCAATCCGGCGCCGCAAGTCGCTGATGGATTTCATGGATTCGCTGTAAAACCAGCCGCACATCAAAGACGCCATTTTTGTTTCGAAACGCCTCTCCTCCCCGCAGTTCCACCAACGCACAGACGACTTGCATGCATCATCCCTGTCGGTTGCGACAATCATCTTTTCTTGTACATTCTCTTACCGCCTAGCTCGTGTATACCTCTTATTTTTTTTACCCTTCATCCCGCTACCTACTTTTCCACTACAAGCGCGTAATACCTGGCGTACCGTTGGCGCAACGACCTGGCTTCGTTCTATTTTTGTTTTTTCTATTTGTTCTCTTTTGCTCCCAATCATCTCGCTTGTCAGAGGTTATGATACCCTCTCTGCTTAGTTTTGTTTTGTTATCTTGGCAATCAACGCGAAGTGTTCGCCCGCCATTCAGCAGTAATTTCCTTGGTCTCAGCAAATCTCGCATCTAGGATGCATGCATCTCAGTCGCATCTAGTCCAGAGCTTGTTCTCGGATATGAAAGACATGATGTCCTTGTTTAGCGTAGCGAACAGCAAATACAAGTATTTCTGATCTTCAATAACCTTGGCCCTATGTGCATTATGATGGTAGCGATGATGTTGTTGTGTGGTGCCACTTACGCGCATGTACATTTACTAGGATGAAAGTTGCAACATGGGCATCCATGAAGAGGGTCCGGCTTCTCTCCGTCGTATTACCCCATGACGTATGTACATAACCCTGAGGATTCCCTCTTTTCTATCACGGCATCAACGGCATTGCCTCACTACTAAGCAATCCATGCAATGACGGCATTATATGTACTCTACTCCAAACGCGCCAAGACGTCGTCCCTCCCACCCCTTCTCTTCCTCTGACTGTGGTTCCAACTTGCCCCGCATCAAAAAAAAACCACAACACGCTGCACACGCACAACAAACTTTGGCACCTCAGCACGCCAAGCACCAACCAAAGCACTGAACTTGCAACTTACACTGCCCCCGCCTCCCCTCATGTCCCGTACCTACATGTTCAAATCCATTCCATTTGTCGCATACCTTTTTTGTTAAACTTTTGGCGCAGCAAGAACGTTTTGCTTGCTGCACTACGACGATCTGCACACGGCCAATTACGCGTAAGGACTTTACGTGGACGACGATGGCTTGGACCGTGATAAACTAATACAGTTGTGTGTGCGAAAGAGGCGAGGTCAAGGTACTCTGGTGTTACAGCAACTCTACAACATACTTGCTTACTACGAGTAGCAGCAGGGTGAAAAAGGTGAGGCTTGCAAACACACAGACAAGGTTGGGCGTCGATAAGACGCGTGCGTGATGATGTCATTGTCTGCATTATCTTTCCCTTTATACACAACAAAAAGGTAATCCAACCTGCGACGTGTTTTTTTTGTGTGTGTGTGTGTTCTTCGTCAATTACGAGTCTATCCGCGCTATGCGCTGTGTATATCCCAATTCTTGTTTTCCCACTAATACTTCGTCTTATCTTTGCCAGTGCGGCGGGAGAAGTGTGGCCGTGTGGACTCCCCACCCCTCACCTTCGTATTTGCAAACTGCCTGGGCAGGGTCTTGGAAGAACCGAAAAAAGGTAGGATAGACGCGTAAAGTAACTCATACGTGTTCTTCTTTTTTTTGCCACCTCTAGTACAGTTTACAAGAAAAATAAGTATAAGGCATAGTAGAACAATGTATATGCATGTAGGTATTATTGTTATGCTATGTACGTTTGTGTTTCTACCAAAGTGCCAAGTTCATGCCTTGGGGTATCGGTTCGGTCCTTGCCCTGGGAAGGAAAAACATGGTTACTATTTAGTGGCCACACACAGATACGCGCAAAACCCGCTAGTACCATCGCGTTTGGCAACGCCTGCTCAACCACAGCCACTTTTTTTCTCTTCTCTCCTTCAAGGCCAGCCAGCAATCCCAATTGCAAAGAACGCCTTGCAATCATCCCAACTCCCCTCTGCCCTACCCAATCATACCCCCCCACCCCCTTACATTGTCCAGCACCACCCCTCTCCAAACCTTCCCTAGCCAACCCACTCCCACCCTCACGAATCAAACGAGTCAGCACCAAAACCACCGCATGAATCACGTCTTCCTCTCTTCACTCTTCAAAAAACGGGCCGATAGAAAACCACACCCTCCCCTTCCCTTCCCTCCCCACTTTTCCAGACTCCCCCCCCCCTTCTTGCACAAAAAACCCACAGACACCCTACCGGTCCTCGCGACGCTTTCGCCGCGCTCGTGCTCACCCTTGAAATACGATGGCATGATCGTATTGCGGGTCCCTCTCCTCGGCGTGTGTGCGGGTGTTCTCCACAGTACGCAAAAAAAAAAGCGATCATAATGTCCGCTCCCTGTTCTTTACAACGGCAACGTACGCGCAAGGGAAGTGGGAAATGGCGGGTTGCGGGATGCCGCGGTTAAGGGTCCCGCTTGTGAGCGAGTGAAGAGGCAAGGGACGGATACAAGTTACCTGAGGGAGTGGATTGCGTAAAGGGAAGGTTAGTGTGGACCCTGTGGATGGTTTTGCGCAAGGTGGTCATGGGGATTTGGGTAAGGGGAATATCGCGAGTATTTGAGTTTTGCTCTCGTGCGTCTTGCGCGCGCACGAGGCAATTCGACATTGTTGATGGTTGTTGGTTTTTTTGTGGTTTTTCGCACCACACGCGTATGCGCGTGTTTCGTAGACGCGCCATACGCGTCGCCCCCCATCCATCCATCTATCTGTTTGTTTGTTTGTTTTTTTTTTCCAACGCACCGCACCCGTTGAACCCATCCATCAATCCACGCAATGCAAACTGCAAGTAATCACCCGAATTTTTTTTACCGCCGTTATTACTTTGTACCCTGGGGAAATCATCATCATCGTCTGCTGAACCACCCGCCCTTGATTCCCATCCTTTCTCCATCGCACTTCGTCTATTTGAAACCCCCATTTCTTCGCTTTTCTCCCGTTCGCGTTCCCTTGACTCCGCCCGCGCGCGCGCGTGTGTGTGCGAGTACCTGACTAGGCTGCATACGTTCATGTATGGATTCCTCGCACCCCGAACCGCAAGCTCGGTTGGTACCTGCAGCGAAACAATTGTAGTCCGTGCTCTGCTGCCTCTCTCTTTTTTGGGGGGGTTAGGCGGGCGGGCTATGTTGTTTTTTTTATTGGGGGGACGGGCTTTAGAGTTTGATCGTCGGGTTAGGGTTCGGAGTTGTGGAGATGAGGGTTGTGTCACGTGAGTGGGATGGTGTTTCCCGTGCTAGATTCGTGGTTCTGTCTGTGATGGGGAGTGACGATGATGTGAGGGATTATTGATGACCGTAGTTCATGATTTCCGTGGACGAGAGTCGGAAATTGTCTTGTTGTTGTTGTTGTTGTTGTTGTTGTTGTCATTGTTTACTTTTTCCCCATCATCTACCAAAGATGGTGCTTTGCTTCATTGCGTTATCTTCTTTTTGTATTGGTTGAGTAGCCGCGATGGCTTTTTTTTTTCTCGTCGGATGGTTGTGTTACCGAGCCTCACTACTTACTCATGCTATCCGAACCCGACTAAGATGGGTAAGCGTCTCGCCGGAAGACTCTTTTGCGTCATCTGGCAAACTAAATCGATTGCGGCCCGCGTGCAGAATCTTGATCCTTGTTCGGCACCAACAATTATTCCTGACTGCGGCGCTATTATGATCAAGTGCGGTGGATACGATAGCGTCGGACCTTTGTTCACGGCGTGGTAATCTTAGAACCCTTGTACTTATCCCGCTACGAGTACGGGTCATCTTACTGTAAGATACACTTTGAAGTCATCTTGTCTTGAACTTAATGGTATGGGGGTGGGGGATACGTGGTACGACAGGTTATTGGTGGCTATGTTGGATAAATACAATCATTAGCATTCGGGTCAATTTGCTGCAATTCTACCGCTACTATGTTCCACGTTCACCTTTGTTGCGTCAATTATCCCATCGTAAAATGTGTTCCAAGGGACACGCCTGAACAGCTCATAGAGAGTGACACTGGCGTGATAAGTCTATCGGAATTAGCTCAAACTGTGTAAATGACGCCTCTACGGCTGAATCCCTGATCGGCGCCTCCCAGTACATTGCCCTAAGCTCTTAGTTCGGTCTTGGGCCATTTCAAAGAATTTTCGATGACCATGCCCATGGCAGAGCGCATCATGTCAACCCATGTAGATTTGGGTGTGTTGGAACCTTGATGCAAGGCACTAGATACCAACTACTCAAACTGTCTTGTTGTGTCTCTGCTGGCGCAATCAGACGTAAAATACCTTTGTCTAGTGAACAAACTAGTGTAGGTTTGACTATTGATATGAGATGTGTAAGTGCCAGCTACTGTTGTTCCAGTGAGGTGGGCATCTTAGATGTGTGCATGCGTTTTCTTGTTTGTGGTTGATTGCTGGCAGTTGTACAGTTGCACAATGAGTGAGCGGTATCTTGCGAATCGCCTGCCTACGCAGCGCCTATTCATACAGTCACTGTCTATATGCCCGCATCTTATCAGAAATATGAGCGTACACTTTTCCCACAAAGAGTATAGCGTGCTCTGCCTTGATCATGCTCTCGTCGAAAAGCACCAATCATTGGCCGCCAGTTGTTGCTGCCCCCCACAAGGCTGTCCAACAGCCTCAACTACATGTCTTCCGAGCTGCTTTCTTTACACAAACTTCTGGGACATATTCCAACCTCTCTGCCCCTGTTCACTCAAACTTTGCAAAAGGACCTTCGGAACATTCTCCTTGTCACGGCGAAGATGAGAACCTCAATCCGTAGAGCAGCGCCATCTTCACAAACAAAGATCAAGCACAAAGCAGGAAACTTTGTCGAAGATAGTAACGCTCCCGTATCGCTGATTGAGGTACGCAGTGACGGTAGTTCACGGAAATCCCAGGTTACAAAAAGTCTGGTTGAAACATACATCCAGAATGATTTTCAAGCACAACCAAATAAACAGCCTGGTTCCTTACAGCAACCAGAACATGAGACAATAAAACTATTGTGCGCATACCTATTCTTAGCTTTAGTAGATAGTCGCTCATGGAATCTCCAGTTGCTCACAGCGGGCAGGACTTTATGACGGCAGCCTAACGCCAATCTCTCTGTCTCTACAGATGTACACATTCATTGCACCATTTGCACGCATACCAGACGTCTATCCTAGTATGCTGGATCAAAGGGCCTTGGTCAGTTCCTTTACACAACCTCAAATACCCGCCCACTTATCCCATACACCGCTTCATAATACTCGGGAAAACTATCTCAGTAAGTGAGCGAATACATGAAGAGGGAGACTCTCTAAATACATTCTGACAGGTTTCGTCATCCAATCCATTCCTGGCGCGATGAACTATGTATGCGCTGGTCTTTCACTTACGTATCATTTCCCCAGTCGCCAGATGTACATTTTCATGCATGGTTTAGCAACGGAGAATTACGACCGCTTCGCTCGCGATGTCGAGGGAGGTGCTGCAAACGAATCTGCCTTTATAATTCCCAGTATGATTGTTCAGCATAACCTTTCCGAACTAGGCAAAGTCATTACCCGATGGCATGACGAGATCTACTGGCACGAACGAACGCTAGGCATCCGATTTGATCACCATGATAGCATTGACCTGGCGAATCTTGACTTCACGGCACTGTCAAGGACTCTAAATGCAGCAAACACTCAACTTGCATACATCGCTTGGTCGTGCAAAAGCACTGCGCGTTTGCTTGATTTCCTGGACCAGGTCACAGATCGATATCGACAACAAGCTATGGCCCACGGTGAGCCAAAGAATGATATCTCGCATATCACAAATTTACTATCGGAGACGCATGAACATCTACGCGCTTGGAATATGGGACTACATGATAGAACTGAATATCTCTCTAAAAGAGGTCAAGCTTTAGTTCAGACTGTAAGTACTTTTGATGAAAATAGTACTAAAAGCCATTCTCATTGTCGCAGATATACAGCGGCATTGCTCAACGCGATGCAGCGACCAGTCTCAGTCTAGCCAGTACTAGCACTAGCCTGGCACGGTCTTCGCAAAGTGTAGCCATTGCCACATCACGTGATAGTGCTGTAATGAAGATCATCGCCGCAATGACAATGATTTTTCTGCCCGCCACATTTACTGCTGTAAGTCATCAATGAGTTTCATGTCGCCGCCTCCCTTCTAACAGTTCCTGCAGACATTCTTCAGCACCACGTTTTTCGATTTTAACAACAATCTCGGTGGGCGCATGTACTCTTCCTGGTTATGGCTATACTTTCTAGTCACTTTTATACTCACATTCGTAGTCATGCTAATCACGTGGTGGTTGTGGAAAAAGAAAGAAAAGGAAGTCACTGCAGCTCTGGACATTAAATAACGCATGTCACAGCAATTTGCAACCGCTATGAACAAATCAAACTTGGGTAAAAACAAAACGGAGATGGGAAAAGAAGCGCGAGTGGGCTCAGGGGAAATTTGTTGGTACTGATCCGTTTGCTTTTTGCAGTTTGCATATGTCAGAAACAATGTTGGAGAAAAGAAATACCGTGGGGAAAGAAAATCATTAGTCACAAAATGAAGATGACGGCACGGAGAAGATGAAACGGGAGAGTGGATGAATAGTCTGATTCATGCAGAAACGCTGGAAACATTGATGTCCTTTCAATGAGGCTGACTTCCTGCCATAATGCTGAGTGATCATTTCTTGTGATTTTCGAAGTGGAAGATTTCACTAAAAGCTGGGGAAGCTGGTATGTACCAAGCAGCTATCAAGCAACATATTTTTCGACGTTGAGAGCGTCGCATTCGATCTGTCACGCGATCAGGAACGCTTGTATTAGTCATATTTCCTGGTTGCGATGAACATGTAACTACCGAAGACAGGATATGAATGGGTAAATATTGAACAGTATAAGTGATCTATTAAAGATATTGTGGAGGACATTCCCCACATTCACAACTGCCGTTCGCTTCGTCCCCACCATCGGTACATATGTCTACACTTTAATCAAGCGTAGATTTTAGCCAAGCGAGAGCGATCAGGGCAGCAAAACACATAAAAGAATGTCATGATGTACTTTGTTTAGTAAATATCTTACAGCAGCTTCACTGAATCACAATGTTGCCCACTATCATCCTCAGCCTTGCACTCGCGGTAACAAGCTTCGCCCAGGCACCAGAAGGGCACCGCACTGTTTACATCACTTCAGCTCAAGATGCCAAATTCGTTGTCGTTCCCAAATCGCGCATCGCAGGCGCACCTCTTGTAGTGTGAGTTCTCATTAAGCACCCTCAACATGTCGAAGTTGTAAACATAAGCTAACACGTCAAATCCACAAGCCAATCTCTGACCAAATCTCCTTCGCAAACGTGGTATCTTGCTGCACCATCAAACAGCACCTCGATCCAACTTGCCTCCACAACCCTATGCATGGACGCCGGCCCCAAATCTGGGTGGAAGGACATGGCGCTCGTTTACCTCCGCGAATGCGCACCTAAGGCGGAGTCTCAGACTTGGATTTCTATGGATGATGGGCGCATTGCACTCGAGGCTAGTGTGGGTACCAAGCAGTGTCTTGATCTACAATACATAAGAGCTGTGGAGAATAACCCTGTGGGTATGTATAATTGCGCGGGGTTGGGGAACATCGGGGCGAAGGATAAGGGTATCAATTGGCCGCTTAAGGATGCCTGAGGGATGGTACACGTCGAACATGCCGATCGTGGCAATGTAACTAGCGAGAATGAAATTGAGTTTTGTTGCTGATTACAAGAGCGACAGAGCAACAAATAACTATGCTAGACTTTAGAGGATTTATTACGCCTCTCTTCATGCCTCTTCTGCCCTTCTTCCTTTAGCTGAGCATCGTCCTTCCGTGCAAGTTCTACCTGAGGCATCAAGAACCAGGCAGCGACAAAGGCAATGGCGTTGAGAGCCGCACCCACGATGAAAATGATTCGAAAGCCTTCCTTGTATGCTGAGGTGAGCGTGACGCGAATTTGATCCATACGCTGTGTCCCGACCGACTCGCGAAATAGGTCTGGCGAGTTGAGAAGTAGGTTCAATTCCGTTCTAGAGAGTCCGTATGGTGCTAGTGAATGACGAACGGCATTATTGACAATGGTTCCCGCAATTGCCAATCCTAGGGTACCGCCGAGGTTGCGTATGAAATTGCGTGTTGACTGTGCTCGATGTCAGCCTTTGAGGAATAATGTCGAAGAGGCGCAGGTATATGTCTTACTGTGACGACTGCCATGTGTTTGCGTTCGACTCCTGCTTGGACAGCGATCAGGCTTGGCTGCAGTGTGTTTCCAAGTCCAAAACCAGCAAGAAGAGAGTATCCTATCTGCTTTCCAAGAGAAGGGCTGTCAAGCGTTGATAGTAAGCCCAATCCAATTGCCCATACTGCCCATCCGATGAGAAGGCATTCCCGGTAACGTCCAGTCCAATGCACTACGAGACCAGAGAGTGTACTAAAGAGCGCTATCCTTATATCAGCAACCATCTAATCTTCCCAGTATAACTAACGACACCTACTTTGTGTGAGTGTGATAGGTAGCAACAGTGCTCCAGACTTGACAGCTGAATAACCGTATACCAGTTGGTAGAACGACGGGATGTAGAAGATCTGGACAAGAAAATTCCAGCCATTGACAAACATTGTCAACATCGCCCCGTTAACGACCTTTGAAGTGAATATTTCCACTAAGCATGATCAGTAAATGTGCTTCACAGAGATCTCAGGGTGAATGATGGAATCCATTAACTCGATACGATGGCTTGACTTACGTGAAACTAGCGGCACACTGGTACCTTTCCATTGCCATAGTATGAAACCTGCGGAGACTGCAACGCCGACGACAAGAGTAGCGACAACGTGAGCAGATTCCCATGGGTGTTCACCACCAGCCCACGTCAATGCCAACTGTTACCGGTAAGCCTTAGCACACTGAATGAAACAGGATATACATACCACGAGTAGTGTGGAGCCGGCAAGGGCTAGGAAAGCTCCAAAAAAGTCGATAGCTGCTACTTTTCTTGTTCGCTTAGCATTGAACTGTGAGATGAACCTAATAACTTACTCTTTCCATGCGCCGTGGACTTTGCGTAATGGCATCAAGAAGGTCACAGCGCCAATAGCCACAAGACTTGTGAAGAGATTCAGCCTGAATATCCATCGCCTATGATATGATTAGTACATGATGGACTTTGTCTCTTTGGGAGATGTTACCAAGAATCTGGGCTTTGTGAGGCGAGTGCACCTCCAATGATTGGTCCGATTCCATTGGCCAGCGCTACAACAGCCCCCTATGGTGATGTGAATAGCTTTCTTCAACATAAATAGCATGTGACATACCAGTATACCTTGATACTTGCCTCTTTCGCGAAGCGGTACTATATCAGAAACTATCAATTGGGCGATTGTCACAAGACCGCCGCCTCCGGCTCCCGTGAAGGCACGGAAAATGATGAGTTGAACGGCTGACTGTGCCAGTGACGCGGCTAATGAACCGAAGAAGAAGACTGCAATGCCGACACTCAAGACGACTTTGCGAGACCATATGTCGGAAAGGCGGCCATAGAGTAATTGAAATGAGGTCGATGTGAGGAAGTAGGCGCCTGCAATCCATGCGCGCTCACTGTCAGCGTCAAGAGCCTTGCTGACAATGGTTAAACTTGCTCCAAGAGTAGTCTGGTCTAACAATGCTAGCAAGTCAATACTTGCGCAGGCCAGAAATATCTAGTTTGATGAGCACAGGGAACAATATTGGATGCAAATCCTCTCACAGTAATGATAGTCTTGACCGGCACATAGTTAGTTTGCTCGTTGAACCTCGGCCCAGTTTCCTCGTCTGATGGGTGTGGTTCAATTTCGGGAGTAGGCTTAGTGTCCATGGCGTACTCAAGACAGGGTGCGTCAGTCTTGGGCATTCGATTGAAGAAGAGAGGAGCAAAAGGCAGCCACCGTCGTCACTGCAAATCTCTCCAAGTTTCTTAGGGGATACTATATATCACCGGGCCTGGAAGTACACCGACAGCGCGCACTGCACTTGGAACTAAAGGGCTTAAGAGCACCGATTTCTTTTAAGGTGCTTACCGGTCTCTGCAAGCCCAGGCCTTTGGAAAATAGTTCATCTCCATGTAGTATCGCCGGCACTTGCTCAGAGAATCTTCCAGCAGTCTAGAATCGTGCGTCAATAGACGGCAGTAAAACGTGCGCAAACTTGCTCCACTAAGATGCTCATTGGATGCCAAGGCCACTAGTAGTGGTGCACTAGTACTAATACTACTATTACACGACACTGTTCGTCGATCAACAGGCTATACACATGGGTAGTGCATCATGCCCAATCTACATTGCTTTTGAAGGGTCTGACCGCCTGCCACTTGAGCACCTTGAAATACACTGCAGCATGCATGGAATAAGCGTGGTATGTCGACGTGCCAAGTTAGGGCCCGCATGTGAAACGGATTGGCTGGAGGTCATGGATGCTGATGCGAACAGGGAGTACCGCCCTGCCAACGCTATCCTGTAAACAGAAAAAGCGCCTGTTCACACGATGGCTTCGATTCGACACAATGTGCTCAATATGCCTTAGAAACCACCAAGGTATCAACACCGACTATACCGTAATCATGTAACAACTATATTGCAGCGTTATTTTCTCGGAACCTTGATGGCTGCCATGGCCCCCTAGAGCCGCATCCACGCAGCAAAATATGATGTGCATTTTTTTTCGTCCGCATTGGTCGGGTAGACCCGGTGAATGCATTCAGTTTAAAGAGGAGAGCCTCTCTACTGTCACATACCTTTTGCTTTGCTCATAACAACTTTATCTAAATACAAAAAAATGGCTAAACGAAACTATCTGAATGCCTACTCGGGTCCCGATGCAATTCGGAACTATTTTGACCCGGACTGTCAACCAATGCTTCCACTGGTAGAATTACCACCCAGCCTTAACCCATTTTACAATGACGGCGTTCGCATACACGCCAAAATGATGTCCATGCATCCTGCAAACAACGTCAAGGTCATGCCGGCGCTGAATATGTTGGAGAAAGGAGTGCAGCCAGAAAAGTCAAAGACCGTCGTTGAGTACTCGAGCGGATCGACCGTCATCTCACTTGCACTACTTTCACGGATCAATCATGGGATTAAAGACACACGAGCTTTCCTGAGCAACAAGACCAGTGGCCCTAAGCTGCGGCTCATGCAGTTCTTTGGGCTAGACATGTAAGTATGCCGTTGAGTCTCCATGATTTCTAGTAGCTGAACTTTCTGAAAGAACACTGTTCGGAGGCCCGTCTCAACCCGACCCTACAGATTGCCGCGGAGGTATACAACGGGCCAAGAAGATGGCTGAAGAGGATGAATCAGTCTTGAACTTGAATCAATATGAGAACGACGCAGTATGTCATTTACGCGATGCAACGCTTTCAAACATGTACTAAATACTACAGAATTGGCAATCGCACGTCAGATGGACTGGCCCTCAGATCCTCGAGCAGTTGCCCAACATTCGATTGATATGTGCTGGTATGGGTACATCGGGCACTATGACAGGCTTGGGACAATACTTCAAGGCTCAGGATCCGTCAGTGTTTCGCTTAGGGTATGTTGATGTTCTTATCATTGTCGCATTCAAATAGGAACTAACTTACTGCTTAGTGTGTGTACAGCCCCTGGCGATCGAGTTCCCGGGCCCCGTTCTTTTGCGTTGCTGGCCCCTGTCGAATTCCCTTGGCGCGATTCCGTAGATGCTATCGAGGAAGTTGGCTCAAAGGACGCATTCAGCCTCAGCCTACAGCTCTGCCGTGAAGGCCTTATTTGTGGACCATCGTCCGGCTTCAACCTCAAAGGTGCGTCAATCGTCTTTTCGTACAGCAACGACTGACAGCAGAAGGACTTTTCAACTATTTGAGCAAGCGAAAAGCGGCAGGCACCCTGAAAGAACTTGCTGGATCTAACGGACTCATCGATTGTGCCTTCATCTGCTGTGATCTCCCTATCCAGTATGTGGACGAGTATTTTGACAAGCTTGGTGCTGAAGCTTTCCCACCTATTCACAATGAAGTATGGCTATCTTCTCTTCTTTTCCAGGATGATTCTGACATGAAAACAGAATCTCACAGCAGTCGACCTATACCGTTACGATGACGCTTGGGAACTGGAGCCCACGCAATTACTCTCGCAATTCACCAGCACAGCACAAGGCGACAACAATGAGGCGGTTATACTTGACCTACGAAAACCAGAAGATTTTGCCAGAGCTCATGTACCTGGCTCATGCAACCTACCGCTGCAGAGCTGCAATGCCTCCATGCCCAGCCCATTTCTCGATGCCGTAATACTCGAGACTCAATGGAAGGAGCTAGAGGCTACTTTCACCTCCGATCGTATCAGTGCTTACGATCTTGCTGGCAAGCAGGTATACGTGGTGTGCTATGACGGAGATACATCAAGAGTTGCTACAAGTATACTTCGAGCCAGAAGAATCACTGCGAGCAGCGTGAAAGGTGGAATTGCTGCAGTGCGAAAAGACATGCCACAACTACAACTGACGGAGCGCGGTAGAGAGCTGACGCAGCAGAATCGATCAAATCTGTCCAAAGCTGCTACGAAGGAGATGAGAGCAGACTCGCTGTCGCCTCAAGCGCGGGGGCAGACGGGCATCGTGCTGTAGATTTTAGTATATTGGTTATTAGCGTTGCGATTATCAAAAGCCCCTGATCAAGTTTGCGATGATGGGTCAAATCTGGGAGCATTAGATCATGAGAATTACACACTCTCCCACACATCATGCGCAATTTGTTCTGTTTTGAAAAGTGCAAATCTTCTAGTCTTAATTTCGTTAGCCCGCATCCAAGTGCAAAAAACGCCCGGTGGCCTTTGCGATCTAGGCCCGGCGTTTGTGTTACACAATGGCTAAATCCAACAAGGTACTAGTCAGATCGTGCATAGAGTGCAGATCTACGATCTGAAGTCTAAAGCCCGTGGATAGGCTAGGTTGAGTGAACCGGACTTACAATGTACATCTCCGTGAAGGATGCAAGTCAACTACAGTGCAACATGTACATAAAGCTACGTTGTCAGGACATGTTCGAAAAGAGTCTCGACATACCCTTTCTATATTCTTGCACCGGTTTTAATGTTCCTCCTTGAAATAAGAGTACTCCCAGTGGAACCACCATCATGTCATCCGTTATTGCCAAAGAGATCGCCCTGATCACCGGCGCGAATTCCGGAATTGGCTTCGAGATAGCACATCAACTTCTCCAAAAAGGCACCTATCACGTCCTCCTGGGTGCTCGCAACACCAGCAAAGGTGCTACAGCCTTGCAAGACCTGCAAGCACGCAACCTTCCCGGCAGCGCCGAGCTGATGCACCTCGACGTGCAGAGCGACGAGCATATAAACCAAGCCGCTGCACACATTCGAGAAAAGCATGGTAAGCTCGACATCCTCTTCAACAACGCTGCCGTCGCACTCCCAGAAGGCGCAACAGAGCGCGAAAGGATGGCTGCAGCCTTCGACATCAATGCCACAGGTCCATGGCTCCTCACAAAAGCACTCATACCCCTTCTCAAGAAAAGCGAGAACCCCAGGATCATCAACATATCCTCTGGTGCTGGAAGTATCGGTCGGCGACTCTTCCCCAAAAGCCCAATGTACAAGATTCAGGCCATTCCGTATCGTGCAAGCAAGGTGGCTTTCAACATGCTAACCGCATGTCTGTACGTTGAGTTTGGACTCGGCGTGAAGCAAACTTATGCGATGGAGCCGGAATCAGGCGAGGATGACGCTGGGGCTGTTGGTGAAACGGATACGAAGGTGAAGGTTTTTTGCTACGATCCTGGATTCACAGCATCTAACCTTGGGCCGTACAACAAGCAAGAGTTTGGTGCGCGAAGTGCTGAGAAGACGGTTGAAAGTGTCATGGAACTTGTGGAGGGAAAGAGGGATGCGGAGGTAGGCAAGTTTATACATAACTCTGGGGAGTATCCGTGGTAGCCTAGAGTGCTTTCTAAAAGTAGAAGACTGGTATTAGTAGATGGTATGAAGTTAGAGCTGGCACGTTAAGAATCGTGCGAATGGTTGGCGGGGTGAAGGACAGGCCCCCCACTTTTAGGCACCCAGCACTTACACAGCCTTACAGCATCGTGTGTTTGTCTAGAACACAGTATAACATGTTCATCTACAAAAAATTATAGTATTTTTTTATCTAACTCCATTTGCGCAATACCAAAAAGATATTTGGTTCTCTCTTACCAGGAAATTTCCATCTGATCAACCATGACAGTCCCGTTCCACCACGAGCAGCTGGACCGGTCAAGGCGCGAGATAAGGCTTCTCGAGCTACTCCCGAAAAATCAATGGCCGAACGATTCCCAGCCTGCATGTCGACTGTTTCATGCTAGTCTTGATGAACCTCCACCATACCTGGCCTTGTCATATGTTTGGGGAGATAAGAGCGACCCTAGGTCCATACTAGTAAACGGACGTACTTTCGAAGTGACAAGAAACTTGTTCGAAGCACTAAACAGTATAGTCGAATCAGAGAGTTTCATTACCTGGATTGATGCGATATGCATCAATCAGGCGGATGATGAAGAGAAGGGATGGCAAGTCGCCTTAATGGGCGACATCTATCGACAGACATCTGAAGTGATAGCGTGGCTTGGACCGTCAGCACACAACAGTGATGCTGTTCTGCAACATCTCGATATACTGGGCTCGATTTCGGAATCACTGGGCCTTCCTACAGATACTTCGGCCTGCTTGACTGCGTGGAAAGTAATGCTGGGGATCATACCGCTGGAGGGTGATCTTACAGAGCCCACTTCCAATCCCAATTCCAATCCCGCCAGGCTCTCGATACCCTTGTACGCATACGAAATCCTCTTATATATTATGGGTGGCTTTGAGTCCCATCGTTACTTGCTTCCATTAGCTGATCTGGACCATCTCTTCCAGCGAAAATGGTGGAGCCGAATCTGGGTTTTGCAGGAAATCACTTTGCCGGAACGAGCCCGAATGGTCTGCGGAACGAAGCGAATATCCCGCCAACGATTTCACGCTGCCCTCAAAGTTTTTTATGCCTTTGCAGACATAATTTCGAGGTTAGGAATGCGCAACCGACCATTCTCGAATTATCAACAAGAACTACTCACAACTATGTCTCCGAAAGTCTACCTGATGTTATCAATGTCCAAAATATATCAGCAACAAGAATATTCGTTGCTATCGATGATTCGAACAAATAGCTTCAATAGTTTTGCATTCGTGGGAAGCGGCAGCCAGGAACCTCTTCAAGCAACTGATCCGCGAGACAAAGTATTTGCTCTCCTAGGTCTTGTAAACGACAAGGATAGTTTAGAGGCCTTAGGCGTCTTCCCAGATTACACTAAATCAAAAGAGGAGGTATACAAAACTACAATGGCTGCTATGCTACGACAAGGTCATATCTCACTTCTATCAATCTGTTGTGGTATTGAGAGACCAAATGGTTTGCCTTCCTGGGTACCAGATTGGTCTAAACCAGACCCGCCAATGCTGCAGGTAGTCGGTGATGACAATCACAACCTGTATCCCACATTTAACGCCTGTGGTTCGAAGAACGAACATCATTTCGTTTCGCCTAGCAGAGACTATGAGCGTGAGAGATTAATGATATATGTCAAACAGGTTGACGAGGTCTTCCAACTGGGTCACGTCGACAGGTTGCCCTCAATGCCCAGAGTCGTATCTCCAGTTAAGTGGCTTGATGTGATGTTGCAACTCACGTACTCTGTTGAGAAGCCATACTTGGACGTTAAGGAGCGCATGCAAACCGCAGCCAGAGCCTCGCATGCAGGTATGAGATTTGGAGAAAACAATATGCTAAAAAGAGCAAGCGAGTTCCCTGAAGCTATGCGCATACTAAAAGAAGTGTATCAAAGCGACGCAGAGAAAGGCGGTTTCCTCGAATCCCAAAGTGCTCTGAGAAGGACCCTTTTGAGATACCGCATGATGGAATTTCCTTCGGACATGCATCAGATGCTGGGTGGGATTCTGAGAATAAATGATTGCAAAGTGCCTCTCATCACAAAAAAAGGTCGCTTAGGAATCAGTGCCATGACCGTTGAGGAGGGTGACATTGTAGTATTGGTCAGTGGAGTGCAGATGCCCTTCATTCTTAGGCCTACAGGTACAAGATACCTGGTCGTTGGCGAGGCATACATTGACGGAATCATGGATGGTGAGGCAGCAGAGGACGGTGAATGGGTTCACATGGAACTTGAATAGCACTCTTATAGTTCAAAGAACATGGGTTGAATACATATTCTCCACCAATGTGTTGTTCTGGGACTGATTGGGTATGGCTGTTTTCCTTCATTATGTTCAAGTGTATCCGTCTTTCCAAACACAGCGTGCCCTATAGTGACATAATTGGTGACGGCGGTTTCGAATAGAACCACTATGATCAAGGTCTATCCCCATGTTTGCTACGTTACCACTACGCTGTCTGAAACTTATACAATTAACAGAGACCAAGAGATATTGCGGGGCTAGGAAAGATGATTTTTAACATGGGAGGTGCATTTCTTTGACACGTATTCACCAGCATATCAGGCTTGTGAAATATAGGTACAGCGCGCGGACTCGATGACCATTTACTTATTGAGTCACCAACAATGATGCATTCTTGAATATTCTTCCAAACATCCCTCCTCATTTGCGATCGCCAAAAAAACAAGTAATAACTTTTGCTTTCCTATAAAATGCGCAGTTCCGCTCAGTGCCTTGCCCAACATCCAGAAACCCATTTTCTCAAGCAGTCAAATACCAGAACATCCAGCAATTCAACCACGCTCAATTTCCCAATAACCCTCTCAGAACTTCCACACTATCATAAACTATCAAAATGCTCATGTCTCGCCACAACCATCGTGCTTGCCGCCATGGCCACATGTGCCGCAGCATCCCCTTCGATCCCGCGCGCCGCACCCCATACCCAGCCCCAGCCCCAGCCCTAGCCCCAGCCCTAGCCCCAGCTCCCACCCACCCCGCCACAGAATGGAACTACACCCCCCAAGACTCCGAAGAACTATTCATAAAATGGGGACCCTACACCATCCCCCACCTCATCAAAGCCTCTCCCCACTATACCAAAATCACCGTTGACGTCGATCCCTACGCCAAACTACAGTTTCCCGAGAAGTGGGAGAGTACGGAGCGCGTTATCCATGCTGTGCATCCGATTCCGAGGGCGGAACTTGAGGATCTAGGTCCGAATTACGTGAGGCAGCTTGGGGAGAGGTTAAGGGGGGAGGTGGAGGAAGAGATGCAGAGTTTGAGGCTGCGGTGCAGAGGACGTTGAAGAGGATTGATGATTGTCTTGAGTTTTACTTTTTTGTGGAGAGGCCGGGGGCGAGGGTGGTTAGTGGGCAGTAGGGCTTGTTGTTAGTGGTGGGATGTGAGGCGATGTTAGCTATTCGAGTGACGGAGGAAAATTAGGAGATTGTAGTTTGCTCTTGAAATCAAAAGCTTATCCATACTGAATCCGTATTCTGATGATCTTTGGTGATTGAAAAGAAGGGAATTGTGAATGGCAGTTCTAGAATTTCGTCGGTTAGGTTGATCTTGGTTCTCTGCAGCAGAAATATATACGGCTTCAAGTCGGGGATGGATACCGACACCATGGCGGAACATCCATCAATACTTGGCAGTTTGATATGTCGAGTATTCTATGTAATCCGGGTATGCCACCGACCAGATAAAGCAATCAAAATCTTAGCTTGCCGCTATTGCCAATTCCCCGATTTCTCAAATTGTCTCCATTCCATCATATACTCGACACAAAAACACGTCACAACCACGTAAGTCGTTGATACTAAACACAAAAAACCTCATATGCTATAAAAAGGTGATTCTTCAGTCCATTCAATCCCTACATCCATTCAATTCTGTGACCTCAAACCACCAGCAAGATTGAACATGTGTACCTTGAATCTGCCCTCATGGAAGAAGCCTCAAACAACCCGCCATGACCTGCCAACTCCACCACAAGTATATATAATCCCCATCTTCCCAGCCTTCTAGCATCCCCATAATACTACCAAAACACTTCAGCCCATTCAAACGAACACTTTTTTTTTTTAAAAAAAAACCCCCCCCAAACTCTCAGAACTACCTATACACAATGTCTCTCCTAACCCGCCCCCCACCCCCCTCAACCCACACCTTCCTCTCCCGCCCCAATACCTTCACCCTCCCCCTCCCCCCTTCGCACCTCTCCCTCCTCCGCACCCCCGAACTAATCCACCTCCGCACCTACCTCACCACCCTCCTCTCCTCGCACACCCTAACCGCCAACCCCGTCCTCCTCTCCCACATCCTCACCCTCCGCCGCGCAATCTCCCTGCGCCTATCTTGCGCCCAGCACCTCAGCGCCGTCGAGCAAAAAGCCTGGGCGTCCGCTCACGGGTTTCCGATTTTCGACGCAGAAAGTAAAATGACTGGGTTCCGGTGGAGTTGGTCGGCGCTCGAGTTCGAATTCGGAGTCCATATCGTGGCGTGGGTTGTGCGTTGGTTGTACGCGTTTCAGCGGAAATCGGCGGCACGACGGTATACGCTGCGGCAGTCGTATCGGTTTCTGGAGAACGAGGTTACGTATCGGAGGGAGAGGAGGGAGGGGCATGAGGTTGTGGAGTGGAGGTGTAATGGGGAGGAAGTGTGTGTGTGGGTTTATGGGGCGTGTTTTAGGGATACGGAGGAGTGGGAGGTTGTCAGGGGGGAGCTGGAGGGGTATGAAGTGGGCATGCTGAAGGAGGGGGTGGCGAAGATGCGGAATACGGTGCGGGGAGGGTGGGAGTTTGTGGTGTATGTTGAGGGGGAGGAGGCAGAGGTTGAGGAATTGTTTCCGGTGGAGAGGACGGCATCGGAGGGGCTTTCGGGCGGAAGCCAGGACGACGATGCGGAGTCGTTTGATGGATACTGCTATGGCGATAATTTGGAGCAAATTGTTGCTCTGGCATCGGGACTTGGGGCCCTGGCACAGTCTTCTTGCGCCTCCTCCGCATCCGACCACGCGGAAGTTGTTGAACAGACACCGGAAGTACCTCCTCGCGTCGGAGACTTGCTGCACCAGGCAGAGACACTGGTCAGCGCGATTAGAGGCATCAATTCGCAACTCTCATCTACCGAGGAGAGGCAATCGTCGTCTAGCCAGCACAGAGAGATTCCACCCGCTTTGCAGACACAGCCACTACCATCCCAGTACGCGGCATCAACTGTCAGACACCCACGCCGTGCAGCTGCAAGGCAGCCAACAACGCTGCACCGATATCAGGCGTATGCCGAAGACGACGATGGCGAAGGCTCGATTAGTGCCTTGCCGAGCTCCTGGCGCGATATTTGAGGTTCACGACCAAGTTCAAAAGTTGTGTGTGTGTGTGTGTACATCATACTCTGGTATGTCTAAGTAACTAGGTGCGAGTAGTTTGAATGATCATGTGTTGGTATTATAGAAAAAGTGTCTTGAGTAAAACATGTATATATTCATACTCTATGTATTAGTCAAGCGTGAATCAACTCGATAAAGTCTCTTAACTACACTTCGCAGCATCATGCCCGTCAAAACACATCTTCTCGTCTCCAAATTCCGATGTTGAGAGTTACAAACGTAGTACAAGCGACACACACTATACCTCACTATTCTGAACAAATAAAACTTCAAAAAGCACTCCAGTTCAAACCTATTCATTTCATAGTCAAATTTACCAAACAATAAGGGAAGGGGGACGGAGTGTCATCTATCGCAATATATTTACCAATACCCAGCATTTCACACAAAATGGACAACGTATACCACCCTAATTTCAACTTTGTACTGTCTTCTTTATATCTGGAAATTAAAAAAAATGAAAAGGAAGAAGAGGAGAAATAAAAGAAGAAAAAAAAGGAAATTCGTGGCTTACTACATCATTGGCTTTACCTGCCCCGTCATTTTTCCCATACATGTTCATTTCGTTTGTGGATATCTCTGAAATAAGAAAATCATTTCACTGGTCGTTGAATCCACACTTAAGCCTACCATCCATGTTTCGCGTTACCGTTGGACGTACATCCAATTCCTAAATTTCTACACACACTCACACACAGAGCATCATGTGTCCTCGACGCTCCCGTCGCGCTGCGCTGGTATAAATGTAAGAAGATGGGAGGTCAGACGGGAAAAGAAAAATACGTAAAAAGTTCATCTCAAGCGGCTTTAAAAGGTAACAGTATGGGGGAATCATGCTTGCTAGAAATCTGAATGAAGAAGAAAGAAAAAAGCAGGGGATAACAAACTTAAGAAACTCCCTCGCTATGCATAAACTGACCATCCATCATCTGGACCGTGAACTACGTGTGCGCAACACGCGAAAATACTCAAGTTAACGGTTGGAACGCGGGGGTATCAATGCAGAAGTCGAACACCAAATGCGCAAAAAGACATACTATGCCCTGGTTGGGTTGATGTTCTCCAGCTCGCTTCGCTGGCGCAGGTACTTGGCAGCAAGCTGGTCGCCACCCTTCATGGACTGCTCCATCCAGTGTTGCGCAACGCACATGGTCATGGGATCGCTGCGTGCAGGATCCTGCGAGGCTCGTTTCTCGCGGTTCAGAAGCTCAGTCTTGAACACCTCGCTGGGCTTGGTAAGCGGCAGCACAGTGCGGTGGATGAGTTCAGGGGAGGTGAGGTAGAAGATGGCTAATTCGCGCTCAGCGACTGAATCGCCTTCCTTGGCAGTGATGAGAAGCATGCGTCCTGCATCTTCCATGGTGTACTTGGACATGGGTTCGTCACCTAGGGCTGACGATGATGCGCCGACCTTTTCGGTCATGCTGCTGCTGTTTGCCTTGCCTGCATCACGTTTCGAGTTCTGGGTGATGACTTCATCAACAAGCTCGACCATGATGCGGCAGACGTCTTGCTTCAAGCCGAGGGCTGCAAGACCGACGTCCCAGAATGCTTTACCGCGCGCAGTCTTGTCGAGCATCTGCGCTGGTACAAAGGATGCGATAAACTGCAAGTCTCTGAAGAGAGTCTTGGGGCGAATGTTCGAGTCTCGCAAGAGTCCTTGAATGACCTCGACAATCATGTCTGTGCTTGGTGGTCCAACTGGAGAGCGAGCGCCGTTGCGAGGCAGTGGCGACGCATTGCTTACGCGATCTACGTTCATGCTTTGAGAACGACGCTCTTCGCAGTTTGCAATTGCCTCTTCCAGGTTGTGTGCACGCGAAGTCTGGGTGGC